GCATTAGTAAAACACACACACACACACACACACACACACACACACACCACATTTTAAATGCTTTATAACACTGTGACACCAGATGGCGCTATAGAGTTTGATCTTTCAGCAACGTGATTCCCCCATTATGAGCTTTACAACACGTTTTCCTGAAACGATTTTTGGATGTGTCTAGATCCAGCCCTGGTATTGTTGCATCTCTGACTGATAAATAAAACCTCTGTTGTTCCCATAAGCTGAATAAGTGGTGCCTGGTTCCTGTTAGGCCCAGAAGGTGGAGGCAGAGCCAATGGCAAGCAGGCAGAGCCAGATGATTCTAATTTGGGCCTCATCTGCCTCCTTTCAGAATTCTACAGGGGCAGCACTGGAATTTAAGCAGAAGAAACCTGGTAGGCAGTGCTATCCTGTAGGCTGGTTTTACATCAAAAGGCAGGAAAGTGTCCCATTGGGTCTAATGTACCAGCCACCTCTCAGCTGGATCTCTCATTGCTGAGATGTAACTTGCCTGGCTGAACTGGTGAAGTAGCCCACAAACCTACATAAACAAAAGAGCTGTGGCACAATGCTCTCTGTCTTTGGCTCTGTCATCTGTTTTCCTTCCTGAGTTAGTCTCAGATTTGGAGGATGAGTTCGGAATAACACACTTTCACATTCTTGTCTACATATTCTAGAGACCTGTCATTCCTACAACTGTTTAGAGGCCTTTCAGATACAGTGTAGCCAGATAATGTGTACCTCATTATCTTTGCTGACGAGACTGTGGTTTTATGTTTGTTACAATATATGCAAAAAATATTTAATCAGATAATGTGCTATCAACTTTCAGTTTTGAAAGAAATTTACTTAGTGGTCATCCTAGGATCTAGGGCCTAGATCAGCAACTGGACACTTGGCTCTTAATTTATATTCAAATATGATTATATATTAACAGTGTGGTCGTATTCATCCTTACTTGGAAGCAAGTGTCAAAAAGGACTTTCTCCCTAGTAAGCATGTTTAGCACTGCAGTCAAAGTAAGCTTAAGCATATCTGAGCTATATTTATGCACTTGACTTAGCTTTAGAATTTCAGCTTAACTCAGGGGTCAGCAATGTGCGGCCCATGGACCGGATGGGGCCCACAAAGACCGTTTTACTGGCCCATGAGATGCCCGTTCGGCGAGTCCCCCTCACGCAGTGCTGAACCAGCGCGGCATGGGGACTCGCCGATCGGCGCTGGAAATCGAGTCTGCACATGCGCAGATACCGGAAATTGCGTCTGCACATGTCCAGACGCTGAAAACCGCTTTTGCGTAGGCACGTTTTTTGGCATCTGGGCATGCGCAGAAGTGATTTCCGGCATCACGCTGCCCCAGTCTGGCCCACAGGCGATTTCCGTGGGTGTGATCCGGCCCATGGCCGGTAAACCTTGCCTACCCCTGGCCTAACTGAACAGCTGGATTTACTTCCTAGTAAACATGCATAGGTTTGCACGCTAAGGACTTTGACCAAATATGCCTATTAAAGGCATCAGTGTCTTACCTTTTAACTTACACAAATGAAAATCAATTGTCAAGAAACTCGTCACATCACATTTACACATACAATGAAATTGACACATTAGGAAAATGTCATAAATTTCAGTGTTCCTGTTGTATTCTCTTACGGTTGTACAGCATGCGTTGTAATCAGATAACCATGATGAGCTAAGCATTCTGCACCCAGCAGAGGCCCAGAACACAGGTGGCAACTCTGCTAAACAACCTTAGTCTCGAGGGGATGATTCCCTTTAATAATGATTAATTGCAGGATGTTTTCCAGCTTCCTCACCTTTCATGTGGTTTGCAAGAGTGAGATTTATTTTTTGCTTTTCAAATTTAGAAGGGCGGGGGGGGAGGTTTAAGGTAAGACAGCATCAGGGGCTCTACTAACTATTGCCCCCTCTTCTGGGTTTAGCATTCTAAGAACTCCTACAAAAATTTTTTACAGGATAGTTCAGAATTGTTTGTGCAACCACAACATGTGAGGTTCTTCAGTTTGAACTCTTCCTCCTCAGGTGACATGGCAGACAGAATGTGGTCCCAGATCAGTAAGGCCTACGGAACAAAGGAAGCTGCCGTATACCAAGTCAACTATTCGTCTGCCTAGCTAGATACTTTCTCTGTATTGTCTCCAAGGACAGTAACTGGTCCTTCTCAAAAGGCTTTGCTTTCCATATGCAGACTTCATGTAAAGGAAGTTCCGACTGCACACCAAGGAAAAGGACTGCAGGAAGCTGCCACTGGGTCATGCCCTTAGAGTAGGGATGGGGAACCCGTGGCCCTCCAGATATTGCTGGAGTCCAGTTCTGATTCTGGCGAATCAGAAGGTCGGCGGTTTGAATTCCTGCGACGGGTTGAGCTCCCGTTGCTCGGTCCCTGCTCCTGTCAACCTAGCAGTTCGAAAGCACATCAAAGTGCAAGTAGATAATTAGGTACCGCTCCGGTGGGAAGGTAAACGGGGTTTCTGTGCACTGCACTGGTTCGCCAGAAGCAGCTTAGTCATGCTGGCCACATGACCCGGAAGCTGTACGCCGGCTCCCTCAGCCAATAAAGCAAGATGAGCACTGCAATCCCAGAGTCGTTCACGACTCGGACCTAATGGTCAGGGGTCCCTTTACCTTTTAGTGGGCATGTACTTTAAGACTGTAATATTTAGATCCATTGTTGATTTGAACCTTTCTTTCAAGGGAGATTTAAAGTGCTTTTCCTGTGTCTCCACTGGTTTTACCAGATCCTACAAAGAAAACCTGCTGGCTTTAATAGACAAGCTAAGGAAATGTAGTTTCATTTTTTGATGCATAAACGCATGTTAGAGAGATGACCTGACCTTCCCTAAGCTGAGTCCTCAAGTAGACAGCTCAGAAAACCTTTGCAAATTTTGCCAGTACTTCCAAGTGAACAAGCTGACTTTGGATCAGAGAGCTGCTGATGTCATGATGGGAGGCCATGGCAATCAGAAATGTTTTATATAATCTTATCACATTTCCACAACTTGTATCAAAGGGATATGATACCACAGTGTTACATTCAACTGAATGATCTTTTAAAATGGTTTATTATTGCCCTTTTGTATGCTCTGATCCAGTAAAGGAAATTTACACACGCAGGTGCAGATGCATATTTACATGCACATCACAGTGCGCACCTGAATCCCATTACAATATTGGCCTGAATATAAGCCTCACTTTTTTTTTCCAAATTCTGACCGTGAAAAGTTAAAGTGCGGCTTAAATTCGCGACCTTACAAAAATGGGCTTCTACAATATCGCTGCTGAAACAGACATATGGTAAAACGGAGTGGGTGTGAGTGCCTGCGGATTTTTAAAGGTGCGGCTTATATTTGGGTGCGAGTTATATTCGGGCCAATACGGTATATTGGTTAGATGCACCCTTGGGTGTCTATGGGGATGTGTATGCCTGCCCACAGATATGGGTTCTTAGGAGCAACTTCTTGTTGTTGTTGTTGTTTAGTTGTTTAGTCATGTCCGACTCTTCGTGACCCCATGGACCAGGGCATGCCAGGCACTCCTGTCTTCCACTGCCTCCCACAGTTTGGTCCAGCGTCATAACTTTTATATGCCTGTTGTCTTTGTGCATGGAGTTTTCTTGGCAAGGATACTGGAGTGGCTTGCCAGTTCCTCCTCCAGGTGGATCACATTTGGTCAAAACTCTCCACTATGACCTGTCCATCTTGGGTGGCCCTGCACGGCATAGCTCATAGCTTGTCTGAGTTATTCAAGCCCCTTCGCCACAGCAAGGCAGTGATTCATGAAGGGGAGGAGCAACTAGTTGCTCATATCTAGAACTGGATATGATACTGGTTTTATTATTTTATTGTGAACTTCCTCAAGGACTGGGAGAGGCAAGTTACATGGCAGGAATGCAAACTCTTTTTTTCCCAAATCAGTGAGGCTGAAGGAGGAAGCTGCAATACTCCAGAGCATTCCAACTGTGACTCTGACACTGTTTCAGAAACTAATTCTTCTTGACTGAAGCAAAATTTTCTCCTCACATTGATCTACGCAGATACCACTACTTAGTGAATGGCATTTAAATCTTTGTGACTGACACGAGACTACAGTATGGCTCTGCAGGAGTTTGGTTTGGGTTTGAGAGAGAAAATATTTGGCATTTTTCATTCTTTTTTCCATTTCTTCCCCATGGGAATACTAGCTAGAACCCATCTCAGGTTGGCTTCTGATGCTCTCTCATACTTGCATGGTGGCTTACAGCCCTTCAGTAGCACGTTAGAGAACTGATGGCTGGGCAGCATTCAGAAATAACACAGAGCGTATCAGGGGGAATAAGAGGCCAATGCGCTGTGGGTTAAACCACAGAGCCTAGGACTTGCTGATAATAAGGTCGGCTGTTCGAATCCCCGCGACGGGGTGAGCTCCCGTTGCTCGGTCCCTGCTCCTGCCAACCTAGCAGTTTGAAGCATGTCAAAGTGCAAGTAGATAAATAGGTACCACTCCGGCGGGAAGGTAAACGGCGTTTCCGTGCGCTGCTCTGGTTCGCCAGAAGCGGCTTAGTCATGCTGGCCACATGACCCGGAAGCTGTACGCTGGCTCTCTCAGCCAGTAAAGAGAGATGAGCACCGCAACCCGAGAGTCAGTCACGACTGGACCTAATGGTGAGGTGTCCCTTTACCTTTACCTAATCCTGTGTCATAAAAAGCAATGTTGGGCACAATTCTCTACCACCTGTTTAAGAAGAGGTGAAACTTGTATTTGAGAGGAGAGACATAAACCTAAGAATCCTGTCTGGTGCAAAGTAGAAAGAGCACCTTCCTTATTAAAGAAGTTGGAAAAATGTGGGGCAGGATCCAAACTTCCCCCTGTCCTTCAAGTGGACACCAGCTGTGGGAGGTCAGAATGGCTAGGGTTGGTTTTTTTTTAGTTAAGCAACATCATTGTTAGGTCACAATCCCCCATCTCTCTTTTATGAGTCAGACAGCATCAGCATGTGGTCACAATGACCAGCCTCGCTTTCTGAGGCACAGCTTAGTCAGTCAGCCTCTCTCCCTCTCATGTTAAAGCAGGCTGCAGTTTTGTGTATCAAGGCTCTTCTTTCTCCACTGAAGCAGGAAGAAGCGGTCTTTCTCTCACACAGGGGTGGTTAGCAGAAGTGTGTGGGCACAAGGGTGAAATGGGCAGCAGCAGGGGCGGCCTGTTCACGAGGCAGTCTGAGGCAGCCCCCTCAGGCAGTGGACTACAATGGGTGGCTCTGTGGGGTGAGCACACCCCTTCACCCCCAGAGAAGCAGTGGTGTTGATGGCCTCCAGATTCCAGTGAGATCTTACAGGAGATCCCACAAGATCTTGCCATAACCCAGAAATCTCAGCCATGTAACTCCGGTAAGCAAGGCTTCAGCTGGGGCTGTGGGGGGTGGGGCAGCACCTTCACATTTAGCCTCAGGTGGCACAATTAGATGGGCCACCATTGGGCAGCAGCATGTGGGCAGCGGAGCAGCAGATGAGGAGATGAGAAGTGATGGCAGGCAGGCATTGGAAGTCTTCTAACTACAGAGAGTAATGCATGGTATCCTGGCACCAAATGAAGTAGAGATAATGGGCGGGGGGCAAAGGAATGTTGGCTGCACTCCAGGTACAGCAGGGGTGGCAGAACTCCCAAAAGAAAAGTTGCAGGCAGTTGGGCTTCTAACTTTCAGCGTGTGCTCCCTAAGAGGCAGATTAGGAAATGCCCATGTGGCATTTGCTACTTATGATCTATATGGAAATACGTTTTTAGCTAAGTTTTGGAAGGCAGCTATGCTCACCACTATACCACCAACGCCGTTTTTAGCTAAGTTTTGAAATACATCACTGCGTGTTCTCAGGACAGGGTGAGGTGCACACTTAAAGAAATAGATTCTGTTCTCCATTGTTTTGGTTTAGGAACCGATGAGGTGAGTATAATGGTGAATGCAATATTTTAAAAGTCCCTTTGTTTCATTTTATGAATTTACTAAGTGATGTGCCCCAGCTCACTCTGTTCACCACCACCCCTACCATTCCTCCCACATTAATTGCCCTGGAGTTTCCCCTTCCCATCCCATGCAACTACTGAGCTTGTTTTTCACACACACACACACACACACACCATTTCTGAAGGCCCTTTGCCCTCCTGTTTCCCCCTTCACCCCAATGCCTATGTCTCCTCTCCCTTCCTTTTGTGCAATGCCCCCTTGCACACCAACCACCCCCAGGGCCAGAAGCTGCAGCCTACTCCTCCCACACATTTCAACTACTAAGCACCCTTTTCATCTTGTCCTATGCTTCAGATCCATTCAGGCCCCTGCTTTCAACCTCAAACCCATTACCAAACCCCCTACTTCCTCCGTTTTTTGCCATCTCCTTTGCATCCCCTTTTCACATTCACTCCCTTTTTTCCCCTCCATCCCCCGCCTTACTTTTCTCAGCTCTCCCTTGCAGAAAGATCCTCCCCCATTTCCACCTCTTCTCCTATTTCCTGTTGCCAGGCCCCTTTGCATGCTCACACCATTATCACCTCCCTGTTCTTTTTACTACCTCCCCCTTTCTCCTTTTTCCAACTCTCCTTTGCAGACAGGCCACCCCTATTTCCGTGCTGCTGCCTCTTTCCCATTCTGCAGCCCCCTTTGCACACACAAACACACCATGCTGATGTATGTTGCTGTATCTTTAAGACAAATAGACTCTTAAGAGCAAGCCTGTCAGTTAGCTTGCTCAATTAGAAAATGTCATGCTCAACTGATAAATGTTGTACATATATTTTAGTCACAAGCAAACACCCATGCAGTTTCTAAACTACGTTGAATCTGTAACTTCATGTTGAAGACAACACATGGTACCAGGAGTGAAATACATTGTGGGAAGGTACTATAGAATATTTGAGGGCTCTGCATCCTGAGTATCTCTCACATGAAGCTTTTGATGAATGGAAGAGGGAGAAGTTTAAAACAGCCATTTCCCCACTGTACTTAAACAACGGCAGAAGTCTGAGTAAAACTTAAGTGGAGGAACACTGAGGTGAAAATGTACTTTTGAACAACAGCAGAGATTTGAGGAAAGCAGAGATGGAGGAGCACTGTTATTTTAAAAAACAAAAACAGTGAGAAATAGCAGAGACAGTACAATGCAGAAGCTAACACACAGAAAGCTAACATTGAAAGCCTTCTCCAACTTCCTTCTCATTGTACTCAAACTCTGTTTTAAACTGCCCCTCGGGTCACCTGCTGCTGACTCTACTCAAACCTCTGCCATTGTTTTAAATCGCCACTTTTTCTCTCAGCATTTCTCCACCCCTGCTTTATTCAACCTTCTGCTATTATTTAAAACCACCATTTCTCACTGTGTCACTCCATCACTGCTTTACTCAAACCTCTGTCATTGTTTGAAACTGCCATTTTCCTCTCAGTGTTTCTCCACCTCCACTTTACTCAACCTTCTGCTATTCAAAACAGCCACTTTTTTCCTTTCAGTGTTTTTCCCTTCTCACTGTACTCAAACTTCTCCCTCTTCTATTCCTCAGCTGCCTCATGTGTGAGAGATAAAGGATTCGGAGCCTACAAATGTTCCAATGTATGAAGGTATTTACTCAAACCTTTGCTGGTGTTTCAAACTGCCATTTCCCTCTCAGTTTGCAACCTTACATTTTTATGTATATAGGAAGATTTAATTCACTTCTGTCCTGCTCTTCAATTCCAAAGTGACTCAGAAAACAAGGAAAAAAACACACACAAAATATAATAATTATAGAATGGCAGAATGTTAAACCACCCAGATATAGAACCTTTATGAGCACCCGGGGCAAAACCTCTACCTAATTAAATGATATTAGCACTCTTCCCTGTTTATTTTGATAGCTTTTCAAAACAGCAGCTTGTGTTTGCTTTCTGTTTGCCGTGATTTATCAACTTTTAGCCAAAAGCGAAAACCATAATATATAACACAGGGCAGGGGCAAACAGAAGGATATAGAGTAAGGACTGCTTACTATAACACATTTCTGTTGCCCAAATACATCCTTGGTGATCAGCTTCAGACTGCAAGAGGAACTGAATGTGTGAGGCAGAAAAACAACACCCTTTTTAAAGATAAAGAGAGAGAGAAAACTGTATTTTAGTAATGTAATATTGTTATGTATACTGTCATGGTTTCAGATACATGTTGTCAGGGAACATCATTTAGGGTGCAATCCTACAGTCCCTGGGAAGGTATTCCAGGCACCAAGGGTTATTGAAGACCTCCCTCTTCATGGGTGAAGGAAGTGGTCTGTCCCCAGAGACCTTGTTGCAGCCATCTATCCCTCCACTGCTGTTGATGCTCTGAGGGAAGCAGGCAGAAAAGGGCATATCATGGGTGAATCAAGGAAGGCTTTGTTCCTCTGACATACACCTGACAAGGGAAGGAAAATACATTTGAAGCTGGCATCCTATGCTAAATTTGCCGGGCATTGTTTCTTTAAACTAAGTCCTACTTTAGAGGTGATTCTTAGCAGGCAAATACTTTCAGATCTGCAACTTTGGGCAGCAGGTATTCCATCAGGCTACAGCAGGGGGAGAGAAGACAAGCAGGATACATCTCATTGGCTCTGCTGAAGGGACAGCTGCCTTTGGCTTTTCTTCTTGAATTGTTTCTTTTCAAGCTGGTCATTCTAAAAACTTTGGAATTTTAAGAACTGGTTTCTGAAATGGGTTTGTTTTCTTCTTCCCACCTGATTCCCTTTTCATTTTGCGTCCCGTCTTTCAGATTCTAAGCAGGCAGGGACTGCCTTCTTTCTTACTGATTTTATATAAGCTGCTTTGGGAGCCTTTCCAGCTGGGTTAAAGATGCTTTAAATAAACAATAATAAATGAAACTATTGCCTGCAAAAAAACCAAAACAAAACAAAACCCTAAATGGTCAAAGGGTATCTTTTTCAGTACCCATAATAAACACAACATATTTTGGGTTGGTTGGCCATAAAAGAGTGCAGGCAGCTTTTTCACAAAAGGGTGATCTCTGCCAGTAATTCTCAGGCTCTAGGGTCATCACTGGTGCACACCGTATGTCGTAGTTGTAAGGAAGAGGACTGTACTTGGCAGGTAATAACTGTTTAGATGCCAACTGTAGCTCAGGTTTTAGAGAGACTGGGTACCTTGTTATGATTATCATTACTCTTGGCACCAACAATGTTATGTGTTAATTGCTGGAAGTGAGGCGAGGGAACAGTGATGCAGAGCATTTCATTGCAGTTTATTGGAGGCAGAATTAAGCATATAAGAAATGTTGAGTAGAAGCTATGATGAGTTCGGTATTTCTGAGACAATATACGATGATGTGCTTTCCCTCGTTATTATGTGCAAAGAGAAAATCTAGTTGTGATATTTAAATCGGGTCCTTTTCTTGCATTTCTACAACATGCAGGCAATATCCAAGCCATGCTCAGAATCAGACCCACTGAGATCAGTGGACGTAAATCTATTTCCCAGGGGACTCAGCTACATTAGTAAAAATAAAACGTTATAAATGTGTTGTAACACTGTGACACCAGGTGGCGATGTGGAGCTGAAATAGGAACTCTATGAAATTTTCCATTGTGAGCTTTAAAATCGTTTTTCCCCAGAGCATTTTCAGAGTGTTTTTTATAGCTGTGTAGATGCCGCCAGGGTCTACTCTATTACTCCTATACGTGTGTGTGAGTGTGTTCACATGACCATATTTCCCAGGATACAACTGAATGAATAAAAGAAGTAATGCTTCTTAAGGTGAACTGATCCTCTCTGCATTTAGTATTTAAGTGATACCATTAGCGTACATAGTAGTTTGTACAGTTACACCGGCATGAAAGAACTACCAAGCTAATAAAAAGGACTAAGCTAAATGTGACATTAAATGTGTGATTGTGTTGAGTTTGCCTAGGCTGTTCCTTGTAAATAACAGCTGTGTGGAGGATGAAAGAAGATAATCAGTACTGGTATGACAGCACTCTTACCCATTCACCACAGTCCTGATGGAAATTTCCACCCACCAGCAAATCTGCTCTTTACCCCGTGAAAGGAAACTGCACTTACCAGCAAAGGAAGCTTTCTTCCTGGGGCTGATAGCAGCTGTGGTAGGGTTTACTTAAAATGATGATGATGATGATGATGATGATGATAATAATAATATCCTATCTAAGTTTAGCTCAGTCAGCAGGGGAAATACAGTGGTACCTCGGGTTACATACACTCCAGGTTACAGACTCTGCTAACCCAGAAATATTACCTCGGGTTAAGAACTTTGCTTCAGGATAAGAACAGAAATTGTGCAGCAGTGGCGCATTGGCAGCAGGAGGCCCCATTAGCTAAAGTGGTGCTTCAGGTTAAGAACGGACCTCCAGAACGAATTAAGTACTTAACCCAAGGTACCACTGTAATGTTATCTTCTAGGTCAAGAGAGCTCACCCTCTGTAGTATGTTGTCACTTTTCACACAACATGGGCAAATGTGGCCAGATTCTCCATTAAATGCCAAGACCCCGTGACTCTCCAGTTCCCAGAGTAACTAGCCAGACAAGACCAGCAGCATATAGTTTGGGAGTAAAATAGGCCACAACTTTTATTGGGTCTACTCTACATGTGAAAAGTTTGGCATAGGCATTGGGAAAGCCACATTATTTCACTCCAGCCCTCCTTCTGGAAGTGCATCTAAGGGTAAACCCAACTTGGGAGCCTATGATTTGCATCAAATAGGGGTACCCACCCACTCCACTCCACCCTCTGTAGTGTGCTGTGTGTAGACTCCCACTCTTAGTGTTGGCACTTGTAACACAAGCACAATGTGTGTGAATGAGGCTGGGTTCTCTGTTCCAGGACTTTGAACATCTGCAACATCATCCTTCCTCCTCTCTCCCTTCCTTCTATACCTCCCTTTTGCACCATTCTCTGATGCTGTAGTATGAACAGAAGAAGCAAAGTGCTTCCTATAAGGCCACTTCTTGGAACAATGGTCACAGCCAACCAAGAGTGCTGACCCATCCTTTCATGCACCAATGGCTGCCAGGAACCTTGTATCATCACCAACAAAGGTTCCAAATTTTGAGTCATGCCTTGTTACTTAAAAAAAAAATTAAATTAAAATCTGTGTTAAGAGTTTTAGGGCAACCAATTCCGTCCTATTGTCAGTTTGTGCTTGTGAGTATAGAAGGAAACTGTATTCTTTTTAATAATGCTCACATGTACCGTAGTTTGAGTTTTTCAACCAATACTGCTGATCATTTGGCCAGTTGTAGTGGCATTTCAGTTCTATTTCAAGTCCATATTTCTCTCCCCCCCCCAAAAAAAGTAAGCATTTGTATGAGTTTCTAAAATGATTGATAAATGTAACTGGGACATTGCAGAACTCCTAAACCAATTATACTATTACCGTCTCCATGTGAAAATTCAGATAGTCTTGTAATATATAGTGCTTACTGATTCCATCTGGTTTATAATCCATCTAGAAAAGTTGGAATTGCTGTTTTAAGTGAACCACCCTTATATAGTCCTTTAAATGTCAATTCAGATGTTAAACCTAAAGTATATTGGGATTCATCTACTTAACAGACATGGTCAAAGGAGACCTTTGAAATTCAGGCTTTATTTACTTTGCAGGTGCATTAAGGATCCATTAGCTGTTTTTGTTGTTTTTTGTTTTGCAGTGAAGGGATTTTCCTTTTGCCGTTAAGCAAAAAAGAAAAAGAAAAAAACCCAACCCTTTTTCCCCCAACACTTGCAATAAAACAAAGATTTCCAGTGGTTTCCCTGCAGATCTTCCTTCCTTCCTTCCCTCCTTCCTTCCTTTGTTTTGCAATTTGATTTCAAACAAAATGGTCACAACCAAAAGACAGTTTTAAACACCCTCTTCCCCCCTAAATCATTCTAATATCTCACTCATCTTTCTACTTGGAAGTTCTATGTTTTTTTTCATCGAACGTTCCAACAATTGCTTTTTTCCCCTTTGTCTTACGCAATCGAAAGTAGTTGTTACCTTTTCTCTTCTCACTCCCTCTTTCCTGTCCTTTCTTCATCTCCTCTTTTCTCTCTTTCCTCCTTTCCCCTCTCCATAGATATCCCTGTCTCTCTCTCTGATCCTTCCCCCATTCCTTTAAAATGAATCGGCACACCCTTCCCTCCTTCTGATCCAGCACCGCTTCTCTGCTCTGCTCATACCTTCTACCTCCCTCTTTTCCTTTTGCACTCCTCTGCTCTTCTTCATCTCCCTCTTTTGCCCGAGTGTATTAGGTCTGGCACTAACGAGCAGGCCTTCTTCAAGGCATCCTGCCAATGGGTGGAGATTGCAGACGCTCTAGTCTCTCAGAGGAGGTGGGGGTGGGGAGGATGTGCTCTTCTCTGTCCAAATTCACATTTGAAAACCCAGCCTGCAAAAACCATAAAGAAGGAAAGAAAAATATCTCAGCAGCATAAAAGGTGCACCATAAGCAGTTTTCCTCAGCACTTGGTGTTTCCCCCCCACCCAACCTCCCTCTGTTGCCATGCTGATTTTTGGCTGCATACGGTATATTTGTGACACTGTTTCATCTCTTTCCGCTCTTAAGCATATTTCCAAAATATCAAATCCATTAAAAGGAATTAAGAGCATATGCTGCGGTTTCCAACTATAACAAGCATGTGGGCTCTCAGGAGTACTCTGCAAGAGCCACATACTGTAGTGGAAACGTGGTGTCTCCATCCCCAACCCCCAACCCCAACCCCAACTATCTGCTATATTTTTTTCTGCCTGCATTTTGCAGAGGAGAATGCAAGGCTGGCTTTTGCTCTGACCTGATTCTGAAAATATCTTCACAGGATCAACCCAGCAGAAATCGAGTCACTGAATTAGACCCTTTTGTTAATTAACCAATGTGTTCCCCCTAGGATTCTGTAGCAGGGTAGCATTCTTATTTTTTGTAATTAATAAAATATTGTTTGAAGTAAAACGCTGTGCCCTCCAATAACACTTCAGTTTGCTTGGAGTTTTTTTGTGTTTTGTTTTTTTTTTTAAAAAAAAGATCAAATAGCTTTTAGAACGGCTCAGCGCTTTGTCTCAAGTAGCTGGCATATCAATAAGCTATTTTTAGGACGCCAAACTATTGTGCATTGCTGCGGGGCAATCTCCATTCATTCCAGTGGGATTATATGAGAACCCTGTGGTCAGGTCCCTGTGTCTTTTGGCAGCTCCGCAACAAGCAGAAATTCACAGTTCCCCCGTCATTAGATCTGCATGCCGGGAAAAGCTTCATCCGATCGATTTCGATTGGTTATGCCACCCATCAAAATTGGGTTATTGGGTTGGTTTTGTTGTATTTTGACTCCGTATTTTGTGGTTTTTATATTCTGATGTTTTCCTGTGAACCGCCCTGAGACCTGCGGGTATATAGGGCAGTATATCAATTTAACAAAGGGTAATAAATAAATAATAATTAACGGTCCGGAAGTCCTGCCAGAGGAAAAACAGATACTGTTCTGAACCACAGGCAAATCTCACTGAAGGAAAGCACAGCAGCAAGGCGGGTTGAAGGATTGTGCCTTGGAAATCCAAAGGCGTGTTCTTTTGAAAGTTCTTTTTAACAACGTAGTACTGTCGTTTGTTTGCAAGGTTTTGTTTGCATCGAAAAGAGTTGGTGGAGGAAGTGTTCCTTCCCTGCTTAGTAATTTCTGTTCTTCGTCTTTTCCTTCCTTCCTTCCTTCCTTCCTTCCTTCCTTCCTTCCTTCCCTGCCCATTTCCTTATGCAGTACTTCCTTATGCAGGAGAATAAATGGTAATTAAAATGAGCAGGATGAAAAGATGGAGCAGCCAGTGCTTGTACCACCAGGACCTGACAGCTTCCACTACTTCACTAGAGAGTCTCTTGCAGCTATTGAGCAACGCATTGCTGCAGAGAAGGCTAAGCAGTCCAAACAAGACCGTAAAGACGACGACGAAAATGGCCCAAAGCCCAGTAGTGACTTGGAGGCTGGAAAATCACTGCCATTTATTTATGGAGACATACCTCCTGGCATGGTGGCTACTCCCTTGGAAGACCTGGACCCATTTTATCTTAACCAAAAAGTGAGTGTTTCATATCAAGTATTTTACACTGTCCCTTTCCTTTTCCATTTCCTTGCAGTCAGGCACACAGCCTACAATTTCCCCATGTGTCTTTCTGGGATCTCTGTTACTTGTGATCTACCAGGTTTGAAAACCAGCATTTCTGGGTAAGGACAACTGATTGCACTGCAAGGATGTTAATCATTTGCTCTCAATCTGTACACCGAAAACTATTCGTATTTCAACTCTGCTGGAAAATTATCTAGCAAAAAGCTGGCGGGAGACAACAGTGATCACATCACACACACACACACACACACACACACACACACACACTGTTCCATAGACCAAATGACTGGTTATTAGCTTCTCATATTTTCTGAGACCATTGATTAGCTGGGTGGTTGAATTGTTTGTTGACAACAATTATTGTACATCTATCTATCCATAGCTGTCATCTTTTCCCTTTTCTTGTGAGGAATCCTATTCGGAATAAGGGAATTTCGCTTTAAAAAAGGGGAAAGTTGACAGCTATCTATTTAATATCTCTATCTCTATCTATCTATCTATCTCTATCATCTAAATAAATAAATAAATAAATAAAAGCAGCAGTTTTTTAAAAAATCATACATCATAGACTGGGCAGTGTGTATGGAGGTCCTGGGCTACCCAGATGGCAAGACCTCTCTTTCAGTCTCACGGATGTGGTCCAAAGGAAAGCAGAGCAGTACTTTAGGCTCCAGCTTGGCTCCTGCAGGAGTTGCCAGAAGGAGGTGTACAAGGCACTGTCCAACTGCCTTATGGACTCTGCTCCAGATTTGTGTAGGTTTTACTCCTTAGCCTTCTCTTCTCCCAAAGATATCCTGCAAGGCAGTGGAAGTTTAGGATCAGAGTTTTCCTTCTCCTAGATGGGCTACCTTCTCAGATTGACAAGCCCCTTCAGCCCCTCATTTTCCTCTGCAGCACATGCAGAAACCACCTTCTTGACCATTGGACCCATTGTTAGTCTTGTCTGCTCAATCCGCTGGAGCCTGTATTCACATGCAGGAGAAATCTCCAACTCACTGAGGTTTTGAGACCCATCAGCCGTCCTCACCTGGTTTAGTCAGCCTGTCGAAGCTGTTTCTTGGGATGTGGCCTCTGTCACATGTTGACAGCTTCTAGGAGCCACAGGTGAAAGCTGAGTGTGGGGTGGGGTGTGGGATGTTAGGAGAGGTGTAGTACCTCTTGTGAGGTTCACATCATGCTCCTTCCCTGGGTACCTTTTCTAACTGAAATGAAGAAGAATATGCTCACTGAAACAAAAGGCAGCTTGGTCAGATGGTATGGTCAAATCACAACAATCAAAAAGATTCCTTGTGAAAAAATGGAATAATGTTAAGGGTATTCTGTGCATGCACATACAAAGCAGCTAGTTATGGGTGCCACACCTGATCTATGGAATGCTGGCTTGAGCATGGCACTTATTCTCTCATGACATTTTAAGGACATCCTAGGGGGAAATGACACTTGTTTTGAAATAGTCAAACTGTACAAGTTAGGAAAACCAATACAATAAACTTGGCAATGGGTAATTGTTCAGTGGTAGAATACTTACTGTGCTAACATAAGATCCCAGATTCGGTCCTAGGCATCTCAAGATAGGACTGGGAAGGACTGCCATCTCAAACCCCTAGTGAGTATAAGACCCATTCCTTCCTTTGGTTGGTTATGAATTTCCTCCCCTTTGCTGGTTGCATGTACACAGGAACAACAGCTGTGGCAAGGTATTCTCCTGAGTTAGTTATTCCATTGCTAATTACTGTTGTTAAATCATCCAAGGACATTTTCACAGAGGAAACAAATTCTACCGGTTGGGAAGAAGCAAAACTTTTTAGAGGGGGTGATGGGCTTGTTTATCCTGCATACCTGTTTCTCTTCTTTGAAATTGGAAAGGGAAATTCCCAACTCGGCAAGATATGTTCATGTTATTATTACGATGAAGGTGCATATGGCTTCTCATGTTGATATGCAATATTGCATTTGACTCAAATGATGCTTCCTCAGGCTGTGTATGCACACATCAGCCTTTGAAGTGCTGCAGTTTGGGGTTTCTTAAAAGCACTTTTGTAGACATTGCTTTGCAAGCGTCCATACCTGCATGCTCTGTAGACAGCATGAGCAGCTGTTAAATCATTGCCAGATTTACACACAGAGGTTGGGGCTAGGGCACATTAGTTTCTTTGCTCCCTCCCCTTTTGATGCCCACGTCATGCCTTAAAAAAAAATTAAAAATCCTGCAAATTTATTGATGTACCAGAAGTCTGCTCATAACGAACTAATGCTCAGTTAGTTTTACTGTGCTGAGTGCATGCCCAGAGGCTTCCTTCTCTTGTACCATGCAGGTGACTTGGTGACTACATTTCTCCTTGGGGACAAGCCACTTTAGGTTGCATCCCACTATTGACTACTCATTGTAGAGCCATTGAAATTAATGGTTCTGAACCATTTTTATTTGAATGAGTCTACCCTGAGTATGACTAACAGTGAACACAACCCTGTGTACATTCAGAGGCTTCCTTTCCTTCTCGTACCATGCAGGCAACTCTAGCAAGGCACTCTAAGTATGCCCAGAGGCTGCTTGTCCTGGCACTTTGCATGGTGAATCACCAACTGTCGTGTCTGTTATATTGCAAAGCATTGTGCTACGGTATCCTCAGAATATCCCTGCCCTGGCACCAGGGAGGCAGCGGACATCACATAGTTTGATTTATCAAATGAAGAGTGCAAAAAAAAAAAAAAAAGGCACTTCAGGCTTCTGATATATCTGCTCCCTGTTACATCCAATAATTCCCCTGGAGTCATTGTGGTTGATTTCTTAAACCTACATTTTGTTAAGGAGCAGCATGCAAAATGGGCAGTTCTGATCTGTGCCAAACTGCCACCATAAGCAGTCAAATAATATGGTTCTTGGAGGGCAAAGTTTATAGTGACTGGAGCATTCAGTTGATTAAAGCTTTGGGATTTTGATAAACTGGGATGGTTGCTTAAAAAGTAATAAATACTATAGCAAAAAGAGCCCTTTCCCAATTCATTTGAGCACTTGAGTACAGAGGAGAAAGAGTTAATGGCGGCTGTTTCTGCCCATCCTTTAAAAGAGCACAAACACTTAATGGAGGCTCTTTCTGCTCTTCTTCTAAGGAGTAAAAGAGTGAAACCTATGCAACCCTCCAAAGACTGAAACATCAGTATACTCGTGTACATGGGAGGGAAAATATTTGTTGTCTTCAAGTTTGTCCAGAATACCAAATGGCTCGGGTACCTCTCAGGTTAATCTCTGAGGAAGTGTAGGGAGAGGGCTACATAGGTGCAGTTCAGCAACATCATAAGACCCTCCCCAATAGGAGGTTCTCAGAGATGGTCTTCACGCACAAGGCAAGAGGTGCTTCAAAATGTATTGTAAAATGTGAGCCAGCTATTAACTTTTCTACCAAAAGGCGTTTGAGTGGAACAGCAAACAAACGATATAACAACAATATGAAGAGGAAAATGCATCTGCAAAGGGCAACGAATACTCTTACATAGTAAATAATGTCCTGCTTATCAGGTAAGTTATAACAATACAGCATTTGACAGGAAAGGATGTGTTCACAGTGACTGGTTTTTTTTAATCACTGGGGGAAATTAATAATGAAAGATGATTGTAGAACTGCATGACTTTAAGTTGCTCTCACCTTTTCTTCTTTCTTCCAGACTTTTATAGTATTGAATAGAGGAAAGGCAATTTTCCGATTCAGTGCCACTCCTGCCCTATACATTTTAACTCCTTTCAACCCTATTAGAAAAATATCTATTAAGATTTTGGTACATTCATATCCTTTTCCAGTTGTTGTTTTTGAAACTGTTCCCTTGTTTTCATAAGATAGCAATCTACAAATGTGTTCTTCAGTTTCCTCGTGACCATCCCTGTTTCTAATTTTACATGATTAGGTCTAAAATGAAAATGTTTCAAACTTGCTTATCAAAATTCTCAAAAGACTTTCTGAAATCACCTTCCTACCCTGTCACAAATACCTATGGAATAGATTAGTTTAAAGCAAATGGAGCACACAGGTTATTCCATTCCTCTAGTTGGGTATCAAAGCTCTACTGTACATACGGTGCTCCCACAAATCTGATTAACACTGACCTCAGTGACAGCTGTCATTGGAGCTTCTGCATGGGTAAGATGCCCGTGCATTGAAATGTACAGTATAAGGTAAAGGTAAAAGACCCTTGAATGGTTAAGTCCAGTCAAAAGGCGACTGGGGTGTGGCGCTCATCTCGCTTTTCAGGCTGAGGGAGCCAACATTTGTCCACAGACAGCTTTCTGGGTCTTGTGGCCAGTATGAGTAAACTGCTTCTGGCGCAACGGAACACCGTGACAGAAACCAGAGCGTATGGAAATGCCGTTTACCTTCCTGCCACAACAGTACCTATTTATCTACTGGCACTGGTATGCTTTCAAACTGTTAGGTTGGCAGAAGCTGGGACAGAGCAACTGGATCTCACCCCGTCACTCAGATTCGAACCACTGAACTTCTGATTAGCAAGCCCAAGAGGCTCAGTGGTTTAGATCACAGCACCACCCACGTTACCTTTTGTGTGTGTGGGTTTGTTTTGTTTCTGAAATAATTTTTATTTGATTTTACAAGTATAAAGTTATAAAAATAACACAACACATATCCACAATTAAGAGATTCCTCTGAATCTCTGGACTTCTCACCTTCCCCTCCATGGGTTCTGTTGTTAAATCTTTTCTACTGCATCTTTTCCATTACTCCATATTTCTTTATAACTTCTTTATCTCCATGATACCCGTTACATTGCAAGTGTTGTTGCAATCCTGCTAATGTTTTCATCTGTTTACAGTGGCCTCCAAGATAAATTATAAAAAATTTCCCATTCCTTATTAAACTTTTGGTCTTCTTGGTTCCTGAGCTTTCCAGTCATTTTTGTCATTTCGGCACCCACATTACCTTTTGAACTTTATATGTGCTATGTAATTGGTGTGAACAGCCATTCAGCTACTGTAGTATGACACCATTGATAAAATCCTTTAAAATGTTGTATCCTTGGAACATGATCCTGGAAGATGCTAGTCTTACCATTTAAGCACCCAACTGCAAGCCCAATCAGAGGGGGAGTGGCCAGGTGGTTAGTGTTAATGCTGTGTCCAATGCTTTGTCAAAATAGAGAAGGATGTTCAGCAGCAGCAGTATTTTCCTTAGGTCATGAAATGGTCCAAATGTATTACAGTGGTACCTCTGGTTGTGAACGGGATCCGTTCCGGAGGCCCGTTCGCAACATGACCAGAATGCAACCCGTGTCTGCGTGTGCGTGGGTCGCAATTTGCTGCCTCTGCGCATGCGTGTGATGTCATTTTGCGCATCTGCACATGCGTGAGCTGCGAAACCCGGAAGTAACCCTTTCCAGTACTTCCGGGTCGCCATGGGACGCAATCTGAAAATGCTCAACCTGAAGCAAACGTAACATGAGGTATGACTGTACTTTGTTTACTTGGTATGGTTCATCAGTGACAAATCAGATGCACATATAACAGCCACCAATGGAAGACCTTCTTAAAGCTACAATCCTAATCACGTTTACCTAGGAGAAAGGCACACAATAGAACTTACATCTGAGTAAACATGCATAGGATTGTGTTGTAAGTCGGCTAAGACTAGCAGACTTTCTCTACACAATAAACCACTGATTTAAAGTAGAGTTTCCTACAGATGGTATAAATTTGTATCATTCGTTCTGCACTACTGTAAGCCTTTCAACTGATGCAGTGCTGTGCTGTGCCAAAATCTTCGCCTGCGCTTCAACCATTCTCTACCAATTTTATGACAAAAGAAATTGAATTCCAGAATCAGGAAAGGGAGAGAATTTTTGGGGGAGAAATTCTCATGGCTTGGGTGGATGTAAGACATTTGTTGTACTTTCCCACATTCCAAAATGGTCAAGAAGTGTTTGTGAGTGTCCTTCCTTTCACTTTACAAATCTCTCCAGTGGTTTGCATTCTCCAGTAAGGATGGAGGAGAAATTCAACACAGTTCGCATTTCAAGGTGAGTCTACCTAATCCACAATTTCTGAAATAATATGAGAACAAAAACACAGCCTTCCTTCAAATTCCAGTTTTCTGAATTTTGCAATGCAGTTCTCCAACCAAGTAGCACGAACAATCCCACCCTGGATTTTGTGGTTGTGTTTTTTGTAATTGCAAGTATTTATATATTTGCCAAATAGTTTTTATTAGTCTTCCAAATTTTAACCAATCAATACCAAATTACATCAAATTTAATACGTTTTTTTTCCAAAAAGTTGACTTCCTGCTCTTCTTCCTAGCTGTGTCCCTATTTTCCCCAATTTACTGCTTCGTATTACAAATTTATATCCCAATTCACATTTCAACCCTTATATCTAATCTTAAAGGTCACATTTTCCAATTTAATTCTTGTTCTTCTTCTCCCTTTCCCCTTCGCTCTTAGCTGTCCAGTTTACAATTCCTGCTTGTATACTTAACAATAACTTATTCCCTTATACATCAAAACAAAAACAAATGAGGTCTCGCAGCGTAATTGCAAGTATTTAAACTGTTTTTAATATTGCATTTTAAATTGTAATCTGCTTTAGGGTAAAGTGCTGGTAATTAATTAAAATGGGAATGATCGTCATATACTGGGCTAAATTGTGTGTAAAAATAGATATTCTGGTAAAAAATAAAACACAGAACTGTTATATTAGCGGAAATTGCTTTGCAAAAATATCTATCTTGGGCAAAATTGCATGCAAACGTGTATTGGGATAAATTTGTAATGAAATGCTGGTGTATTTTCATGAAGACTTTTTAAAAAAAACCAAACACAAACTGATGTGGAAATGTGGTGAATGGGGGGGGAAATGAGAAACGGGAAAAACCAAAATGGACAGACTTGCCAGTTCCTACTCTCCTTCCCCTGGAAACAAAATTGTTCTACTTTGCTTTATTATTGCTGACAATCAAATTTCAAAAAAAGAATGTAAAAAGAGGTGTTACTGCACCAATCTTAGATTCCTGATAATCAGTCTCCCAGGCCTCCCATGTTTAAAATAAAGCTCAAGGGAAATGTGTAATGGAGAGAAAAACTCACATGTCACTCATGACCACTTCACAATGTTATGATAAGCCCCACCCACCATAACAGCAAATAAGACTGGTGTGCCCTGAGAAAGTGGTAGAAAAATGGAAGTCTGTTTCACAAAGAAAGAAAACTTTTGATATATTGAAGGGAAGGTTTTGGCACAGTAGGCATACATAGGTTTTAACAACCGAAAGTGTAGATTATGAAGCGTTTAGATTTGTATGCATTAATCACTTTGCAAATGGTAGATGCAAGTGGCATAAATTTGTCATTTCGCAAGTACAGTCATACCTCGGGTTGAAGTAGCTTCAGTAGCTTCAGGTTAAGCATTGTCGGGTTGCGCTCTGCAGCGACCTGGAAGTAACGGAGCGCGTTACTTCCGGATTTCGCCGCTCGTGCATGCACAGACGCTCAAAATGACATCATGCGCAGGCACGGAAGTGGCGAATCGCGACCCGCGCACATGCGGATGCAGGTTGCGTTCACTTCAGGATGCGAACGGGGCTCCAGAATGGATCCCATTCGCATCCAGAGCTACCACTGTATGCATCAGTGCTAGATTGCACCATTCTAATTCAAGAAGTCAACCAATGTTACACTTTTTTTTTTAGCTTCGCCAATTTCAGTGAGGAAAAGAAGTTAAACACCTGCTTCCTCCTTTTTGTAAACTCCTTGGCTGAATGAAGTATAAAAGTTTGCTTTTGGCTGGCTCAGAAAGTAAGCTCGACTGGTTGAGATTGTGCTTTCCCATTCTCATGGTTGACAAAACTCTACCTCAAAAAAATCCAGAATCAAATGATGCTTTGTAAGACCAATATATTACTTGCGTTGTGGAGTATCTTGCTGGTGAGGATCCATATTTTATTCACATATACCTCACTGTGCTGTTGGCTAATACAATAAAAAATGCAGCTAGAAAAAAAATGCAATTTAGTAGGGAAAATTAAGTTTGTAGAATGAAATATATTTGATTTGGAAATTCAAAGTTTGTGGTGCCATCATGTGGTCATGTTTTATGTTGTGTATGGATAAACATATGTTTTATGTTGTGTATGGATAGATGTGGGTGGCGCTGTGAGTTAAACCACAGAGCCTAGGATTTGCCGATCAGAAGGTTGGCGGTTCGAATCTCCACGACGGGGTGAGCTCCTGTTGCTCGGTTCTAGCTCCTGCCAACCTAGCAGTTCGAAAGCACGTCAAAGTGCAAGTAGATAAATAGGTACTGCTCCGGCGGGAAGGTAAAAGGCATTTCCGTGAGCTGCTCTGGTTCGCCATAACCTGGAAGCTGTACGCCAGCTCCCTCGGCCAATAAAGCAAGATGAGCGCCGCAACCCCAGAGTCGTCCGCGACGGGACCTAATGGTCAGGGGTCCTTGTACCTTTACCTATGGATAAACAATGACCTTTCGACATTGTAGCGCAGAGTCAAACTACGGAACTTGGTCCCCCAGGAGACAGTGATGGCTGCTAACTTGAGTGGCTTTCAGAGGATTAGACAGAGGAGAGGGCTATCGATGGCTACCAGTCATAATGACTATGTTCTGCCTCCATTGTTGGAAGCAGCAGTGCTTCTGAATACCAGCTGCTGAAAACCACGGGAGAGGAGAGTGCTCTTGCACTCATGTTCTGTGTTAAGTTGTGGGTGAACATATCAGACAACACAGCGATTCTTCAAACAGCTCTTGTTTATTCACAGGCCAGGACAGAACTGAACTGAAGGGTTCAGTCAGCCTGCTTATATAGAGCTCCAGTACAACGTAACTGTAACAATTTTCTAAAACTATCCAATCACTGAACGACACTTTCAATCCCTTATTTGCATAACTATCTACAGTATCCCCCTGCTGGCCCAGGGTGAGAACTTCAGTACATAACATTCTTCTTCCTAGTTTCCCACAGGCATCTGGTTGGCCACTGTGAGAACAGGATGCTGGATTCGATGGCCCATTGGCCTGATCCAGCAGGCTATTTTTTTGTTCTTAGGTTTTTATTAATTAAAGATGGATTGTTATTTTTTAGCTTGAGCCAGAAGAAATCTGACCCTAAATCAACATGACGCCTTACTGAAGTCGTTGCACTCCAGTTCCCATCATTCCCTGCCAGCATGGCCAATGGTCAGGGATGATGGGAACTGGAGTTCAGCAACATCTGGAGGGCACCCCATCGGCTACCCATGTTGTATGCAAATACTCTTCTATTTTTGGCACACCCTATCCAGTTTGTGACTTTCAGCATCTATGTTCATTTTGCTGGAACTTGCAGTTCCATGGATAGCACCAGTTTTGCACAGCAGCTGCATGTATATCACAGCTTTCCCTTTCAAAGTACTTTGCTATTAACATCCTGTATTGAGTACACTTGTTTTCTTACTATTTGAAAGCTCTACTGGGGTCATTCTATAGCTTTTCATATTCACCTTAGCTATTGGAATTTTCACTACACCTGTGACCGTTTAGTGATTGTGCTACTTGTAATATTTTTTAATTAAAACAAAAACAAATTTTCAGAGGCCTCAGTTTCTGCTGTGGCTGCCTGAGGCATATCTATATGGGTTCTGAGATATTTCTGTCCAAGGAATATTGACTCGAGTGAGTAATGGTCTTTGGTGGAAATGAATTCTATTGTTTCCCCTTATCTAAATAATGCCTGCCCTTATCTACATTTACTATAGTCCTGGATTTCAAAAAAATAAGAAGTTAATGTATTGTCCCATAGTTGCTTTTTAAACAAATGTATTGATTTAATAAAAACAGAACATCCCATTAATTTTGTGTTTTGTTGATCAATAATTATATGATTTCCCGCTGTATGTTCCTTAATGATATAATCTACATTATTCAGCATGCTCATTATGTGCACTATTTTGACCAACTGCGTATTTATGACTCTGAGTAACCCTCCTGATTGGACAAAGAATGTAGAGTAAGTTGAATATTATTAATATGCATGTTTGCATGCTTTGTTGTGGACTGAATTCTACTGGAGCTAATACCATTTTTAAGATAGATGTAAGGTGCAATTTGATGGTCCCTGGAAGGGAATTCCAGAGAATTCCAGCCACTCTGGGCGGCTTCCAACCAAATATTAAAATACAGTAATGCATCAAACATTAAAAGCTTCCCTGAACAGGGCTGCCTTCAGATGTCTTCTAAAAGTTTGGTAGTAGTTGTTCTCTTTGACATATGGTGGGAGGGTGTTCCACAGGGCGGGTGCCACTACCAAGAACGCCCTCTGCCTGGTTCCCTGTAGCTTGGCTTCTTGCAGTGAGGGAACCGCCAGAAGGCCCTCAGCGCTGGACCTCAGTGTCCGGGTAGAACGAAGCTCTGGCCCAACCAATATCAGAGCTCTAGTGTTGGTATGGCCAAAAGGGATGGAGTGCTAGGGAGCGGGTACCAGGGAGCAGCTTGGACCGAAAGGACCCAAAGTCTCTCCTGGGCCCCTAATACCACCCCAGGAGGGAAAATTAGACGTATTCTTCCCCTTCCAACATAAATGCATCAAAAAATGAGAGCAGGAATGGCTTTAGAAATGCAAGAGCCTTCATCCAACTCCATCCTCACTTCTGCCCTGCCAACTTGAGCTCAGCAGGGCATTGGCTAAAGTAGTGAAGCTGTTTTCATACTTCTCAGCCACTCATTTAAGGATTGCATCCTGTAGAATGTGGCTAGGATGCAGTGAGCTCACAGGAGTGCAGAGCTGGAGGGGATCCACCTCTTCTTGCACAGTCAAGGCCTGTTCAGCCATTATACTTACAGATAAGGAGAGCAAGCATGTAGGGAACTGGGCTGTGCCAAGTAGTCCCTCCTCCTGGCACCCACACATGCAGCACAAACATCTGAACACAGGGAGGGAGCTTCTACCCATACATACATTGTACAATCTAGAACCCCTGTTGCTTAAGGTTCTACACAGTATGGAAGTCTAAGAACAAAGGTGTCTTTGTACTGTATACTTGGATGTCAGGCACATGGGCCACTTGGCGTGGCCCAGGTCTGTGCTCATATGTTTTCCTTAATTGTAAGTTTAATGCTTAAAGAAGACTTACGCTCAAGAGAATGGGCTGTCAATGGTTGCAGTGGACCCTTCCTGCTATGTATAATTATCTTTATGCCACAAGAGGTGACGGCCGCTAGCTTAGACAGTTCAGAAGGGGAACAGGTCAACCAATAGAGGGCTAGGTCTATGGACAGGCATTGTCCTATAGTCTCTAAAAGGAAAGTCCATGATCAAAGACAGCATGGCTCTGACAACAGATACCTGAGACGAATGATGACTTGACAGCCTTAGAAAAAGATTTGTTTGCCCAGATTTATTTGTTTATTTAAAAACACAACATTTTAATTAACAATGAATATTTTGACTATTTCGCCCAGGTATACATTCACAGGAATATATACATTTGAATCACTTATAAAAATACTTGCAAGAGGATTTTGTATAGATGGTTTCACCTTTCTTCGGGATCCCTGGAACTGGCTGGATTTCACTGTCATTACATTTGCGTAAGTTTTGTGTTCCTTTCTTGCCCATCCCCTTTTTGTTTCTTTTGCATGGAGAGCGTACAAAAACCTATGATGTTTATGGTAATACGATGTGCTTTTCTCAATCGGGGTGGAGAAAATAGATTCTTCAATGACTAATGACTGGATGCAATTTTCTAGTGACTGGTGCATGTTAAACAGTATAATACTGTTATACAACACCAAGGAATATGAATGTGAATAGGCAAATAGATATAGAAGAAACTTCTCTGTACAAGTTTATTTTTGCTGCCAACATATAACCCCCGTGTTCAGGCTTACAGCCAACTGGACTGGAGAAAATAAATCACAGCAGATTAGAGATTCTTCTTTTGTCCTGTGGGTACTTATAACACACAATGAATCAGGGTTTGCAGCTTAAGAAGTTCATGTGGCAAACTATTATCAGTGTTGATCTTCCAGAAAAATCTGCTGTTTGTTCTTCCCCATCTTTAATAAGGATAGTGGCATTGTATGTTTGTTTTTGTGTGAATCCATATATGGTGTAATACTAGCAAAGTAACTAGTAATGTCGATTGTGGAATTCATGGTACACTAGGAGTAAAGTTATTGACAAAGAAGGTAATTTCAAGTCCTGCAATTTTCCCCTCCTACCAAAAGAGGAACACCTTCCCCTTTCTCTTCACAAATGACTTTAATTAAAAAGTTAAGCTTTCCAAGTAAAATCACTGTGGCTCATCCCCCCCTTTCATTTAAATGTAATATAATCACCGCTGAAAGACCTTAATGAAAAGCAAACTGCAGTGAAAGGTAAACATCTCAGTGTCGCTATTTAATTTTTTTCCACTAAAGTTACCCAAGGGATCTTGATGAAAGACCCCAAGTAAGTAGCAAAACATCTGCCTCGATGCTGAATAACTGTGATTTGATTCTACAGGTATATAACAGAATTTGTAAACCTAGGCAATGTTTCAGCTCTTCGAACTTTCAGAGTGTTGAGAGCTTTGAAAACTATTTCTGTAATCCCAGGTAAGAAGTAAGTGGTGTAAGGTGTTAGGTCCCTCGTGCCTCCCAACTGTTCCTTTTTATCCTGTCATTGTGTTTGTGTGTGAACTCCCCTATTGCAGATATGTGACAGAGTTTGTGGACCTGGGTAATGTCTCAGCGTTGAGAACATTCAGGGTTCTCCGGGCATTGAAAACAATATCAGTCATCCCAGGTGAGAGCTAGGTTAAACACAGAGGCTGACTCTCAGACTTCATGGAAATTCAAACCACACACATTCCTTCACCATAAGCCTCGTTGCTTGCTCACTCGAGAAAAAGCAGGACTCATGTTTCGGTAGCAATGAACATTGTGATCCTTTGCTTTTTGCCATTTGCTTTTTTACTTTTGAAACCAGCCTTTGCGTTTAACATGTTGTTGCATGAGATTACGGCAGTATACACAGCCTGTGTGATTTGCATCATATAATGTCAAGCTTTGAGGTCAAGCTGTGACAGAAAACATAATCATAACTGTGACCTTTTTTTACCCATGTGTTTTTTACCTACATACTGTAAAACTGTATTTGCTCTTGGATTTTTTTAATTTTACGAAGACCAATAACTGTATCACAATTGAACTTGTTGAAATATCTAAATCACTATTGAACGCAAAACAGTAAGATTAAAAAATAAAAAATAGCATGGTTGTTGCATGGGAAATTTATTATCTTTTTCCAAACCACCCACAGTTTCTTAGAATTAAGTCCTAGTATGTTATATACTCTTTTACTTAGCAACATGTTATAAAGCTAATTCCAGTTGAGGGTTGGGTTAAAAGTGTTGACAATTTTCTTTAAAAATCCACACCTCTAACACTTCAATCCCAGATCCTAAACATATTTATGCAGGAGCAAGTTGCAATGATTTCAGTAGCACTTCTTTCTGTGTAAAATTGTTTAATCTTGGTACGGTAAGATTTGTTCTGTATGAAGCTAATGAAAAGCATGATTAAAAATCACTTGTTTTGGCATTAAAACAAGTTGTTTTCAAGAATTAAGTGCAGTCCATTTTCATTCACGAGTCCAATAAATATAAACTTCCAGTGACCTCATCTCCACAAGGCGCATCTTCACAAGCAATAGAACCATTGTTAGTTCATAAAATATCAAAGTCATTTATTTGGGCTTCTGCATGGTTTTTTATTGGGGGCAGGGACTGTTACTGGGGTATGTTGTATTTTTAAAATATGTGTTTGTCATCTTCCTAACAGTGCTCTTCTGCTTTCAGGCCTGAAGACAATTGTGGGAGCCCTCATTCAGTCTGTGAAGAAGCTGTCAGATGTAATGATTCTGACTGTATTTTGTCTGAGTGTATTTGCTCTAATAGGGCTCCAGCTGTTCATGGGCAACTTGAGGCATAAATGCTTGTATTGGAATCCGGCCAATGCTACAAATTCAAGTGATCCTTACCTTAATAGCACATTAGAAGAAAATCTAGGAGAAAATGGTACATTTAATAGCACGCCGTTTGACTGGACTGCATACATACAAGAAGAAAGTAAGAATGTAATTTTATATTGTTATTTTAAATAGTAATAGTATTATCATTAATAATATTATATTGCAGTGTGTGGGATTAAATAACCATGACATAAGTATTCATGACATAAGGAGGTTGGGAGCTGTTGAAATCCCCTCAGTTTAATGCTTTTCTAAATAGAAGCTAGCCCTTTTTACAGTTTTTTCCATCAGGTCACTAGGACACAGCAGCCTAAGCCATATTCCACAGGGACTGAATTATGACCCAATTCACACATAATGCTAAACTAAACGATGACTTAGTGCAACCATGCAGACTTCCGGAGAGGAGATGATGACCACTTCGCTTCTCCTTAAGTTCAGCTGCTGCTGTTGCGCAAAGCCATTGTTTTTGCTTAGTGTGCTGTCTGAAACAGCGCTCATGCTTTCTCTTCATCTTGCTCTCAGCTTGTGATGTGAAGAACTGATCTCAGGTAGGGTGTTCCCTAGCTAAGATTCTTCCGTGGCTACCAAAGAAGCCAAGCAAAGGTTGAGGGGTAGGGAAGAGATACAGGAAGGAATGAACATTTAGCACCTCTTCCTGAGCTCTTCCAGCCTGAAGATGTGGTACTTCTGCCATCCATTCCCCAATAGCATCAGAAGAACAAATAAAGTCAGGGTACTAAATAAACATCATTTATGCTTTCATTGTTTTTGTTTGCTTTTAAGATTGGTTATTCCTGTTTGGTCTATTGACCATGGATTCGTTCTTTGTAAAGTTTTTCATGATTTTATTATAGAATACATGGTGCTTATTTTATACTTTCTTAACTTTATTCTTTTGCTTCTATTCATTAGTCGGGACATACTTTCTCTAGTTTGGTTTTCCCCCATTAGGGTTTCCATCTCCTCAGCCTTCTAGAAGCCAAGAGTTTCAGAATCAGAGAGGGTGCCTTTAAAGAGCACCGCCAGCTCCCTCAAGGAGGGAAGGCCAACCACAAAACAGACCTTGCCAGATTTCATAAGGCTTCTAGTGGCTTCATTAGTGGGGCAACATCCCTTCATGACCCATAATAAGGGGAGAACCAGCTAAGAGAGCTCACAGATAGCTTTCTGTGGTCCTGATAACACCTGTCAGAATCTGGATGTAGCTTGCCGAATCATCCTGACTCGGCCTGATACGACCCTGCTTACCAGGACTAGACATTATGTGACCGTATAGAAGAGACATTACTTGATGTGACCTTACTGAAATAAGTTGCCCGTCGATTCCTCTGTGAGGCCCAAGCCACAATGGAACAGGATAGGTGGCACTGATGGAAAAAGCACTCTCCTTTGTTGCCACCAGCCTGACTTGCAGTGACAGAAGAGTCTTGGTGGAAGATCTTGAGATGTGGCCACATTTGCATGGGAGGAGGTGGTCCTTCAGGTACCTAAGTCCCAAAAATAATTACAAAGAAGGAGCGCATCTGAAACGCCACCCTTCCACTGTTAAGTTTTAATCATTATTTACTCTTTCACAGTTAACATACTTCTTTAGTACTGGTAATTTTTGTGCATTTCACCATGAGTGACTAAGGGTGACCAAGATGTCAGTCTGTGAAATGCTCAAGAAATGGGCCACTTCTGCACTTCACTTATAAAAACAGGACATCACACTGTGTGTTTGTGTGTGTTTTTTGTTTGTTTTTTGTAATAGCAGCACTTCCAAAATCTATTTTTTGCCCTTTTTGCCTTCTTTAATTTCACTTGGAGGCAACTATCACAACAGTTTAAGCCGCAGAGCTTCTATTTTAAAATGTATGCCTGTGACAACATGAAATTCACAGTGCACAGAAGGGCATCCCCTGGAGAAACTGAGAAGAAAGGTTCCAGCTTCCATTTCCTAAAGGGATCGATAGTCTCATCATTTCTGGGAACATGTTAATCACACTTTGTAATGACACAATTGCTTAAGCTGTAGGAGGGCAAGCCGCCTACCAGCCTCTTCTGTACTTTTCTTGCAGGGAAGAGGGATGTTTTACCATATCTTATTCGGGTTCCTTAGAATTACTATTTTGAGGTAAACAGTGCCGTCTCAACAACCCTTGCCTTCCCATCCATCCCCAAGAGGTGCAATAATTGTGGAAAAACAGTGAAAGCTATAGAAATTGTCGTCCATATGCTTTTACACTTGGGGGAGGGGGACTTGACCACTTTCAAATTTATGTGTATATTTAGTGACTAAAATGGTTTAGGGTGTGTTTTCGCACTTCTCAGGCTGCTGCAGGTCAAAGTGACCTGTCCGTAGCAATGGGGGAAGAAATTCAGTTTGGTTTCATGGTTTAATGTGAATCTGTATTTTTCAAAACAACACACAAGCCAAAGCTATCCTCTTGAAATTTGCACTTTCCCCAATTTTGCAATGTTCTCCAACCCAAAAAAATGTGCGCAAACATGCATCAAAATTGCAAATATCGTCACCATAGGGGTGGGAATTGGCTGTGGGTGCTAGATCCAGTCCAGTTTTCCATACATCGGCACTTGGTGGATGATGCCTTATCATCCACTGGACAGCGTGACGAATCTGTTTCGCCTTCCATGTTTCACCAAGACCAGATGTCTCCACTGATGTGTATGCACAAATCCTGTCCTGCCTTAGCTGATGTCCTCAGACAGCTGACCGAGTTCAGGAACTGGATATAGATGTTCTTGGTTCTCTTGTGCCAAAGCACTTTTCAACACAATCAGGGTGGTTATTTGCGTCTCTTTCAGTATAGTCATAGCTACAGAGAAGACGAGGGGAGGAGGGTAGAGGGCAGAATGACACAGCCTGTGTATCATAAATAAATGTAGCATGCTAGGTTTGATTAGGATGAATCACCCAGCCTGAAAGAGAAAGCAGCTTAGTACAGTTGCATCTGACACTTTGGTGATTGTGACCATTACTCTTCCATGACAATAACACATTTCTAAATAAAGTAGATAGTAATTTTCTGCCACCCGTGGCTATGCCCCCATTCACAAAGAATGAAATTACCACAGACAGATTCTTACAGAGCAGGGGTGCCCTCAGAGGCCTTCCCTGATGCCCGCAGTGTCCCTTCCTACTATGTTTTCAGTTGTATGTGGTGCCCATGACAGTTTCTGTGGGCATTTGCACCAGTACAAACTGGTGCGCAAACAGCAGGCAGAAGGTTTTTACTTTTCTTACCATAACTTTCCTTGGCTGCCCAAAATCAGGTCAATAACTAAACCCACTCCCAAGCTGCTCTAGGAAGCTACACATTTGCTTATTACATGCAAACTGAGCTATTGAGTGTCGCTCTTTATTGTTTACTTCAAGTTTGGAACCAGGTATGTTATGGGATGATGGTGAAACAGAGGTCACAATTAACTCTGTGATTCAACAACTGGGTGTAAGCCATGCACCGTATTTTTCCGTCTATAAGACGCCCCCGTGTATAAGGCGCCCCCTATTTTGGGGGACTCGGATTTAAGAAAATCCACTCTCAGCACTCTCCGTGTATAAGATGCCCCCTAATTTTGGGCATTATTTTTTAGGGGAAAAACCTAGTCTTATACACAGAAAAATACGGTATTTGTAGCCTATGGGATGGGTCAGGTCCCCAGATAGTTCTTATGGAGTTCTTGGAGGATCTAAGAATCAGTTTGTGAGTTTCATTTTATGCTCTAAGGCACTCCATATTTAATTCTTATGTAACAATCAGCTGAAAAGTTGGCTAAATTCCTTATGCATTCACTCAAGCTAGAGATCCATTAATTAGATTGAAGGGTAAATTTAACCACTTGCTACCATGAGATGAACTTGGTGATGCCTCCATTTATTATGGGACAAAACAATGGAGCATCCTAAAGGCAATATTATTTGTGATGGCTCCAGTGACCTAGTTTTTCATTGTGCCTACTCTATAGAACTGGGACCTTTTTAACATCCAGCAAAGTTGTTGGTGTCCTCTTTTTATGACTTCCCTCAATACCCTCGTTCTCTTTGGACAGCCTCGTAAGATTACCCACCACCAACTGCTCTTTCCCTTTTCACATTGGAATTGTTGGTGAAAGGGTTCCAAGAATGAAGCCACAGAGAAAAAGAAAAAAATAGAAATAGAAATAGAAATTATTATACTGTATGATTCAAAATTGCTGGGTTATTTTCTCCTAATGTTTTGAAATAATTTTTTTTCCAAACAGGTCATTTTTACTTTCTGGAAGGACAAAATGATGCATTGCTTTGTGGCAACAGTTCTGATGCAGGGTAAGACCACCTCCTACCATTAAGCTTTAAAAATACAAAGTAAAAACAGGTTTTAACATTGTTGTGTACCTTATAATTGATAACTATAACCTGACATGGTGTATAGCTGGAGGGTAGCCAATATGGCACTTGCTAGATGTTTGTGAACCCCTTCACCCAATGTCCCTGGCCACTGGCCATGATGGTCCGGGCTGGTGGAAGCTGGAAGTCCAAGAACATCCAAAAGGCACCGCATTGGCTACTCCTGAACTAGAGAATTGGATTTGATCTGCTCTGATTTAGGCTTCTTTTTAAATAATTTGATTGTGGTCATTGATTAAATATGTCAAATTGGAAATGGGAAGCAAGAGACCAAATTTTTAAAAAATGGGAAACCTAGACTTGAATCTTACCTTACTGGAAGATCTAATTCTCATCCTGAATGGATGTGAAGAAAGCAGATAGCTGGTGGTCCCAATGGAGCAAGAGGGAGAGAAGGAACAAAAGGCAAGGAATTTGGGTTAGGAACTTCCTGTGCAGGGTAGGGCCTACCCACTCAGCTATGCCCATATGTGTATCCATTGCAAAGTAGGCATTTCACTAGCTTTGATGCCTGGCTGTTTTTCAACCTAACATCTTTTTTTCTTTTTCAGTCAATGTCCGGAAGGATACGTGTGTATAAAAGCTGGTAGAAACCCAAACTATGGCTATACAAGCTTTGATACGTTTAGCTGGGCCTTCCTGTCTCTCTTTCGACTGATGACTCAGGACTTCTGGGAAAACCTTTATCAGCTGGTGAGAGAGGATAATTTTTGTAGCGAAAGCTTAACATATATGCTGGTTTCAAAACAAAACCTGTGCAAGTAACCTGAGTACAAATATTGTATTGGCTTACAAGAGTCACACGGGGAAGGGTGTTGCAAACTCATATATTACTTTTTTATATTAAAAAAACCCCCTATTGTTTTCTCTAGACATTGCGAGCCGCCGGCAAAACGTACATGATCTTTTTTGTCCTGGTGATTTTCCTGGGCTCTTTCTACCTGATCAACTTGATCTTGGCTGTTGTTGCCATGGCCTATGATGAGCAGAACCAAGCCACCATGGAAGAAGCTGAGCAGAAGGAGGCCGAGTTCCAGCAGATGCTGGAACAGCTGAAAAAGCAACAAGAAGCAGCTCAGGTATATTTCTGATGGGAAATAATTGAACATAATAATTGAACACCGTTCTAGCTGAATGTATCATTTAGAAAGCTGCCGTGCCTTAAAGGCGTTTTCTTCAGTTCAACCAGCTCCCAAAAGATACTGTGAAAAGAAATCTACCTGATATTTTGTCTGGTTTTTATGATATATATTTCCTATTTAAGTCCTGCCCAGGTGTTTACCATAGTTTGAGGGAAAGAGGGTACTACACTCCCTGGCCTGACCTTAACCTTAATTAGAGTATTAGGGGGGTGGTTGTATTGTTGGCTGCCTTGGCACCTTCAGGTGAAAAGTCAAGGTACACATTTTCTAAAATAAAATAAACGCATAAATAAAATTCGGTGCAGGTGCATGTAAGGAGAAGTATAAGGCACAAAACTGAATATGTATAAGGAAAAGAACCATTTTGATTTTATAAAACTAAATCTATGCCTGGACTTTTCTTATGGAGTTTCGAGTGTTTTAAGTTTAGAAACGCTGTTATTTTCATGAGGCCAGCGAAATAAAACCCCACAATGCTTTATGGCAGGCAGCGGCGACAGCAGCGGCGACGGCATCGGCTGAGTCGAAGGATCCGAGCGCAGGTGGCGGCGTAGGGGGGCTTTCTGAAAGTTCTTCTGAAGCGTCCAAGTTGAGTTCGAAGAGCGCCAAAGAGAGGAGAAACAGAAGGAAGAAAAGAAAACAAAGGGAACAATCTGGAGGAGAAGAAAAGGACGAAGATGAGTTTCATAGATCTGAATCAGAAGATAGCATCAGGAGAAAAGGTTGCCGGTTCTCTATTGAAGGGAACAGGCTAACACTAGAACGGAAACACTCTTCTCCCCACCAGGTATCTGAGTATTTCGTTTCTCTGTCTTTTAGTAGTAACTGTAGTATATTGCCTTCTGGTATTGCTAATCTAAGAATGACCTTTTTTGCATGGCAGACTGCTTAAAATTAAATGCAGTATATAAATGTGGTCTACCCAGTGCTTTTTTATATAAAAATTTTTTTAGGGGTACTCTCATTTTGACTCAAGAAAATCACCATTTTATAGTTCAAATCGGGGGAAATCAATACAGTAAAGGGTAAACGGACAATATTATTATTATTATTTATTATTATTTATACCCCGCCCATCTGACTGGGTTTCCCTGGCCACTCTGGGTGGCTTCCAACAAAGATTAAAAATACATTAAAATATCACACATTAAAAACTTCCCTGAACTGGGCCGCTTTCAGGTGTCTGCTAAAAGTCTGGTAGTTGTTTTTCTCTCTGACATCTGGTGGGAGGGCATTCCACAGGGCGTGTGCCACTACCGAGAAGGCCCTCTGCCTGGTTCCCTGTAACTTGGCTTTTCGCAGTGAGGGAACCACCAGAAGGCCGTCGGCGCTGGACCTCAGTGTCCGGGCAGAACAATGGGGGTGGAGACACTCCTTCAGGTATACTGGACCGAGGCCGTTTAGGGCTTTAAATGTCAGCACCAACACCTTGAATTGTACTCAGAAATGTACTGGGAGGCAATGTAGGTGGTCTCAGCGGCCGCTCCCAGTAACCAGTCTAGCTGCCGCATACTGGATTAGTTGTATTTTCCAGGTCACCTTCAAAGGTAGCCCCACATAGAGCGCATTGCAGTAGTCAAAGCAAGAGATAACCAGAGCATGCACTACTCTGGCGAGACAGTCCGCGGGCAGATAGGGTCTCAGCCTGTGTACCAGATGGAGCTGGTAAACAGCTGCCCTGGATACAGAATTGACCTGCACCTCCATTGACAGCTGTGAGTCCAAAATGACTCCTAGCTGCGCCCCTGGTCCTCCAGGGGCACAGTTATCCCATTCAGGACCAGGGAGTCCTCCACACCTGCCCACCTGCTGTCTCCCCAAAACAGTACTTCTGTCTTGTCAGGATTCAACCTCAATCTGTTAACCACCATCCATCCTCCAACCACCTCCAGACACTCACACAGGACCTTCACCACCTTCACTGGTTCTGATTTGAAAGAGAGGTAGAGCTGGGTATCATCCTCAAAGTACAAAGAACATGCATTACCTCATATTACACAGCTGACAGCTCACAGTAACTTCCACATTGGCGTGAGGTTGTGTGCACTAACATCTTCCCGATTCCTCTGCTTGCTCTTGGTGTCCATCACCATCGGAGGTGGTAACAACCAAATTGACCAATCACTATGCTAGATTCCCACTCCTACTTCACACATTAAACGCTCGCTTCTGTCTGTGACTCAGGAAACACTGTGACAGGAAATGAGGCCACCATTGGGGGTAGCAATGGAACTGACGATTCACTGTGCTAGAGAAGAAACTAATTTTGTAAATAATTTTTAGTTTCTTCTCCCGTTAGATTCACAAAATGTTTAGGGGTGTGCATACCCCTGTGTCCCCCCATAAAAAAAGCACTGAGTCTACCAATTTAATGTATAATAATGATAATAATATGGAAATTGACATGGTGTTTGAGAATCAACGGGTAAAGGGAGGTGGGGATCTGCATTTTGCTTATCCTTTTTCGGACCTCTGTACATGCTCTATAGCTAACTGCCATGTTCTCCTGTGTTTCTCTGCAGTCTTTGCTGAGCATGCGTGGCTCCCTGTTTTCCCCAAGGCGCAACAGCAGAACGAGCCTTTTCAGCTTCAGAGGTAGAGCAAAGGATATAGGATCAGAGAATGACTTTGCTGATGATGAACACAGCACATTTGAAGATAATGATAGCAGAAGAGATTCCCTTTTTGTGCCGCGCAGACATGGTGAACGGCGCAACAGTAACATTAGTCAGGCCAGTAGGTCATCCAGGATGCTGGCAGTGTTTCCAGTGAATGGGAAGATGCACAGCACTGTGGATTGCAATGGGGTGGTTTCCTTGGTTGGTGGACCATCTGTTCCTACATCGCCTGTTGGACAGCTTCTGCCAGAGGTGATAATAGATAAACCAGCTACTGATGACAATGTAAGGAAGTTTTAAATAGTTCAGGCATGGTGGCCTTTTCTTAATGCACCAGCCAGTGTGTCTACAGAATGGAATCCCTTGGGAATGATCCTTGGTTGGTCAAGCTGTGAATGCTCCTGCATCTTGTAATACCTTTTTATATATACTAACAAAATCAATTTAAAGCATAATTTTTGCAAAACAAGCAGTGGAGAGAGAGAGAAAAAATTGTCTGGAGAATGTGCAAAATATATTGCTTTGTGTGTTTTATATTCAGAAAACCTTGCTGGATCCTACATTTATCTGGCTATGAATTAATTGTATCTGGCCAGGTCCAATAAAAAAATCATCTTACTCCACAACTAAGAGGAAGTTATAACTTTTGGTACCATATGGATTCTGACACTGCCTTGGTTGTACATAAATTTGATTACATTCTGTCTCGTGAACATCATTACAACATACAAACAACGTGGCTAGAAGTTCTGGTTCCCCAAACATTGGTAAAATCACTCCAAAATTTCACTTTTTATATTTAGCATTTTCATGCATCTTTCAACCTGATGCTCCATTTTTGGCTGACAAAGTAAATATGATATTTAATTACCACATTGATGCACACACTTTTCAAATTACAAATATATGTGCACATATCTGCTGTCACATATACACACACTATATGTTTCTAGCTATCTCAATAAAAATTATAGGACTTTTCTGTGCTGATTTGGAGAAGCATGACAATGCTGGATTTTTAATTTTAATTTTAACTTTTATTTTGATTTGGTTTGAATGAAAAGCTTGCTATCCATTTTAAATGCGGAAGATAAGCAAGTGACATGCCTTTTTTTCCTTTTTCTTTCTCTCATTCTAATTTTTATTTATAACCTGGGATTTATGCTGTAATCCTATGTGTGGGAAACGCTCACAAGTAAATGATCTAAGGGTTACAGCTGTTGACTGATTAATTCCAATTCATTTCTTCTCCCACCAACTGTTCTCTTTAAAAGAGAAGAGTAAAAGGTTGTTTTACATAGATCTTGCGCCTAGTATGTTGGGGGGCGGTATTTCCCCATTTGGCAAAGTCTAGCATGCTCTCCAAGGCTGAATTCCTGCTCATCTTTACTTGGAAGCAAATCCCATTGAAATCAATGCATAGGTTGAAACGTATGGGTAAGTGGGACTTTGCAATGCTAATGAACATAAGCAAGGCAGTTTAAAACGCAACGAGAACCCATGGGATGTTCCCTGAGAGTCATCTGAGAAGTATAACAATGAAGTAACTGAGATGAGGACAGCATGTTTCTTACAAATACTTTTAAGAGATTTTTTAAAAAAACAAAAAAAATACCAGGTTAATAATACAATAAATAACTAAGATTTGGCATGAATAATTAAGCGTAACTCAAAAGCATGACGCATGTATGCCTTCAGACTTAGACATTCTTCATATAAGCTGCCATGCTCAACCACTGCTTTCATGATGATCTTATATTTCACTCTTTCTTTTGCAGGCCACAACCACAGAGACGGAAATGAAAAAAAGAAGATCAAGTTCTTTTCACGTTTCTATGGATTTTTTGGAAGACCCTACTCTAAGAGAGAGAGCAATGAGTATAGCTAGCATAATCACAAACACCATGGAAGGTATATACAGAGAAAGAGAGAGAGAGAGAGAGAGGGAGGTTCCTTCAAATGTACTAAACGTGTTGCCCCAAACTACTCTGTAATGATTACCGCTCTGTGAAATGCCAGGATTAATGCACAAGATTGTGGTAGGTTACACTAGGCTTCCTCAAATTCTCGACAGCCCAGCAGCAGAAATGTAAGAATACAGTTTGGAAATGTATGCTGGAAGAACATGTTATGAAACAGTGGGAAGGGGAAAGAAGGAAGTCCCAATTTCTGGTGAAACTAGAAGTCAGAAAGTTAAGCAACAGCAAAGGCGTCTCAGAGGAGGGTTTTTGTAAAGGCAAAGGGTTGTGCACATGGAACTGGAATTGTCACCTTTTTTAAACAGGTGGAGTTATCACTGCTTTAAAAAAGCAAGTCTATTGCAAGGAAGTGTACCTTATGCCCTCCTGACAATGGCCGGATTCGGCATTGTGAGCGCAATTCAAGTTCCTAGTATTGACCTTTTAAGAATTCTAAGCACCTGTGATCCCCCACTACCTGAGGAATTCCATGTGGACATAATAGTCCTGCTGGCTTAGGTGAAAGGTTTATCTAGTCCAGCATTCCATTTCCTATGGTGGCCGACCAGATGTCTCGGGGAAACTCAAAAGCAAGGCATGAGATCAATAGCCATCTCTCTGCTATTGTTCCACAGCAATTGACATTCAATGGCATCATATTTTAGAACCTGTAGAAACCATTTTGCCATCGTGACTAGCAGCGATTGACAGACTTATCCTTCACAAATTTGTCTGCTCTCCTTTTGAAGCCTTCTGACCTGGAGGCCATTGCTGAGTTTTGTGGCAGTGAACTGTGTTGAAGAAATACTTCGCCTGTCTTGAAGCGTCTGCTAGTTAGCATTATGATGACTTTGGCTTCTAATATTATGTGGGAAGAGAGGGGCTTCTCCATCCACGTTCTCGACCCCCTGCATAATTTACTGTGTCCCTTATCTGCCATTTCTGTAAACAAAAAAGCACCAAACATTGGCTATGTTCAGAAGACACACTAAGCCAAACCATGGCTTAGCATGAATGTGATAGCAATCTAGGAGATTGCAGTCACTTTGCTTCTCCCCAGACTTTTTCGGTCACTGTGGCCCAGCAGGTAAGCCAATTTTTGGCTTAGCTTGTTGTTTGACCTCAGGATCATGTCCAGGTCTCTCCTACAATCTGTAGCTAAGTTTGTAGTCTTAAGTGGGAGAGAACTTAAATCGTGATCCTGGATTCAGATGAGACACTAGGCCAAACCTTGGTTTAGCTGTCATCCTGCCCTGAAATTAAAAAACAAACATACAGAGAAGAGCACAGCAAGCATGAGCTCCCCCTGAGCAGCAAGTAATTTTTCTGTGGACACTATAAGCTGTATTCTGGCTTATTGTGATGTCAGGCCATTGTAACTTTCCATATAAGAGAGCCACTGTTCATTTTGGTTATTCTTTTCTGTATGTTTTGCAGCTCAACAATGCCCTTTTTGAAATGTGGTGCTTCTCTGTGTCCATGTCTCCATATTTTAAGAGAAGTTCATTCAATGAGGACATGGAGCAGTGACATATGCACTGCTATATTTCTAGAAAAAAAAGGTTCTGGAACTCATCATGAACACCTCTCTTGTTATTTTATAATGACAGTGGCTCCCACCTGACTTCCGCTGAGTTCTGGCTGGAAAAAAAGCCCTGGATATAAGTGTGTGTATTGTGAGTGCTTGACTAGGCTACCCTCTTTTTCGTAGACCTTCTAAGTTCCCAGACACCATTTTTGAGATCGTACATGACTCAGCCTTTCATCTTTTCTTCTTATTTCTTTATCTCTGGACTCAGGTGGACCAGAGGAAGCAGAAACAATAGAACCATCTCTCTCTCTCTTTTTGATTTTGTCTTAGCCATGTTTGAGGTGGCATTTCCTGAATTAGGAAGAGTCAGCATGAAACAGTGTGGTCTTCTTTTTCTTTTTAACAGAACTTGAAGAGTCACGGCAGAAGTGCCCGCCGTGCTGGTACAAGTTTGCAAACATTTTCTTGATCTGGGACTGCTGTCCATGTTGGCTGAAAGTAAAGCATTTTGTTAACATCGTGGTGATGGATCCGTTTGTTGATCTTGCTATTACAATTTGCATTGTTTTAAATACCCTTTTCATGGCAATGGAGCATTACCCAATGACAGATGAATTCAGTAATGTGCTTTCTGTTGGGAACCTGGTAAGTCATCCATTGGATAGTGCATGAGATATTTAACTTTTGTTTGTTTATAAAGGCTAAGTTAAAAATTGCATTCCCCACCCCTACCCCTTTAATAAAGAAACTAGTAGTGGAGAATGCTTGGATAGCTGTGTATGCCAATACAACATACAGGAGGTCTCATTTCGAACTCATATAACTTTGTCTTCATAAACCCTTTAATATAAAGCAGTTTTCTTCATTGTTCATTTTCAGTGTAGTGGAATTCTGAATTATCTAGATCAAAGGAGTGTATGGCGGAAATATAATTACATAGCAATACTTTCAAAAGCAGCAACAATGGCTACCCCTAATCACACTCCCAAGATGGCGCCTCTGACCAGAATATATGAACAGAAAGATCTGTCTAGAATGCTGCTTCTGAATTTAAAATTGTCTTCAAGATTAGGCGTCATAGCTAACTTAAGTCATACTCAGAGTGGAACCACTGAAAGTTAGTACTGATTTCAGTGAGTCTACCTGGAATATGACTTAGCTGGACTCAGTCCTAGATGTTTAATAATGTGATGACTGAAATCCATTGATGCTGACTACTGTAATGCCCTGCTTGTTTTTCTGTTTTAGCTATTCTTATGGGGAAATATGCACAGCGTCTTCTGCCGCACTAGCACAATATTGCACTTGTGGCATTGGCACATTTGCCAATGATTGACAAAGCCAAAGTTCTCTCAAGGATGGGGGTAAATTAAGTCTGGTTCTCACAGTAATGTGAACCTACTTAATTTGCACTTCCTGAAACAATATACAGACTGAAACTCATCCATCCTTTGAAAACCACACTTTTCTGAATTTTGAGATGCAGCTCTCCAGTGAAATAGCATGTACAAAAATGTGTGTGTTGTGGGAAGGGTGCATAAATGGCATGTATTATTAGTGAAAAACCATGTACAAAATGCATCTGTGTTAGAGGATAAATACATTGGAAATGCTGACAATTTTTTTGTGAGAATATATATATATATATATATATATGCGCAAATTGAATTTAAGATTGGAAAAATGAGAAAGTGAAATTGACAGATCTGCCTAACTCTGGATGCCATATTGCAAATGTATCCAGGGAACAAAGTAAACAGTGAAAGGTTCACAATCTAGATTTGGAGAGAAGCAAAATCGGACAGTTTGGCTCAGATTCAAACTTTGCACAGGACCTACAGATTGAAGACCTGTCTGAGGAACACTCATGGTTGAAAGGCTGGCCGTATGTTCTCCAAAAACAGGGAATCTAATGCCCAGAAAGGAAGATGAGAGTTGGAAAGAGACAAGACAGCTCAGTCATTTTCAGGGCAACCATCATAGATTATTGTTCCAACATTGTTAGGTTTGAACAGTGGCTCAAAGTACAGATGACAGACATGGGAACGTTTTCCCTCAGGGCCATTTGCCATGTGTAGTGGCCAATGTGCTGTTGTGTATGCCCACATGCTGCTTTTAGAAAAATCAATGAAAGAATCCAGTACTAAAAGATGTATGAACAAAGACCTCCAAAAGCATTTGTAGGCATGCTTCATGTAGCCATGGTCATCTTCTGTATGTCTGCTGTAATTTTAAACTTTTGCAAATTCATGTATTTGTATTTCCCATTTAGGTTTTCACTGGAATCTTCACGGGAGAAATGTTTCTGAAACTAGTAGCCATGGATCCCTATTATTACTTCCAAGAAGGCTGGAACATTTTTGATGGCTTTATTGTCACCCTTAGTTTAGTTGAACTTGGCCTGGCAGACGTGGAAGGACTGTCAGTTCTTCGGTCTTTCAGATTGGTAAATTGTTTCAACCGATATGTCTAGCCGATGTTATTGCTGAATCATCTTATTTCCTTTTCCATGATTTTAGGAATTCTGAGAATCTAAAAATAAAAAATGCTGTAGAGCTATCTTAAATGGAAAACTTACATTATAAAAGACACAGTCCAGTAAAAGTTAGTCAATACTAAATCCCATTGAAACCAATGATATGGCATGCATTTACTCAACAAGTTCCATGAGTTTCAGTGAGCTGTAGGGCCAAGATTCAAGTCAGATATTTAAACAAGGGTGTTTAATCTGGACACTTCGATTCTGGAGAGAAATTTGTCATGGGGTCCCTATCTGAAACCTCCCCTGGGTGTTGACTGGGGACCCATGGCAGGTTTCTGTTGAAAATGGGCTCCTCCAGGTTGCTTTTTATTTCCAAAAATTGATGTTTACTGCAAACACTACCTATGAGGGGACAAAGAGAAGCCAAGTAAGAGACAATTTTTTAACTGAAAACTGCTTTAGGGTCCTGATCTATATCAGGAGCCTGTTCTGGATCAGAGCTTCAAAATGAATTGATTAGGTTAACCACCCTTATTTAAACGTGTGACTAGCATCACATATTGTTTGGCCTAAGGAAGTGCGCACAAGTTTGCAGGCTTTCAGTGCAATTCTACGGAGAATTCATTTGAAATAAATTAGTTAAACAAGATTTAAATCTACATCATGTTTGAATCATGGCGTTACTAAAGCCCCATCAATTTCAGTGGAACTTAGTGGCACTTAACTTTTTCCGGAGTGGGCCACAAACTTTTTCACAAGTTTGTATTCACCCTTACAGACAACATTTGTCAATTTACCTTTTTTGTTTTCCAGCTCCGGGTTTTCAAATTGGCAAAATCCTGGCCGACGCTAAATATGCTGATCAAAATTATTGGCAACTCTGTGGGAGCTTTGGGAAATCTGACCTTGGTCCTGGCCATCATTGTCTTCATTTTTGCCGTGGTGGGCATGCAGCTGTTCGGCAAAAGCTACAAGGAATGTGTGTGCAAGATTGCAAAGGACTGTGAGCTTCCGCGCTGGCACATGAACGACTTTTTCCACTCTTTCTTGATCGTGTTCCGAGTGCTTTGCGGAGAATGGATAGAAACCATGTGGGACTGTATGGAAGTTGCAGGTCAAGCCATGTGCCTTACAGTATTCATGATGGTTATGGTGATTGGAAATTTAGTGGTATGTAACTTTTTTAAAAAATATTCTAGATCTATACTGAGTCTAGCAAATAGCCTAGACTGTTTCATCAAAGCTCTTAAAACACATCCATTTACAGGGGAGGTTTTTCAGATAATCAGTGAACAAAGTGATCAAAGTTTCATATTCATTTTAACACTAGAAGCGATCGGCAAGCGAAATCATAGTTACTAGCTTACCCCAAAAAATGTTTTTCTAGCATCCACTCTTCCCTCGCTTTATACACTTTTGGGCCAATATAAAACCTTGCAATGACCTTGAGTAGGAATTGGCAAACAGTATCACGTCAAGCTGTGCAGACAGGAGAGGAGGAGAGCAGTGAATGGACTTGCTAGTAGGCAGTTTTGCTGGGAGAGATGTCAGCCCTTAATCTCCTTCATAGTTGCCTACACTATGCATGAATCCCTTCTGAATCTACAACGGTAGGTTTATGTACTGGGCTGCAGGCCTTTATCTCAAACATGTTATTCCAGGGCAATACATAAACTGAGCAAAAATTAGGATCTTTTTCTCTCCCTCCCCTCCCTTTTGTTTAGGTACTGAATCTATTTTTGGCATTGCTGCTGAGCTCATTTAGTGCAGACAACCTTGCTGCCACAGATGATGACAACGAAATGAACAATCTCCAGATTGCTGTGGCAAGAATAGATAGAGGAGTAGACTACATGAAAAGAAAAATCCGAGAATTCATCCAAAAGTCCTTCGTTAAAAAGCAGAAAGCTTTGGACGAAATCAAGCCCCTTGAGGAGCTAAATAAGAACAGCTGCATTTCTAACCATACTATTGAAATTGGTAAAGATCTGGATTATCTTAGGGATGTGAATGGAACCACAAGCGGCATAGGGACAGGGAGCAGTGTGGAAAAATACATCATTGATGAAAGTGATTACATGTCATTCATAAATAACCCAAGCCTGACTGTGACTGTGCCAATAGCTCTTGGAGAATCCGATTTTGAAAATTTAAATACAGAGGAGTTCAGCAGTGAATCAGATTTGGAAGAAAGCAAAGAGGTGAACCTTTAAATACTGTTAATCTACTTGATCTAGTAATAATAACAACAATCTATTTCTGTATTGCTTTTTAGGATTTAGCCAGTGTCAAATTAGAGGATTTTTATTATTATTTCATATAATTTATATCCCGCTTGGTTGCTTAAAAAAAAGACCTCCTTAAAGCCCTTCAAATGTAACAAAGAGCACCCATAATGACTTTTTGTCATCTACTTCATTGATATTGCTGCTGTAAATTGAATCACATGGTTTCAGTCCTGTCGCAAGTTGTGTTGTTTGTGCAATTCCTAATCCAAGGGCAACTTTCATACAAATGACGATATATATAACATCTGATAAAAGTTACCAGAAACACTAGATACAGGTAGGTAGCCATGTTGGTTTGCTGTAGCTGAAACAAAATAAAAAAATTCCTTCCAGTAGCACCTTAGAGACCAACTTAAGTTTGTTATTGGTATGAGCTTTTGTGTGCATGCACACTTCTTCAGATCCTGAACACTAATAAGCACTAATGAACTGTGAGCAGTCACGCAAGGAGTTTTGCAGACCTGAGTGTACTCTTGTATCAATGTTGTTGTTTTTCTCCACCTTTATTTTTTTCTTTAACAGAAGCTAAATTCTTCTAGCTCATCCGAAGGAAGCACTGTTGATATTGGACTTCCTGCCGAAGAACAACCGGAAGTAGAACCCGAGGAAGCAGCTGAACCTGAAGCTTGCTTTACAGAAGGTCAATATTCAGAATCTGAAATGTTTGTGTGGCTTCTGGTTAGCTTTCTCGCTAGAAGAGATGAGCTGTGATGGAATGTGAGCCATCTGTGGGGTGGCTAATGCTTTTTTGGTTCAGGGCCACATTCTCTCTTGGCCAACCATCCTAGGCAGGGGGCACATATTCCCGTGGTGTGTCCACAGGACATAGTTGCAGACAGGCAGACATTTATATAAGCACCCACCCACCCACACAAATTCAGCTGATGCATGCAATGGCGCAAAATTGTTAGGTGTGCAAAATTTCAGCACAGTGCTGCCTCAGTACAACTGCACACTTCTGTTGCTGGCTCTGCTGAAAATGGCTTCTCCATGCAAACCAGGAAGTGGCCTTTCCAGACAATGGAACAGCTCTTCTTTTCTTATTTCTGCAGCTGCAAACTCCTAGGTGATACAGACACAGTTGAATGTGAATGTGTACTCTGTCCATTTCTCTCCTTCCCACCCCACTCCCTCCATGGTCCCAGGTGCTGGCAACCCACACTATGTCACTGGATGTACGTAGATTGTCTGAGGAGAGGGTTAACATTTGCTGATGCCACTACAATCATGGAATCCTACCCGCCCCGCCCCGCCCCAAAATTGCCTATGAAGCTAGACCCTGCCCCCATATGGGGGGGGGTTAGCCACCCCTGTTCTACAGGAAGTTAATATTCTTGCAGAAAGACCACAGCTTAATACAGTGATATCTTGGTTTACGAACTTAATCCGTTCCAGAAGTCTGTTCTTAAACCAAAGTGTTCTTAAACCAAGGGGTGCTTTCCCAAAGCAGCGGGGGACTCAATTTGCACTCAACAGGAAGCGGAACATGTTCTGCTTCCAAGGCAAAGCTCACAAACCAAAACACCTACTTCCGGGTTTGCAGCATCCTTAATCCAAGTTGTTCATTAACTAAGCTTTTCTTAAACCAAGGTACCACTGTAATTCAGATGTCACAGTGGGATATGTGAAAGTAATTAATATCAGGAGGGTTTTCCTTCTGTCTCCTCAAAAATCTAATTTATTGTTTCAGGTTGCGTGAGAAGGTTCAAGTGCTGTGATGTTAGTGTAGAAGAAGGGAGAGGAAAACAATGGTGGAATCTTAGAAAAACCTGTTTCCGAATTGTTGAGCACAACTGGTTTGAAACCTTCATTGTCTTTATGATTCTTCTTAGCAGTGGTGCGCTGGTAAGTGAAAACAGAAGAGACGTTAAAAACAAATGTTACTTTAAAAAAATTATTATTATTTGCATAGTAGGTACACTACATCACATTTTCGCTTTTAAAATTATGGAAACTGAATGATAATTTCACTTGTTGCTAGTTGTCTCTAGCACCCATGAAATACCTAATACAAGTGACCAATTCGCTTTTGATTAAGACAAGACACAGAGAGAAAATATGTTACCTAATGGAAGTACAGGGCAAATAGGAAATAAGTTGTATTATTTAGACTTGCTGCAGCTCACCCATTCACTGGTGTATGATATTAGTCTCTGCTGTCTACAGTTTGTGTTTTTATAAAGTAGGGAGGGGGAACAACTTCATAGATGTCTTGCAGATGGACTATTAAATATTATGAGAATTCCAATATGGCCAAAAAATTGTACCGTGCTGCTTCTTTATATGAGGAAATCATTTGTGTTACAGAAATAGCAAGAATGGCAGGAGTGTATGGCGTTATCATTTATACCAGAGATAAAAGAGCGTCTCTAAAAGGGTTGCAAAAAGGTTTTTAAAATAAAGACTAGGAACAAAGTGAAAAGCAAACCAATCTTCCAGTCCTTCTACCATAATAAACAATAACACTAAACATTTGGGAACAATTTGCAGGCCTTTGAAGACATATACATTGAACAGAGGAAGACTATAAAGATCATTCTAGAATACGCTGACAAGGTCTTCACCTACATCTTCATTCTCGAGATGCTTCTGAAGTGGGTAGCATATGGATATCAAACATACTTCACTAATGCCTGGTGTTGGCTGGATTTCCTGATTGTTGATGTATGTACCCTAAGAGTTTTATTTATATATATTTATATGTATATATGTATATATATACAGGTGTGGAGTGCTCATGTTTTTTAGGGTGCCAGCCAGTTAGCATTGACTTTTTCAGAACTTATCCATACCACTTCAATTTCCCTTTCCCTTTCTCTCAAACAGCCAATCAACATTGTGCATGCACTGAGCATGCTCAGGACTCACTGGCCTTCCCTCCCCACCCCCAAAAATATTTTTGTGCTTTTCCTAATATTGGGATTCCACCCGCACCCCACCCCCGGCCTACTGATGCCTGTCTCCTGTGTGTGGATTGTGCCATTTTCCATAGGGGTCCACTCTGAAAATGAGTTCATAATTAATATTAGATCCTTCGCAAATAATAATAATAATAATTACCATAAAAGATAAGCACATAACCCATTTTCCACATGGTGGAAGAACAATCACTCTAATATTGCCTTGGAATAGGCCATTAGCAAGTAGTGTATTGCTTTAAAACTTTAGAATGCATTAGCATCGTATTAGCAAACTTCACAGAGTTCTACTATTGTGGATTTCATATCGGTGGTAGCCAACGTGGTACTCTCCAGATATGGGCTAAAACTTACATCAGCCTTGACCATTGGCCATTCTGGCTGGGCCTGATGAAAATAGTGGTCCTAAATATCTGGGGGGGGGGGGACAATACATTGGTTATCCCTATTCTACAGCAACACTTGGTACTGACAAGTGCCATCCGCTATTATGATTACAAATCATAACATCTGGAATGCCCTTTTGCATTTATTTTTTTTAAAAAACACATTAAAATCTTGCATCATGAGAGAATGCAAATTAAATCTCAAAGAGAACAACATTTAAATTATATATTCACTTAAGAATATATAAACATTGTGAAAAGTCAAACCAAACCTTTTTAAAAAACGGATAATTCTCTCCAGTCTTACATATTTTACTGCAGAGAAAGATTTTCCAGGCTTTAACATACAGTGTTCCTGTATGGGACCCAACCTTGCACCTCAGTGGTCCTCCCAAAATAGCCAAAGTGTGTGTTTTTACCCCTTGCTGTGTTGAAATATTCGTTCTTAGCTGTACTAGGCCCTGTTACACATTTCCAGAGTCAACTGAGAAACCCATTTTGACCACTGCAACCCATTCGCCCAACTTTCATATGGTGAGCTAATGTATGAATTAAAGGTCCAAAGTTGGCTGTACTGGATGATGTGCTTTTGAGTGCTTATAGTCCTGTGATTCCTTCAAACTCCACAGTCCTGAATCTACAAAGCCTTATAGCATAATATAATGCAAAGTGGCAATTTTTCTTTTTCTTATTTTTTTTTAACAGGTATCATTGGTTAGCTTAACAGCAAATGCATTGGGTTACTCAGAACTTGGAGCCATCAAATCCCTTAGGACACTGAGAGCTCTGAGACCTTTACGGGCCTTGTCAAGATTTGAAGGGATGAGGGTAAGATGAAATGAGAGAAAAGTCTGCCAGACATAAAACGCATGCCTAAATGTAAGGAATGTTCTGTGCATGCCTTTGTGAGGAATGACATAACCATGCAGAAATGCTGCCCTTTCATTCTATTGCACATTTATCAGTAATAGATAAGCAGAAAGCTTCATTAGCAAACCTTAACCCTTTATTCAGTACCACGCATAAGCTGTGTGCATTTATATTACTTTACTTTCTAGCCGATTTGAGGAGTTTGTCAGATTTGCTAATAGTGATTTGAAAGGTGAGTTGATGCTGTGTCATTTTGTTTCTGATAAATTAAATATTTTTTACTTCATTATCTAGTTTACACAGCTTGTTGAAAGGGTGTGCTGCTTTCATAAATCCAGATCTGTAAGCTCTCTTGCTAGTTAAATTAACGGAGAATTAATTTATTCCCACTGAAATTAATGGCTTCAGTTTAGAATTTCATTCAGTAGGTCAAATTTGATTACTATCAGGTCTCCATATAGGTCTCTGTCCCTCTCTCTTTCCCTCTCTCAGTTTTTGACAATGAACTACTTAAACCTAGTGGCATACAAGGACAACTAGTAATCATACCATGTAGACGACTCAGTAAGATTTAATTTTTTTATGGTCTCACTGATTGGACTAAACTTGCTTACGTGACTAATTTAACCAGACAACTCAATGGATTATTTTTCTTTCTTTTTCACAATAGCTAATAATTTCCAAAACAGTTAAAGTAATTCCAGCAATCCCCCAGCATTATCTACACAAATCATGCAGTGTTACATGTTTTCTTTCTGGGGTAAGTCAGGACCACTGCTTAACATTTATCTGGGAAAAGTTCCTTACCGCACTATACCCCTGTTTTCTTCTGTTCCTTAAAGTTACTGGGTGAATTTGTGCCTGTGTTGAAGTCACCAGCAAAACTCCAAAGACTTCCGTTAAAAACATTCATTTACACTCCCTATACAACCTGATCAAAACTGCATGTTGTTCAAACCTGTTATTTTTAGAGAATGCTTTTTTTTTGCCACTTCATGGAAACATAAGAGGAAACAGCTTTTGAATAATGATAAAAGTAAACCTTTCTAGTGAGATGGGCAGCCGATAACATAACATGCTGTCTAATTACTCATGAGATGTAAAAGCCACATCAGTACCATGAAACAAAATTCTGAATACTGGAGCTCAGTTCCTCAAATTGTATCCATCAGGTTGCATATATTTTCTTCAAAATTTCTAAGAAGAAATATTGTAAATTGAAACTGACTCGATACATGAATTTCAGGTGCATCTAACCACCCCTTAATTTCAACAAATCCTTTTAAACAAGAAATTCATGAATTGAGAAGTCAGCAGTGGAATAGGGTAAGAGCTGGTCAATTGCTGTAGTGTTCACGAACATTCATTCAGTTTTTTAACTGACTATTTGGTTTATCCATGTTCATACTTCTTTTTATTTACTAGTCATGAACATTCTTGCAAATATGTTTTTGTTGGCACAAATGTTTGGGGAACTGTTGTCCTTTGTACTCATTCCTAAGTAATCTACAAGAATAGCAATGCTGCTAAATGTTCATGTAATACGAGTACCAAGAATATGGCGACCTGAAAATAAATAAATTTCAAAATTTCTGGTTCATATGAATAAGGAATATGATTATACTAGGTTTCATTTTTCCATTCACAATCTCCGTTGCGATTTTTCTCTTTAATGATATTTAAAAGGAACCAAGGAGTCGTGTACACAACAGTATCAGTTTTTCACAATTTCCTGTGCATGTTCTCCCACTTAAAGGCTCTCTCTCATTAAGCCAAAGAACAAAATAAGCAACATATGGCTGATAATTCAAAGTCAATTATAAACAGATTAAATGGATTAAGGGCACAAACAACTTGAACAGTAAACATTATCTGTCCAAAGCACTTGGCCCAAATTTAGAAATCAGTGTGTCCATTCACAGAAATTCACAGAAATCAGTGTGTCTGTTAATGAATGATTCGTGAACAGGAAAAAAAATCTCAGACATAAAACCTGACCAGCTCTCAAAGGAGTCACTGAACTGCACTCTTTTGAGACAGTTTTCATTTCAGCAACTTCATTTTGTGGGGACATGGCAAAGGCAGGATTGGGTTGGTGGCAGAGAAATGATGAATGAAAATCATTAATGCCTCCTTGTTTTCTTCCATGATAACTGCAGCACTGAACTAGTGCCAATACAGTGCTTCCACATAGAGACAGAATATTACAAGCAAGTCATTCTGACATTGCAAATGAGTCATGGGCACCAGGTTTTCTTCTTAGTCTACTGGATGTTCTGCAGAAAGTGTAAATCTGGATTAAATGGGTGGGGGGGAGAGACATATGAGCAGATATTTTGATGCTATGTTGAAGAAACCTGCATGCATGATCAGTAGAGGGCTACCTTGGAAGTCGAACAAAATCCATTCCGGAAGTCCATTTGACTTCCAAAACGTTCGGAAACCAAGGTGTGGCTTCCGATTGGCTGCATTCCTCCAGCCAATCAGAAGCCACAAAAGTCACGTCAGACGTTTGGCTTCCAAAGAACGTTCACAAACTGGAACACTCACTTCCGAGTTTGGGGCGTTTGGGAGCCAAAGCGTTCAACTTGCAAGGCATTTGGGATCCAAGGTATGACTGTACTGATCCCACAATAAACAGCTGTCTCGAAGCACCCTGGGCCCAATAGCATGCTTCACAAAATTTGTTATAATATCTTTCTATGTTTGGCATTGCTAATCTTCCACAGGGACTCCAAAGCTTCTCCAGTAGTATCTGCTATTGGTCTTCTGGGACTTCCATTCTCAGCATGACTCAAATAATACCAGGTTTTTCTGACAAGCCGTGTTCAGAGTCTGGTGCTGAACTGGGAATTCATGACCTCTAACTGAAGCAGCCAAAGAGCCAAATGGCTTTAGAGGCTACTTTGGAGTGAAAGATGACAAGCACTGCATCTCGATTTGAGGATAATTTAGAGAGATGAAAACTGTTACAGAATTAAGGGCCAGTCTTGTGAGGGAAAGAAGGCATCATAAACAAGACCTTTAGTTAACCACTTTGTAGTCTAGTTGGCGATAAAAAATACTGTTCAGATTTAAATGAAACTGAGGTCAAGCATCAACTGTCTTTTTTAAAAAATGTGTTATTTAAAAAATGGTTTTGTTTAATTGACTGGTGGAATAGACCACACCAAATTTTAAAGCAGCTTGCAAAAAAACACACCAAAAAAACCATGAAATCAGAACCTAAAATTCTGACCTGTTGTTCTTACCTATCAAGTTTGGGTTTTCACATATTTGTATCATTATACTTAAATGTGGAGCTTTAAATTAACTTCATATGATTTCTCTGTTCGAAATTTGGTAAAATTATTCCTATGCGGAAGAAAAATCCAAGACCTAAGGACAATGTAAGTCTGTGAAGTATAACAACTATTTTAACATGCACAACAGGGACAGGGGAATTATTTATCAAAGTAAGCGTTTAAAAAATGCAAGGCTGTTGTGTTATTGTGAGAACTGTTTAAATATATTCAAAAGTAAATTTAAACCATCCTAACTCCACAGAGGTGCTGGAAGGCAAAGTAAATAATCGCTTTTATGTGAATTAAATCTGTCACAGATTGGAAGCTATATTCTAATCTCAGTGCACGTAAATCAATGCTTATAACTACATGCAAAGTGAGATTTGAATATACCCATTGCTTTATATTTACCATTTTTAAAACTCCCTGTAATGTAATGATCTTGCAGTAGTTCAAAATATGTAAAGCATGTGTTTATGTGTAAACTCACTGAAAGAGAGCATGTTACGCCGTGCTTGATGTATTTTTCTTAGAGCAGTAAAGCGGAAAAGGAGTTTTTAAAAATTAATCCACCTTGCAGTTTTAGTTTTGCATGTCTTATGCACATTTCTGGCTGATTGCTTTAAAGTGATATCATATTTCAAATTTCCAGTCCAGTTTCCGAGACAGCAACATGAAAAGCAAATTGGTATCTTTATTCTGTACAATTCAGAAGATATGCTTAAAAATGCCTCTTACATTGATGCAGTAATAACTCTTTTTACAATTGACAGAATCAGAAACATGTTTTCCATTTCTCCAGGTCTAATTATTGAATTATCTTTGCATAGCCAATTTATTTTTATGGGTGAGGTGGACAGCTAATTCCTCCTTCAATCCTTCTGCAGTAATTAATTACTTTTCGCAGCTTGATAGTTTCACACAGCTTTCGCCCCTAGATTGTTTCATTCTATAAGGCCAGAAATAATGACAAGAGAGAAACATTAACAAAGGCTAAGATCAATGGGTTGGAGTCAAAGGTGGTGTTCTGGTCATGGAAGGGTTATTCAAACTCCACAGTAGAGTGCCATGTAAGAAAGGTGAAACCAAGACTGACATACACCAGGAATGGCTAACTTATGGCTCTCTAAATGTTGATGGACTCCAGCTCCCATCATCCTTGACTTTTGACCATGCTGGTTAGACCTGATGGGAGTTGGAGTCCAGCAGCACTGCAGGGCCAGAACTTCCCCACCCCTGCCAACACATTTGTTCTGAAATGATGAGCATTTCAAGTGAATTTTGTTAAGGCTGAAGAAAAATTCATATACTTGAGATTTAACCAGTTCTGTGACTTTATTTATATCAAACTGTCTCCTTGTGAGAAAGAAAAGAGAATAAACAAACGTTCAGCTCCAAAATATCCCCTGACCAAAAGCCCTCTAAATGCCAAGCATTATGTTCCACCATAATGTGATAATTCAATCGCCATGCCAACTCCTCCCTCCCCCCTGATTTTTACTGCCATGTAAACTACCTGTACTGTAACCTTCCAATTTACATGTTGGGGTTCCACCTTATAGGACAAAGCTTTATCCTGAAAGGAGAACCTGCAGCAGAATACTGTAGTGTGAAATGCTCCTGCTCAGGCTTTCAGCCAGCCATTCCCTCTTCCAGGATACTCTATTCCACTCACCACAGTTAATAATAATAATAATTTATTTATACCCCGCCCATCTGGCTGGGTTTCCCCAGCCACTCTGGGGGGCTTCCAACTGAACACTAAAATACAATAACCTATTAAACATTAAAAACTTCCTTAAACAAGGCTGCCTTCAGATGTCTTCTAAAAGTTTGGTAGTTGTTTTTCTCTTTGACATCTGGTGGGAGGGCGTTCCACAGGGCAGGCACCACTACTGAGAAGTTTTCCATTTCCTCCCAACATTCTGTGCCCACTGAGCATGCTCAGTCTTCAATACACTGTCAGGGGCCCCCTCCTTTTATAGTTTTTCCCTAAATAATTTCTTACTTCTGCTAATCTTGGGTCCCCCCCCCCAAAAAAAACCACATCTTGTGTGTGGATGGTGCTGTTTTGCCTATGTAAGGATAGGCACTTGGGGAATGAGCTTGCTATTAGTATATCATGTTCTATTTAACCATCAGCTAGGCAAGATGGCCCCATAGTCACATGAGTTCCCCACAGCGCTGCTCAAGGTTTAGGAGAGCAGCAAGGAGGCTGTCACCTTAGAAGGCAGGGCCTGCCTTCGAGAGCACTCATCCTTCATTCCCTATGGCCGCTGCCAGCTGCACAACTTAAGCGCTGGGGTACAGCAAAAAGAGCCTAGAATGCTGTTTCCAAAATAACCACAGCATGCGACTATATGGGAAGTGGTGTTGGGAGAAGGGGCATGACCTAATCCTGACGCTTTTGAGAGAAAGGAAACCTTGCTGCAGCGTAGTTAGCCAGGCTTGAAGCAAAATCATTTCAAAGCACTGCCATGCACAACTTTCTAAGTTGGGAAAGGAGCTTTCTAAGCAGCTGTGTGAGCTCCAAGGACACACACCCCCCCCCGAAGTTAATAACTTGTGTTTGGACTGGGTTCTGAGGGCCTGTTCTGGTTGTTCCTTGGTATTTTTACAGTCAGCAAGGCTTTGCAAAAGCCACAACACAGTTTGTGCATCACATTGTGGTCAAACCATTGTTGAAATGAACCATGGCTTATGTGTAACGAGCTAACGCATGCTGCTAAAATCACGAGCGTTTCTCCTCTACTGCTGCCGTGCTGCCGGGAAACGAAGCCTAGGCAGGGTTGCAATCAAACCTGGGCTCACGGTGGTTTGTTTCTCTCTAAAGAAACCGCAAGTGGTAACCAAGGTTTGTTTTTGGCAAGCTTGTTTCCCAGCACTGCACCAGAACACTGCACATTTGCAGCAAACTGTGGTTTCATTTTAACGATGGTTTAACAAGACTTGCAAACCAGGCCTCTAGTGCTCACTCCTCTGAAGGTGATTGATGCTAGGAACATGCATTTAAAAACTCACTAACTGTAAACAAAGCGCATATCTCCCTGATCCAGTTACAGGCTTTTTCTGCATGCGTATCCCTCCCTGGATATGAAGCCACAAATAGGTCCTGCTTGTGCAGTTCTGCTGCTCAATCCATTGATCTATGCATTGTGGACCGTGCATGAAGAGCCCTCTTGGGGAAAAAGTTAAATCCCATCAATTAGAAAAAGGATGGTGGTCAGGAACCCTCTCTCTCTTTCTCTGCCAAAGACCCCATCAGTAGGATTTGGGTTTTTGGAGAGGGTTCCTCAAATAAAGTTGTGGTTGTTCTGTGCCTACATGTTGGAGTACAGCCATGCTAATTAATGCTGAAAAGGAAGTGTATTCCACATTTAAATATTAATAACCTCTCCACCGTCCCCATCCCCCCAAAACAGTGTAGCAGTTTTGGGGAGGAAAGAAAACTTGGGTTGGATCTATAGGTGCCATTCTGTTTCTAGAAGGTCCTTTGAGCCAACAGGGGCTCCCACTAACATAAGGTGGAGAGTGAACATTCACAGATTCCCCCAGTCCGCCCCCTTGGACCCCCGGAGCAGATATCTAGGGGACTGCAGAGGGAGTGACCTTTCCATGAGTGGAACTCCACTCAAGGGATCTTAGGCTCGTTAACATCTTAGGTTTCTTGATAGCATTCTTCCCAGTCATGTTTTATTAGATAAACTTACAGATGTATTGCAGTCAATAAAGTAAGGTGTTTCTTGATTTAGTCAAGGAGTCCATTGTGTTTAAATGTTTTTGATACTTTCATTAAACACCTAGCTATAAGGACATACGAATTTTTCATTTATTCATTTTTAAACAAAATGTTTAAACTGAAAATAGATTCATTTTCTCAATAAAGACTGGAGCTTGAAATAAACTATGTGATTATTTAAATAAGCACATATTGCAAAACTGTCTGGCTTTCTTCTGCAAAGAAATTAATCTTTGTAATAATAATGCATGGTTAACTGTACAAGATATATATATACTAATCTTGACTAATTCTTTGATAACATTATTGACATTTTGTGTTTTTAGTTTTAAAGAAATTATACAGTCATTTCAGTTTATATTTTAATTTTCTGTATTAGTATTTTAACATATATCTCTTTTTTTACAGAGATCAACAATCTTCATGTTACTATTATCAGGTTTTTTTAGTTTTTACTTTTATTTAAGTATTTTAGTTTTCTCATCTTTGATGTTGTTGCATATGTGAAAGTTTTCTTTAAAATAGGGACTCTGTTGCAATCAAAATTGTGATTAGCAATTTAATAATTCACTCTAAAAAATAAAATAAAACAGAAAAATTATGCATTGGTGCAACAGAGTGATTATGTTATTGCTGTAAGTATTCTTATACTCTTTTTCCCCCTCCTGTATTTGTGTATTAGGTGGTTGTGAATGCCCTTCTAGGAGCGATTCCATCCATCATGAACGTGCTTCTCGTTTGTCTTATATTCTGGCTAATTTTCAGCATCATGGGAGTAAACTTGTTTGCTGGCAAGTTCTACCACTGCATTAATACCACAACTGGTGACATGTTCACAATCGAAGAAGTTTTCAATAAGAGTCAGTGTGAGGAGCTCATACAAAGAAATGAATCCGCCAGATGGAAAAACGTGAAAGTTAACTTTGATAATGTAGGATTTGGGTATCTTTCTTTACTGCAAGTAGTAAGTGAACACTCTTTACAGACTACTTCTTGTTTACTTAGTGTACAATAAAAAGTTCAACTATTTTGTCACTTACAGTCTGATCAGGCTCATAGGAATTTGCTAGGAATTCGGTGGTAGGAGGGTCATGGAATCACTGTAGACTGCCAGAATATAAAATGAAGGTAGCCTAAAATGTTACTTTGAGGCTGTGGGACTAGGTCTCGGGAGAGCCAGTTTCACCTTCTGGGCACTCATTAGCTATTTGCCAACTCTCAAACTAACCTACCTCACAGTGAGCATAAAAGTGGAAAAGACGCATGCACCATCTTCAGCTCCTTGGAGGAAAGTGATATATTTATGATATGATATGATGTCTGTTCAGAAGTCAGTCCCATTTAGTATAGAATTGTAGACCCTCCCAGGGGCATAGCGTGGGTTGCCAGTGCCCAGAGCCATCTGCGTCACCCAGAAGATCACAGCTGCCGAGATAAGAAAAGAAGAGTTGTCCTGTTGTCTGGGGAGGTCACTTCCTGGTTTGCATGGGGAAGCCGTTTTCAATGGAGCCCAGCAACAGAAGTGCGCAGCTGTACTGAGGCAGCACCTGGTGTTGAAATTTTGTGTCCCTAACCATTTAGCATCCGGGGCAACCACCCCTTTGCCCTCTGCGCGCTATGCCACTGGTCCCACCTTTTATTCTGCATAGCCCTACCCAGGGTTTTATTTCTTGGTCAAGCTACAAGGTGATGCTCAAGTATGCTGCTAAAGAATCTTAGGAAACATCTTTCATAGAGAGAGCTGACATGCATAATTCTCCTAGTCATTTATTTAGATTAGTGCTTTGTAGCTGCGATCATCTGAACAAGGACTATAAGTATAAACGCTAGTGGCACTGGTTAAGAATAAAAATTGTCCTTGAATTTTTGTGAAATCAGTGAATATGGTTGGATAGTATATAACAAGAAGCTGACATTTCTTTAAAAAAACACCAGTCCTTTAAGTATAGTTCTTTAGAGTGTTATAATTGCTCACCAACCTACAATAAATAAATAAATGGGGCATCTGGATTTCCTTCTTTGGTAGCATGGACTCTTCTGCATTAGAACAGGCAGTGGGCATGTAGGTGAGAATAATTATCCCACCTACAGGGAAGTCAGTCCTATTGAACACTGTGAGTGGAATCCAGCATGGTACTAAGGAAATCGTTCTATCCCTGCAAGGATTTCTGCTTGCACAGCAAGTTAATTAACATGCATAATAAGCAGGGGTGTCAACTTGAATAAAATATTTGAAGTGGGGCAGTTAAGCCCCACCCTGCATCACTGATCACAAGACGCAACGCACCCACACAATTTCAATGGCAATGCCCATCAACTTGGGGGGGCAGCCCCCTCAAATATTTTATGGAGGGATGGAAGGACCTCAGCCTCTAGGAGTTTGCTCCTATGATAATAAGTATCATTGTAGTAGAAATGCGGGGGGGTTAAGTTCTTTATGAGCCTGTTATATCTTAGGATACATTAAAGTACCTTATTTCCATATTGCCAAAGGTATCATCTTTTGTATCTGTGCTTTGTATAATGAACTGAAATATTGAAACCTTTGTTTGCGTCTGAATTTTCTTAACTGTATCAGCTGGAGCAGGACTAAGTTAGGCCTCCTTGAAATCAGTGGGACTTAAGCCAGGTCATGACCATCATGCCAATTTGATTTAGTTGGGACCAATTTTATTTCATGGGGAACGAAGCTTAACAAATTTACATCACAATCCTATGCACGTCCACTCAGAATGAGTTCCATAGAGTCAATGGGGCTTATTCCCATTGGAGGCATGCTTACTTGTCAGTGAGTCTCTTTGAACTTAACGGAACTTACTTTTGACCAGTATAGCATTCCACTGCATGGCAGGATCAAGCCCACTGAAAGCTTGAACAGCTCCCCCTTTACTTTAGTCCATAGTTATAATATATGTATATGTAAAGCATTTCCTATTGGTAACTCTGGTACAAGACATTGAGCACGGCTGTGAGTTCAGAGTTTTATGTTTAAAATGTTTTCTTGACGCAGGCTACATTTAAAGGATGGATGGACATTATGTATGCAGCGATTGATTCAAGAAATGTAAGTACTTTGCATTCTTTGCCACACAAAGACTCTAGAATTCTGCTGATGAAATGCGCTTGAGGATAACATTAATGTAAACATGAATTATGTTCAAATTCAATAGCACCCTAATTGGTTTGTGTTCGTTTATACTTTGCTGCAAGCTGCCCAGAGTGGCTGGGGTAACCCAGGCAGATGGGCAGGGTACAAGAAGTTTATTATCATTATTATTATTAAAGATGGGCGGGGTACAAGAAATACCATCATCATCATAACATAAAGAATTCCAGGCATGCTGACCATTAAAGTGAAGATATAGCATTGCTATGGGACTCTCCGGAAGTGCTTTTGCATTGTGCTTTTATGATCATTTGTACTTATGGTGGTGGCTGTACACAATCCTGCACTGGTTTCATACCACAAACGGTGGCAGCATTGTATTGCTTTTGTTGTGCTGGAGTGCAAGAGTGCCCCTCCAGATGCCAATAGTGCAGTAACACTGGGGAAGCATCGCAGAACTAATAAGGTGTGTTGGTGCCCCCGTATAAATTTGTCACTAATGCTCTATTACTACATCATTGACATGTTCAATTATACACCTGCCAAAGCACACACATTCACACATCTGGAGGGGTCCAGAGTTGTCTTGATGCCAACTTGCAAGCTTTTTTAAAATAAACTATGTTGAGGTTTCACAATCATTTCGCTTACTTTGTAGGTACTACAGCAGCCTAAATATGAAGACAACCTTTATATGTACCTTTACTTTGTTATCTTCATAATCTTTGGGTCATTCTTCACCCTGAATCTATTCATTGGCGTCATCATTGATAACTTCAATCAGCAAAAAAAGAAGATAAGTATTTTACCTGTGTTACCTTTAAAGCTCACGTCATAAACTTTGGCTAAATCATGTGAACCGATTAAATGAAATACCGTATTTTTCGCTCTATAGGACACACCGGATCATAGGACGCACCTTGTTTTAGAGGGGGAGAACAAGAAAAAAAATCTCCCCCTCTCTGCTCAGCGCCCCTTCAGCGAAGCAGCAGGAGAAATGGAGCCCCTTCCATTTCTCCTCCCGCTTGGCTGAAGGGGCGCTGCGCAGCTCTCCCTCTCTGCTGAAGCCAGGAGAGTGTGCGCACCGACCCCTCTCGCTCTCCAGGCTTCAGCGAAAGCAACGCGAAGCCTCCGGAGCGCGGAGGGAGCGCTCCCTCTGTGCTTCAGAGGCTTCACGTTGCTATTGTTGAATCCAAGGAGCCTGCATTTGCTCCATAGGACGCACACACATTTCCCCTTAATTTTTGGAGGAGAAAAAGCGCGTCCTATAGAGTGAAAAATACGGTAGTTGCTCTGACTTTTAAAGGGAAAAGTGGAGAGACCTATACATATTCATGGCCATTTGGGAGAGAACCTTACCTTGCAAAACATTGAAGAGCTGCAATGTTTGGACATTGGAAAGAAGTTCCTGCGGAGTGGTCTTTCAGAATGCAGGGGCAGTTAAGGTTTATATTGGAGGTGGGTAATCTGTGCTCCTTCAGATGTTGCTGGACTACAAATCCCATCACCCCAACCATTAGCTGTTCTACCTGGGAAACATATGGAAAGCCACAATTTCCCTACCCAATTTCTACATAAAATCTTCCATTCTTACTGAATTGAGCCTAAATTAAAATTATTATTCTACAATCAGTAAATGGGCACAACCGTTTAAAGGGTATCACCTTTTACCGGCATCGCTGCAAAATTTGGAAGAACCTCATTGTAAAAACTAATTAAGCCCAATATTTGTTTTTCTTTTGATTATGAATATGGAATATATGCAAGTAAGTGTATAGGCCATCAATGAGAATGTGATTATAACCATTTTTCATGTTATGCCCTTACTTTGGAGGTCAAGATATCTTTATGACAGAAGAACAGAAAAAGTACTACAATGCAATGAAAAAGTTGGGGTCTAAAAAGCCTCAAAAGCCTATTCCTAGACCAGGGGTAAGTGAGTCTATTCTAGATTGAAAGATTCGTTTTAAAAACAGCAAATGAGAAGTGAGTTTCTGTAAACTGGAGAGAGCAATCAATATTTGAATACATTTAAGTGAGTTTGTTTTTCTTGGTTTGGGGCATGCATGTTGTTGTTGTTTAGTCGTTTAGTTGTGTCTGACTCTTCATGACCCCATGGACCAGAGCACGCCAGGCACTCCACTGCCTCCGCAGTTTGGTCAAACTCATTTTGGTAGCTTCGAGAACACTGTCCAACCACCTTGTCCTCTGTCGTCCCCTTCTCCTTGAGCCCTCAATCCTTCCCAACATTAGGCATGCATATGTGCAAACTATTTGTACTTCTAAAGACATCTGAAGGTAGTCCTGTACTGAAAAGTTTTTGTTTGATGTTTCACTATGTTTTTATTGTGTGTGTCTATATCTATATATGTTATTAATTAAGTTGTAATCTAGCAATGTGCACACCAGAGCCTTAACTGATTTAATATCTCTTCTTTATACCTCAGAACAAATATCAAGGCATGGTCTTTGATTTTGTGACAAGACAAGTATTTGACATCAGTATTATGATTCTCATCTGCCTTAATATGATCACCATGATGGTCGAAACAGATGACCAAAGTAAAGAAATGGAAGATATTCTGTATCGGATTAATCTGATCTTCATAGTCCTTTTCACTGGAGAATGTGTCTTGAAACTAATTTCCCTGCGCTATTATTATTTCACCATTGGATGGAACATTTTTGATTTTGTGGTTGTCATCCTCTCCATTGTAGGTAAGGCCCGTTCTAAACAAAGCAAGGCAAATGTCAAAAGTATATTAAAGCGCTTCAAATGTTGCTTTATTTCTTTCGCTGTTTTCAGTTGCTCAGCCACATTGATTCCTAGTTGCATCTTCTGTAATTGTGTCATATGGATCACAATCGTTTCTGAATATGTTTGACAAATGTGCAAAAAAAGATTTATCTGTGTCTGTGATGATAGAGGTAGCTTGTATCCATTTCATCCAATGAGGGAAATTCCAGACAGGTTAAAATCTCAAATTGCTAGATCTCAGTGAGCAGGATTTTCCTCTCCTTTTTGTCTTGGCCCCCTCACTGTTCAGTAAAGACTGGCACTCTTACGCCCACCAATATATTTGGTTAGAAAGTCCCTGCATATTTATCTTCCCACTTTGGAGACTGTGCATCTCCCCTTGCCCCAGGTTTCTTTCTTAGGAAAACATCCCCAAAAGATGGTGAGTCACATATTCCACTTTTGGGAGTCCTCCTGTGGGCCAAAATCACTCCAACGCAGGGGGGTTTTCCTCACCCTGTTTTTATTTTTAGTAGCATGGTAAGTATATTTGGTTAAGCACATTGGAAGGGTGGGTAACAAAAATCACACAAGCTGCTTAAAAAAAAAAAGAGGCTATCTTTTCTAAGTTCATTCTTACACTTGATCTACAAACCAATACTACCCAAAAAGGCTATAATTTAAAAGCTCTTAAAGAAATGATGAAAAGGAAAATGTTTTTGATGAATGCCCCATTTGCCTCTATATGTGGGAACCAGGACTGGCCCAAGACCTTCTGTTGCTTGAAGCAAAGGTGAAAATAGCAACTACGGGTGGTGCTGTGGGTTAAACCACTGAGCCAAGGATTTGCCGATCAGAAGGTCAGCGGTTCGAATCCCCGTGACAGGGTGAGCTCCCGTTGCTCGGTCCCTGCTCCTGCCAACCTAGCAGTTCGAAAGCACGTCAAAGTGCAAATAGATAAATAGGTACCGCTCCGGCGGGAAGGTAAACGGCATTTCCATGCGCTGCTCTGGTTCGCCAGAAGCGGCTTAGTCATGCTGGCCACATGACCCGGAAGCTGCACGTCGGCTCCCTTGGCCAATAAAGTGAGATGAGTGCCACAACCCCAGAGTCAGTCACGACTGGACCTAATGGTCAGGGGTCCCTTTACCTTTAAAGAAATGATGAAAAGGAAAATGTTTTTGATGAATGCCCCATTTGCCTCTATATGTGGGAACCGGGACTGGCCCAAGACCTTCTGTTGCTTGAAGCAAAGGTGAAAATAGCAACCGCTACCACCACCCCACTATGTAAAGAAGTTCACTAGAGTAACAGCTGATTCTTATGTCAACACTGGAGATGGGGCAATGTTTTGCACTACACCTGAAGGCAATAGCCTAGCCTATGAGGGTGGAGAACAGGCTGCCTGCACTGGTGTACTGAGGGGGGCAGGGTGAGTGCACCGGGTACCATTTGGGGAAAGGGTGCCATCGCGGCCACACACACACACACACCCAGGATGCGTGCCGGGCACGTGCCCTCCAGGGACGCGTGCCAGCCATGCCCCTGCCTGTTCTCCACTCTGGGGACTGCAGCATGTTGCTCTGCCACTGGCTGCCTGACACGCATATGGTAGCTTTGTCCACCAATACCTATTGCCACTCCTCATTTTGCAGCATCTGCTGCTGAGGTGGCCAACTCATTCGGCCTGCTAGTTAGGGCCAGATCTAGTGGAGATGCACAAACCCATCCAGCTCAGCTGTCGGGGGGAACCAAGAAGTTGCTAAGTTGGATGGAAACAGCCACCATCCTCCTTTAATGTCAGCCCAGCAGGCTTGCCTGTTCCATAGGGCAGGAGCCTCGGCATTGTTTATTATCTTGATAAGGTATGTTTTTGTTGGTTATCACTGTCTTCTAGTATCCAAAGTGCCTTTGTTCCATTTCTGACATCTGCATAAGCCACCTATTGCCTAATGTGTTATATTTAAATGGTTACTCCCAGATGTGCTGCTTGATTTAGATTTCAAATAACAATAGGTTAAGATGAATGAATCTAGAAAGGCTTATATGACATAATTTTCTATGTGTTAGATAAAATATAAAAGTTGACTTCTAGCATTCTTGAGTTGTTACTGCACACTGCCATAAAGTCAGAAACTCGGCAGTTTACAGCCCATTCCTATGCATGTTTACTCAGAAATAAGGGTTGCTTTGTTCAATGAGATTTACTTCTGAGTCATTGTGCATAGGATTGCAGACTTTGTCACTGAAAGCTCCTTAAAGTTCACAGGTAAGTCAAGGCAGGACATTGGCATTGATAAACAATTAGCCCTAAGACTCTTGCTTAATTGTATTTTTAACAGGTATGTTCCTAGCAGAGATTATTGAAAAATACTTTGTGTCGCCCACCTTGTTCCGAGTGATCCGACTTGCCAGGATAGGTCGAATTCTGCGTCTCATCAAGGGTGCTAAAGGGATCCGCACTCTGCTTTTTGCCTTGATGATGTCTCTCCCTGCCTTGTTCAACATTGGTCTTCTCCTTTTCCTGGTCATGTTCATCTATGCTATATTTGGAATGTCCAACTTTGCCTACGTGAAGAGAGAAGTGGGCATTGATGACATGTTCAACTTTGAAACTTTTGGCAACAGCATGATCTGCCTCTTCATGATCACCACCTCTGCTGGCTGGGATGGCTTGCTAGCTCCCATTCTCAACAGTGGGCCGCCAGACTGTGACCCTAAAAAAGACCACCCTGGAAGCTCAGTCAAAGGAGATTGTGGCAATCCTTCTGTTGGGATCTTCTTCTTTGTCAGCTATATCATCATATCATTTTTAGTTGTAGTAAACATGTACATCGCTGTCATTCTGGAGAACTTTGGTGTGGCGACCGAAGAAAGTGCTGAGCCTTTGAGCGAGGACGACTTTGAGATGTTCTATGAAGTCTGGGAAAAGTTTGACCCAGATGCAACCCAGTTTATGGAATTTGAAAAACTCTCGGAGTTTGCAGCTGCTCTGGAACCTCCTCTTCATTTACCAAAACCCAACAAGGTTCAGCTTATTGCGATGGATCTACCCATGGTAAGTGGTGACAGAATTCACTGCCTTGACATCTTGTTTGCTTTTACGAAGCGCGTCCTCGGGGAGAGCGGAGAGATGGATGCTCTCCGCATACAGATGGAGGACCGCTTTATGCAATCCAACCCTTCCAAGGCCTCCTACGAGCCCATCACAACTACATTGAAACGTAAACAAGAGGAGTTGTCCGCTGTCATCATTCAGCGGGCTTACAGGCGTTATCGCCTAAGACAGACAATACACCAAGCTTCCTTTGTATATAATAAAAATAAATTAGAAGGAGGAGCGGGCCAACGTCTCAAGGATGAAATTCTCATTGATAAGATCAATGAAAACTCTTACACAGAAAAAACAGACCTGACCATGTCCACCGCTCTTTGTCCACCATCCTACGACCGCGTAACCAAGCCCATTGAAGAAAAACACGAAAAAGAAGGTAAAGATGTACAGAAGAAAAAGTAAAGCGCCAGTTTAAACAAAAACACAAAACTGATTGGGTGACAAATTGTTTACAGCCTGTGTGAGTAATGTAGTTGTGTCAACAGGACTCCTCTAGGCGGTATATGCCAAACAGACAGTTTTTACAAATATACTGTATTCTTTAAGGTCAGTGCCTATAACAAGACAGAAACCCCTCGTCGTCAAAATGTGACTATATATAAACTATGGGAAGCATGACAGGAGGTTCCTGTTTTCATTACCAGCTGACACTGCTGAAGAGGAGAGGAAAAAATGGCTAATCAGACTGTAGGGACCAGTAAAAGGGGTTGGGAGGGGGGGAAACACTAATTTGTGTGTGTGTTAAAACATAGAACACTTAGTACAGTCAGTAAGTATATCCATTTCAACTGCCACATTTGTCATCTTTTTATGAAATCTGTGTTGGTGGATTCCTTTCCTTTCTTCCTTCCTTCCTTTCTTTCTTTTTATTCACACATTGTGACTATTTTTGTAAATGGGGTTTATGCTGGGGAAAGGGGGTAAGTACTACTTTGTCGGTATGAGGACCAGGCGTTCTATTATATGACTCTCTTATATGCACACCAAAATGATTTGCATGGGGGCATGCTGCACTTCTTATAGATCATGCATGGGGGGAAAACATTACGTCCACCAAGAGCAACGAGTTTTTAACAACTCTTGTTAAAACTGCGAGGGAATACTCCGTTCTGAGGTGCTTTAACAAATGTGTTTCATGTTGTGTTACATTCGGGCAAGTGTTTAAATGCCTCTAAAGTCCCCTCAAACTCACCAGAGCAAAACAAGACGGATTATTTTTGCACCGGCAATTAAATCTCAGCTAGAGCTGGAGTCGGGAGTCGCTGTTTTTATGTCTGTGTCAATTATTTTTCCCTGTATGGTGTATTCAAGGCAATGTGCCCTTAAAAAAAGAAAAGAAACAACTGAACTGACCAAAAACCCCTTTATGAATTTGTTCCGCTTCATCCTGCAGTATTGTTTAGCCATCGTCAGCTCTCAGCCAGGTTGCCAACGTACGTGTTCAATGAAGAGCCCTCTGTTGTGTAAATAGTAATTTTACCTGTGGTGCATGTTTGAGCAAATGAATAACGACCTGAGCACATTTATTGCATCAAATATGTACCACAATAGGTTTAGTGTGCAAGCTTTCAACAGGTAAAAACAATGTATTCTGTACCATTATAGATAGTTTGGATCCTATCAGTGCATGTTTATATTGCCTATGCTGCTCTTCCTTCAAGTGTCCAGAATCTTAAATATGGGAAGCCATACGTCAGAGGTAAAGTGGAAAAAAAGTGTTCAACAAGACCTCATCCCCTCATATCATTAAGCAATATTTGCAGCCACTTGAGAGGTTCTTTCTTTCTGTTTGACATTTTTAAATTTGAAGTGAAAACCAATCTGATGTATAGCCAGACTGTACAGACATGTTGCAAACTGCTAATCCTGTTGAAAATAATGTGGTTAGAATTTTATAAGCAAATATAAATATTGTAAAAAAAAAATCATGTTTGTTTTATTTTTGAGCATTATGTACATAAAAATGAGAAATGAATTTTATCTTGAGGTTGACGTTGCAGCCTTTTGGGTTACATTCTGTCCATAGCACTTTCTCACGGAAGAACTTCAGAAAATAAGAAACGAAGAAGAGACGGGTAATTGTAGCTTTCTGCTTTTTAAAATTGTATTTGCAAACATTTTCAAGGTGCAATAATTAAATTATTTGTGAAGGAAAGATTCACAGTTCGCTTGCTTCCAGCAATTCTTTGCACTTGGAAGAGGATGCAATGTTTTTATTTTAAATCTCTAGCAGTGCCTGCATCAGAAAATGTAGCCTTTTTCTTTCACAGAACCATGTTCTTTTCCTGTTTTTACGCGGACTGTGTTTGTTCATTTGACTCATGCTTTAATAGAACTGTTACAAATATATCTTGGATCCACAGTATTTTTTCACAGAAAAAAATAAATAGCAGAATTATATAACCAAACACATCAGGACATTTTATGTTTCTTACATGGGATATGTTAAATATAGATTATTTCTTTTAATAAACAATCAACTTATACTGTATTGGTGAACTGCATGCAGGAAATGCTACTAATATCCTAAATAATGCTATACATCATTACTAATGTGCAAAATAATAAAGATTAATTTTTTATTGTAATTTCCTTGGCTACTTTTCGTATCTAGGACAAAATGAATTGCAACCTTTGATTGTCAAGGAGCTGTCAGGCGAGTACAAGTCATCCACAGGGCAGGAAAGAACCTGAGACACGAAAGGCAATTAGCTTTTGTTCACAGAAAGTAACAACACAGCAGAGGTCCTTTAGCTCTAGTTGGAGATGTTGCTGAAACTGACCACTGGTCCTGCCTTTTCTCTCTAACCTCTCACTCAAGATCCCCACCCCACAAGCAGACAAAAGCTGTATCAAGGGAGCGAGCTCGTCTTCTAGGCCTGTCTGGCCCATTGCTCAGCAATGTGCAGGACTGTCCTCGAGCAGGGGGTCAGGGGGGGTGAGCAGCAGAACTGGGACTGTCCTGCTACTGGGTAGCATTGGCAACCTCTGACTTCTCCCTCTGAGTCTGCACTGGCACTGTGACTCTCAGCCTCCAGCCCTGTCCTGGAAGAGTCTCTTTCTTCTGCCCGCCCCCCCCCCCCCCTTGCTCAAACCTCCTGCTTCTAGCACCTCCCAGATCGTCCCTTCCCCAGACTGCTCCCCAGTGTCCCACCACCACAATCCAGGGTCTAAATCATCTTCTGTGTTAGGGTTGGCATATTTTGAAGAGCAAAAAAGAGGACACATTTGCCGACTGCTAACTACGGATTGCTTTGACAGCCTACTATGTGCAGGCTATGGAAACTGTGATATTTTGCTAGCAGCAATGTTCTTAACTTTCAACAACAAAATAATAGTAATACATATTGCTCCCTCACTTGCCACGTGAAAGTATTTTGGCTCATGTTCACATCTTTGTGAACGTAAGTGTGCACGGAACAATTTATTAAACTGTTTAACATGCATAGCTGTCAACTTTTCCCTTTTCTTGCGAGGAATCCTATTCGGAATAAGGGAATTTTCCTTTAAAAAAGGGAAACATTGACAGCTATGTTAACATGTAAATATGGACTTTCCTTAAGGGCAGGGGGATGTTAACTCTTGCCCTCCCAGACTCCTTCTCCAGGATCTTGTAGCTGAGCCAGTGTCCTTTTAGTTCGGCCACAAGAGAATGGATTTATACAGTATGTAGTTAGTTTAAGATGCTGCTCTGTTGTGATTCTCTGCTGCAGACTAGCTTAGCCAAGTGCCTCAGATCTGAGTCTAATACACTAGAAAAAAATTCTTCAGTTACTGTAAACAAAAACAAACAAAAAAGCCAGACATTTTGCCAAATTTTAGAAATCCGCCCAGACAAAAATTTTAATTCTGAAAAAGAGGACATGTCAAGGGGAAAAGGGACATATGGCAACCAAACCTGGAAAAGAGGACGTGTCCTGGAAAAAGAGGACATATGGCAACCCTCCCTGGGGGACTCTTGGGCAGGTGTCACCCACCACTTTTCCTCAACAAGCCAATCCCGGACACTGGTGTAAATAGGAACATAACTAAGTAGTGATTTCAAGCACACTTGCGTGGAACAAAGTTCCATTGATATCAATAAGAGTTCATTCTAAGAAAATTGCCCATGGGAGACATTTTTGGGCTGAGTGCCAGGATTATGGCTCCTGCATCCAGTACCAGAGATTTTGTATTCAATTTTCACAGTGCAGGATCAAGATTCTCACCCACAGTGGTCAGCTAATCAGGTGGTCAGCGCTGTTTGCACTACTGACAGCCAATCACTGTTTGATGGAGAAGGCTGTTTTTCAGCACCATCTGATGATCAACAAGTAATAATGATAATAATTTGTACACTTATACAAATAAGTACATGCATTCCACCCTTTCGTTTCTAATTTTTTCAAATGCGTGCACGCCACCTGTTATGTGAGCATCTCAATATCAACAAATCATACAAAATGCATAAAATACAGTATAGAACACAATCACAAAACAACAATTAAAATAATCATAAACAACAGGCAACCATCAAGCGGTTTAAAAATTGTTAAAAGATCTGAAACAGCAAAAGACCAATAGCCACGATATTGCCAGAATGCATTCCTCAGCAGATAAAGGTTCCTACCTCATGGTTTAGACCCGCCCCCCGCAAGCACTTCCCAGAACAAATGGTGTGAAATCCAAGATTCTACCTTTATTTTTCTTACGAAAAGATGTATTAATATTGATGTAAAACTGGAACTTGTAACTTCTTATATCTTGCTTATTTGGATGGACTGCGGCTGTGAGGGGTAAAAGGAAGCAGAAAAAAGACAAATTGGCCATGCTTGTACTCGGAGCAGGATCATACTCATCTTGTTTAAAATGTTGTTTTAGTTGTTTAAAGCACACCGTGTCTGCATACAAGTCAGTGGAGCAGTTTGTTGACTCTAGTGCCAGATGTGTCTCAGGACGAGGTATGAGATGGAGAGATATTTTCATTGGGGCCATTATGTAGAAGGATTCGATCCTCCCCCCACATCCTTTCAGCACTCATGATCATGACTGCCCCCTGCTGCAGTTGGGGGGGGGGCAGAAAGAGAGAGGGGAGAAATATGCATATGCTATTTGGAAAGGGAAGCGCTAAAGCAATAGTTGATTCCTGGAGAGGCGACTGAGGGTGTAGGAAAGGGAATGGCTATAGCATGGGTAGGCAAACTAAGGCCCAGGGGCCGGATCCGGCCCAATCGCCTTCTAAATCCGGCCCACAGATGATCCGGGAATCAGCGTCTCCACCCCCATCGTTCTGCCCGGATGCTGAGGTCCAGCGCCGAGGGCCTTCTGGCGGTTCCCTCATTGCGAGAAGCAAAGCTACAGGGAACCAGGCAGAGGGCCTTCTCGGTAGTGGTGCCCGCCCTGTGGAACGCCCTCCCATCAGATGTCAAAGCGATAAATAACTACCTGACATTCAGAAGACATCTTAAGGCAGCCCTGTTCAGGGAAGTTTTTAATCTGTGATATTTTACTGTATTTTTGGTTTCTATGGAAGCCGCCCAGAGTGGCTGGGGAAACCCAGTCAGATGGGCGGGGTACAAATAATAAATTATTATTATTATTATTATGACTAGAATGTGTGCTTTTATTTAAAATGCATCTCTGGGTTATTTATGGGGCATAGGAATTTGTGTCGTCCCCCCCAAAAAAATATATACTGGCCCCGCACAAGGTCTGAGGGACAGTGGACTGGCCCCCTGCTGAAAAAGTTTGCTGACCCCTGGGCTAGAGCAATCTATACAAGCCATTACTGCCCAGAATAACAACTGAAATGATGTTTTGTTCATGCAGGTACCATGTATAAAGTGCACGAACAGAGAATGCCTATGCTGAGCACAATAAACATCCAGTATGGATGTTTGATTTCATGGGATTTACTTAATATATTATATTATAGAATATTGTAATAGACTGGTTGTATTGTCCATATGCTGTTGTCAAATGCACCTCCTAAACTCGCCCATAACCATGGTTGGAATACAGAATCGTAGAATCAGAGCGTTCAAAGGAACCTTGAGGATCCAACCCCCTGCAACGCATGAATATGCAGTTGTTCCTTATGGGGATTGAACCTGCAACCTTGGTGCCATCAGCACCACGCCCCAATCAACCTTGCTACCAGAGGCAAGTGCTGCTGTAGCTAGCCACTTAGCAAAGAAACATTATGTTGATATGCTTGTAACACCCTTGTTTTTTCAGTGTTCTATTAACATTCTCTCCCTTTTACAGAGCAGTGTAAGGATTGTGTGGGTGTTGCCTTTCCCTCTCCATATTTGTGCTTGGCTTGAGAGCTGAGGGGTGATCCATTCACTTGGCTTTCTACTGTGTGCATTATGTGCAATGGTCAGCACCGAGTGCCTGCCTGAAGTGTGCAAACAGGTTTTAAATATTAATATAATCTCCAGAGAAGCTGAGCTTCCAGAGCGATCCTAACCATGTCTACTCAGAAGAAATTCCTGTTGAAATCCATGGGGTTAGGATTCCAGCCACAGCCTGTGCCAATAAAAACAACAACAAAAAGACAACCAAGGTGAGCCTTTTGGTACGTCAAAGACGCACTAACTTATTGTGACAATCTCTTCAGATTTATAAGGTGATCTGCAGTTGGCAGACCTACGTTTTGGGATCCCTGAAGCTTGCAGTGTCTTGAGGGCCCCTTCGCCACTAGCAACAAGTTCTGGGTAACCACTGTTCTCTTCCTCCATGGGGTTGTTCCATGACAGATCCCTACACCTTTACAACATCTGTGCTACTGACTCTCAAATGTTCAGATTGTTGAAATATATTAATCATCATCATCATCAGTTTGTGTCATACGGCTCAGATTGGGTCTACTAGACCCAAAATTGTTAAGCAACGTGGACTAAAATCACTTCTGGGGCCCCTCTGGGATTAGGGGCCTCCTGAAGTTTAAGCTTCATTCATTTCATACTAGATTCGTCCCAGGTTATGTGTGTGATTTGTGTGTGCAAACATATGCAACACACACACATATACCATAGCTGTCAACTTTTCCCTTTTCTTGCGAGGAATCCTATTCGGAATAAGGGAATTTCCCTTAAAAAAAGGGAAACGTTGACAGCTATGACATATACAGTACATTTATCTACATACATGACCATAGAGGACGGGAAAGTTAAGCTACTAGAGTCAAATGGTCGTGATATACATGGTGTTTCCATGCAAAGCTCAATTATTCACAATATAATCAGACAACTGATAACATCAGAACAGTAGCGCGCTGGTTTTCTGCAGGAAAAAAGACGAGATAGCACGTTTTTTAAGGCGTTACAAGACTCTTCGTTATTCACAATAAGGTTGATGGGTGATATAAGACGGTCTCGTTCTGCTATGCTAACTATATAACTGTATAACTATTGTTGGAGGAGAGGGGGTTGAACATTCCTGGCTGAAGCTGCTGGAGAGTTGCTACTTGAGGGCGCGAGAGCCCGCTTTTCGTTGCAGCAAAACCTTGGGACTTCTGACGACCCCTTTGCCGTCTCCGGCGTAAGCCAATAGAAGCTCACTCCGGCGTCCGCTCCTCTCCATAAAAGCGAACCTCCAGCCAATCAAGTGCCAACACAAGATGTTGACGCGCGAACCTTCCCATCGCCGGCGGCGCTCAAGAGCTGCCCTTCCGATTCACAGGGAGGAGAAGGAGGAGGAGGAACGCGTAACACCGCATTTCCGGCTCCCGTTGGAATGGAGGAGAAATTCCTGCATGCGGGCTCAGAGCCCAGCGTGCGGGTCTGCAAAACTGGCGCCTGAGACGTGCGCTAAGACAGCCCAACCTGGGCGGATACCCCCCGCTCCTTCCCTCTAAAAGAGCTGCCAGTTACTCGTGTCCTGATCAAAGTATCATGGGCAGCAGCACACAGAAAAAGAGAGGGGACGGTACTATATGGATGAGTACTATCACAAAAGTATTGATTCTGCTACCCCAGGATTTGGTATTCTGTCCTCGTTTTGTTTGGAAAGAGGATCTGATGCTATTTAAACAACAACAACAACAACCAGCAAATGAAAAGGAGCTTCATTTTCTCTTGTTTTGCTTGCCTTTGGTAATCCTCACAGAACTCTAGCCCAATGGTTGCCATTAATTTGATTTGAACTGATTTTATAATGAGTTGATTTTAGAATGCTGTATTATTTTACTGTTGTTAGCCGCTCTGAGCCCAGCTTCGGCTGGGGAGGGCGGGATATAAATAAAAATTTATTATTATTATTATTGCCTTAAAAACAACCCATAGGTAGATCATGGGCGCGAGGAAGCAGCTTCCACCCCACCCTCCATGGACCACAAGTTTGGCAGCTTTCGAGAGTGGTTTTCTGCATTTGTAGAACCAGATATACAAGACAAAGTGAAAGGCCGCTGTTTTGACGTGTCCTCGGTGAGAAGCTGGCCTCCCCAGACCCCTTTTTGCCCCTTTCCAAAAACCCGGAACGCTTGAACAGCTTCACGCTCGGTCGGTGGAGCATCTTCATTTCAGGGTGGTGGGTTCGAGCCCTATGTTGGGCACAGATTCCTGCATTGCAGTGGGTCGGACCAGATGGCCCCTCGGGGTCCCTTCCAACTCTGTAATTCTATGCGAGGCGTGTTTGTGTGTGTGTCAATCGAAGCACCTCCCCACCCCCAGACCCACTCCTTTCCCCCCCAAGGTAACCCATGGGAGCCCTCTTCCTCCCCAGCCAGAGCCTGCGCATCCAGCGCTGCGTCCAGCTCCGAAGATGCGCCGTCCCGTCCACGGGAGCTCGCGCCGTAATAAAAGCATCGCGCTTTTCCAGATGCCGCCGGAGCGAAGGCTAGGGGAGGGATGGTTTGGGTTCTTTTTTTCCCCTTGCGGCAACGAATTAGTAGGGCGAGGAGGACCCGCCCGGGAAGGCCCAGCCTTCCCTTCCTCAGGCGCCTCCCCTGGACGCTGCTGCAGTCGCGTTAGCAACCAGGGCCGCTGCTTCCGGCAGCCATGGATCCTTCCTTGCTGCAGGTTTGTCAGAGGCGCTTCGGCTCGTCCCTCCCCTCCGACCCGCGAGCGAAATTTCCCGTTCTTTCCTCCCGCGCCCGCGCCCCTCTCCTCTCGGGAAACGCGCCCCTCTCGGCGGCTTCTGCGCTCCTCCTTTTCTCCCCCCGACGTTTTGGAAAGCTCCCAGCTCTCGCGTAACAAAGCAAGCAAGAGATGGGAGGGGGGGAGGCAGCGAACCTTTCCATCTTCTCCCTCCTAGCTTTCTTTTTCTCTCCTTTTGGAAGTAAGACAAAATGAACCGAAACACCCATCACCACAGAATGTTGTTGTTTAGTCGTGTCTGGCTCTTCGTGACCCCATTGGATCAGAGCACGCCAGGCACTCCTGTCTTCCACTGCCTCCCGCAGTTTGGTCAAACTCATGCTGGTAGCTTGGAGAACACTGTCCAACCATCTCGTCCTCTGTCGTCCCCTTCTCCTTGTGCCCTCCATCTTTCCCAGCATCAGGGTCTTTTCCAGGAGTCTTCTCTTCTCATGAGGTGGCCAAAGTATTGGAGCCTCAGCTTCAGGAGCTGTCCTTCCAGTGAGAACTCAGGGCTGATTTCCTTAAGAATGGATAAGTTTGATCTTCTTGCAGTCCATGGGACTCAAGAGTCTCCTCCAGCACCATAATTCAAAAGGATCAATTCTTCAGCGATCAGCCTTCTTTATAGTCCAGGTCTCACTTCCATGCATTACTACTGGGAAAACCATAGCTTTAACTATATGGACCTTTGTTGGCAAGGTGATGTCTCTGCTTTTTAAGATGCAGTCTAGGTTTGTCATTGCTTTTCTCCCAAGAAGCAGGCGTCTTTTAACCACAGAATAGAATTATTGAAATGAGCCCGACGGCCATCTAGTTCAGCCCCCTTTTCAATGCAGGGATCTTTCACGAATCGTGGGACTTGAACCCTTGACTCTCAGATTAAGAGTCTGATGACTGGCTGAGCTACAAATGCCAGTGTTTCTGAGCTGAGCATCGGGCGTCTGAGCCTCCTTCACATGTTTACATGTGTTTTTAAATGTCAGCACACACGTATTTGGGAGGACTGCTTCATATTATACTTTCTGCAGGAAGCATGGAGAAGGGTGTTTGTGTGTCTTCTCCTGTGAACGTACAAAGTTTCTGCCACTGTCTTTAAACATCTGTGTGCATCTGCACTTGGGAAACATGAAGGGACAGTGTGTTTTTACTCCTGCATTGCAGGGGGTTGGACTAGATGACCCTTGGAACCCCTTTCAACTCTACCATTCAGTGTTTCTGTGAAGTAAACAAGCATGAGGGAGCAGCAGCAAACTTAGACTTTTTTCCCGTTACATAGATTACAAGGCAGCAAATTGTGAGTTTGTCACCGTGTGTGTACTCAAAAGGCAGCTGCTGCCATTCCCATCTCCCTGATGAGTGTATATATGTTACGTATGTTTGCCAGTACAGTGGTACCTCTGGTTAAGTATTTAATTCATTCTGGAGGTCCGTTCTTAACCTGAAACTGTTCTTAACCTGAAGCACCACTTTAGCTAATGGGGCCTCCTGCTGCCACTGCGCTGCCACTGCACGATTTCTGTTCTCATTCTGAAGCAAAGTTCTTAACCTGAGGTACTATTTCTGGGTTAGCGGAGTCTGTAACCTGAAGCATATGTAACCTGAAGCGTATGTAACCCGAGGTACCACTGTACCAACTTACCATATTGACACTCTGCAATTTTAGGCACACACTTGAAACTTCTCAGGAACAGGATTTGGCCCACTCTTAGAAGAGTTCTGCAGGACTATACAAAGTCACGACTGGAGGCGGCACAATGGCAACAACTGCAGAAAGAGAGAGTTGCATATTTATTTTTATCCCACCATTTAGCAAAATAAATAAAGCTCCTAGAGTAAGCTTGCAAATCACACTAACTTCTCATTTCATCTCAACCGTATGGCGCTGGAAGTAGCTCTCCTAACTCAGTGGTTTCAGTTTTATTAGTATTTACACCTGTGTGATTGTATCCATCATTTCCTTGCAGACGCTCATTAATTACTATTGCCAAGAAGGCTACTTTCGTCATATTCAGACACTTGCCAGCGAAGGCCTCAAGTTGTTTGGCAATGACCCAATCTTCGTTTTTTACCGCATTTACGGCAGGCTGATGGAAGGTAAGGCTTTTGACTCAATATCTTTCGGAACGTTAAACCCCGCTGATTTTGGCAGGTTTACTCAGAGCACGACAGAGTATGCTGGATACCACCCAATGTAAAGATATGCAGAGAGATGCTTTAGCTATATCGATAATTCTGTAGTCGGCAGTGGGGACCTCCTGGCAGAGGCATCGCTGCCGCTGAATGGGAAGACGAGTGGGTTGATACTATGCAAACACACTTGTAGAACATTCCTTGCCCATGCCTCCCTCCCAGTAAACAGCAGCACCTCCATTGTTGGGAGGTCAGGTAAGCACCCTCCACCACACTGCAAGAATATTAGAGTACTTAATAACTGAGAAGTGCAGACTAGGGGGAACGGAAGCCCTGTATAGGGAAGCCTTTCAATGTGTAATGTTTTATTGTGTTTTTATATCTGTTGGAAGCCACCCAGAGTGGCTGGGGCAACCCAGTCAAATGGGCAGGTTACAGATAAGGAAATTATTATTTATAAGGAGGAGCATCTGCTTTGCTTGCAGAAGGTCTGAGGTTCAGTCCCCAGGCATCTCCTAGCAGAGCTGGGAGTGCTATCTGTCAGAAATCCTGGAGGATGACTGGCATGTCAGCTAGGTGGACCAGTGGTCTGGCTTTTGGTACAAGGCAGCTTCCTGTTTTCCTCTGCTTGATGAAGCACATATTCCATGGCACCAGAAAATGCAACTTAACCTTCTTGAATTTGATTCCTTAGGGCACATTCAGGAGGCTCTTCTCGACCTCGAAACTCTTAAAAACAAGCAGGACGTATCCCTTTGCACAATGATGGCAATGATCTATGCCCATAAAAAGAGCCCAAATCCAGGTACAGTTTGAACTATCTCTACAACGAATAAAGCCATGTGGACTTAACGGTCCTGAATGAGGGACCAGGGGCGCAGCCTGGGAGTCATTCTGGACTCACAGCTGTCCATGGAGGCGCAGGTCAATTCTGTGTCCAGGGCAGCTGTTTACCAGCTCCATCTGGTACACAGGCTGAGACCCTATCTGCCCGCGGACTCTCTCGTCAGAGTGGTGCATGCTCTAGTTATCTCTCGCTTGGACTACTGCAATGCGCTCTATGTGGGGCTACCTTTGAAGGTGACCCGGAAACTACAACTAATCCAGAATGCAGCAGCTAGACTGGTGACTGAGAGCGGCTGCCGAGACCACTTAACACTGGCCCTGAAAGACCTACATTGGCTCCCAGTACGTTTCCGGGCACAATTCAAAGTGTTGGTGCTGACCTTTAAAGCCCTAAATGGCCTTGGCCCAGTATACCTGAAGGAGCGTCTCCATCCCCATTGTTTTGCCCAGACACTGAGGTCCAGTGCCGAGGGCCTTCTGGCGGTTCCCTCACTGAGAGAAGCGAAGTTACAGGGAATCAGGCTGAGGGCCTTCTCGGTAGTGGCACCTGCCCTGTGGAACGCCCTCCCATCAGATGTCAAAGAAATAAACAACTATTGAACTTTTAGAAGACATCTGAAAGCAGCCCTGTTTAGGGAACCTTTTAACATTTGATGAATCATTGTATTTTAATATTCTGCTGGAAGCCGCCCAGAGTGGCTGGGGAAACCCAGCCAGATGGCAGGGTATAAAAAGTATATTATTATTGTTGTTGTTGTTGATGTTGTTGTTGTTGTTTATTTAGTGAGTTGTTAACATTTCCTTTGCTGTCCTGTTTAATGTGAAAGCACGTGGGGCCTTCAATAAAATGTTGCGGCATAATCTGCCTAACCGAAGTGCACCTGCTCAGAGTGCCTCTTCCAGAAAGCCATTGCAAACACCCCCCATTCATTCCCTGCCTCCCCATTTAAAATTGCACGCACGCAATTCTGGTTCTGAATTTGAACCAGAAATACCTTAGCTAGAGGAATCATCCATTTTTCAAGTTTAACAGCAGGAGGATCCAAAGCGGCCTTCCTAATATTTTTACTGTTAAACCATGGCGGTAGGGAGTTTGTCCCTGTTGCATGACATCTTGCCATATATCTGTAGCATGTACCGAAGACAGTAGGCCGAATCAGGCTGTTTCCACACACCCACTGTTATGGTTTAAATAACCACCACTTTACTGATTTTCTTCAGATCGAGAAGCCATTGTGGAGCTGGATGCCAAGCTGAAGGAGCAACGCAAAGTAGCAGGGCAGCAGGCATTGTATTTTGCAGGCTTGTTCTTGTGGCATATTGGGCGCCACGAGAAAGCCCGGGAATACGTTGACAGGATGATCAAGATCTCGAATGGCAGCACAGAGGTAAGCCGCTTCCCATAGTCACACTTGGTATCTCTGCTTGCTATAGAACGAGACTTGCTAGCCCTCAGCTATGTTGAGTCATCCTGTAGATCATAGCCTGTTATTACTGCTTCATTTAACGCTCAAGGAATATTTTGGCGGAATCAGTACTGTTAAAAACTAGCCTGATGGTTTCTCTTTAGTTAGCTGTTAAGCGTGTCTGGTTCATTAACCGAAATGAGTCACTAGCCAATAGCGTTGTTTGAGGCAGCTAAGCCATCTAATGGGTCTGAATCACAGATGTTCCCAATGCTTGGGGTTTTCTTTGAGCTGCTGACACAGAAACGCCATGTGCTGTGCATAAACGTGGGTGTTTTCCTGTCAAGTTTAAATTGCAAAAATCGTGAATTTTGTTTTGAATGCTTTCTCACCAGCCAGTTGCATACTAACAGCATGAAACATTAGGAGAATGATTGGAGTCAAATAGATTATATGACGGCCTTAGACTCTGGAGTGTTTTAAGGCTTCTTGGCTCACAAATGTTTTCCTCTAACCCTCTCTTCAACATTAGAACCTCTCAGCCAAGGCAAGAGGCTTCATCCTTCACACGGTATAAAGACGTTACCTTGGAACTGGCAGAAGCAGAGTTTTAAATGATTCTGCAGTTAGCGTTTTCCGTTTCTCTTAGTATGGATGTGAAGTAGCAGCATTGTAACAGAGGCTGTACTATGGCCGCTCCAAAAGATGCAAATTTGAACATTATAAGAGAGTTCCTTGTGTTTCCATTATTGGTGCTTTGCAGGGATCTTGGGTGTGCAGACATTTGGATTTTCAGGATCTTGGCTCACCACGTTTCCTGGGTTCCCCCTTTTAACATTTCATCTGGTGCAGTTCATATGGTATACCTAGTGTTTTGAACAGTACATTTGGAATTGCTGTTTTGGGTTTGGAAGGTGGTTGTTGAGACTCTAGATGGCTTTCTCAGTCACGAGTCCCAGCTGGTGAAACAGAGAAAGGGATCTCTTTCATGCCAACTTTGCGAGGATGGATGTTCTAAAAACCATTTTTTTCTGAAAGCTTTCTTTAAGAAGCCCGCATTTTAACATTTTGCTTTTCTTTGCAGGGATTGATTTTGAAAGGGTGGCTTGATGTCACCTCTGGAAAAGAAGCAAGTATTAAAAAAGCTGTGAAATACTTTGATGAAGGGCTGCAAAATGGAAATGATACCTTTGGCCTGATGGGTAAAGTAAGTCTGTTATTAAAACAGAAGCTTTTAATCCTTGCCTGTTAATATAACTGAGATTGTGGTGTGTGCCAATGGATCTCACACAGATTGCTTTACACCTAGTCTGGGTTGCTCAATGTGAGTATCGGAATAAAAGTTCGGAGTTAGTCCCAGGGATGGGAACACAGGTCTGAAAATTTTAGGAAACTGCTCACTATCTCTTGTCATTTCATTATTTTGAATGGTACAGGTAATGTGGTGTTCTCTGCATTACATATGAGATCAGGGTCCATCCATGGTTGCATAGAATCAGTCTCCAACTGTTTTTGGAAACTACAAATCCCATCATCCCTAGCTAGCAGGATCAGTGGTCAGGGATGATGGGGATGGTAGTCCCAAAACAGCTGGAGACCCGCATTTGGGAAACATGTGTATAGAGTTTCTGAAGTAGACTTTGATGTGTTTGAGACTAGAATATTGTTGTTTAGGGAGGGAGCGGTACGTTCCGTAAAACATCTTTCCTTTCTGCTTGGAAATGTAGAGGATTAAGGGATCTCCTTCGTGTTTCATTAGGCACAATATTTTGAAATGCGCCAGAATTACTCAGGAGCTTTGGAGATGGTGAATCAAATAATAGCCCACGCGCCACAATTCCTTCCTTCTTTTATAAAGAAAATGAAGCTGCAGCTGGCTCTGCAAGAATGGGAACAGGCAACCGAGACTGCACAGAGGTGGGTTGCTATTGTTTTGGGAAGGAGGCAGGAGGGCTCCAGTATCCTGTCATAGGCCTAATGCCCCCTCCCAAAGCCCAGGAAGCATCTGCCCAGCTTAGGGATGGGGCATGATGCTCTCTCTCTCTCTCACACCCACCCACCAATCACCCTCACAAGCTGGTGCCTCTGGCGCTAAGTCTTCTGCTATGAAAATTTCCACCACACACCACTGGTGGCAAGCAGTGCCTTGTTACCTTCTCACTTACCTTCTCTGCTTCTGCAGTGGGTTGTAGAAGCTCTTGGAAGGTGGGGTTCAATTATAGTACAGTGGTACCTCGGGTTAAGTACTTAATTCGTTCCGGAGGTCCGTACTTAACCTGAAACTGTTCTTAACCTGAAACACCACTTTAGCTAATGGGGCCTCCAGCTGCCGGCGCACTGCTGGAGCACGATTTCTGTTCTTATCCTGAAGCAAAGTTCTTAACCTGAAGCACTATTTTTGGGTTAGCGGAGTCTGTAACCTGAAGCCTATGTAACCTGAAGCGTATGTAACCCGAGGTACCACTGTATGAGTTTTTGCTTGAGAGCAGAATGGATTGGTGAGGCCTCTTGGACACTTAAGTGTTCTCTGTTTCATTGAACGCTGATAACTTGCCCAGGGAACTCCTTGTTCATATGAACGTTGGCCCTCTGTTACGTGAAAACATATAATCAGTCGTGTTATAAAGATACAGCTCCTGTCTCATTTTGTTCTAGGTTGTTGCAGAAAGATGCTCTTAATTTGGACGCTTTAAAAATGGAGGCCATTCATTATTTGTGTAGGGAAGGAAATATACCTGAGGTCAGTACATAATTTAACATCCAGGTTTGCTTTAAGTTACTAATTATTTAAATATACATATCCTGAACAAATGAAGAGCACGGTTTGTTGTTGTTGGCATTTCTTCACTGTCAAATAGTATCTGCTAATTGGAAAAATAATAGCTACTAACAGTGCAATTCTATACATGTCTACTCAGATGTAGAACTCTGTTGGGATGCATCTTTAAAATCTTATATTCCAAACATAGGAAATTACAATTTCAGAAATATAACTATATTTTAAAGGCTGTACTAGACTTTCTATTAATTAACACCCTATTAATTCTATTAATTAACAGCGTGGCCCATGGTAAGTACATTGTAAGAACATGCTTTTGAATTAAAAACAAATCAAGCTTTTGTGGTACGTACAACAATCTAGAGCATAAGGAACCAAGTAAACTTATTAGGAGTTTGTTCTTGAGCAGTAGACCAGACCTGCCAAGGCTGGGGATGCTGTGGCCATCCAAATGTTGCTTGACTCCAACTCCCATCATGCCTGACCATTGGCCACGCTGGCTAGGAATGATGGGAGTAGGAGTCCCAGCACCATCTGAAGGGATACAGGTTCCCCATCCTTGTTTTTGTCCTACCACAAACTGAAGCTTAGGGAAGTTTCAGAAACGAATGTCATTTTTCTGTGTGGCAAAAGAGGAAGTAAGGGTGCTATGCCTCAAGAACCACATGCTGAAAATCCTTTGGAGACTAGTTGGATGGTTCATGGATCTTTGGTCTAATTCTTTATGAGGAGGCATTTCCCCTCCTTCCAGTTTGCAGTTTTTGGCTTTATTTCCAGGGTGGAATGAAACCAAAGAGAAAGAGGTCTATAATAATAAATTCAGTGTAGTCTTGGAAAGGTTAATTCTAAAACCACACAAGGAACGCTTAAAAGACGACTCCCGTTCTAGAAAAGTCAATGGAGATTGTAGCAATAATACATTTTGACTGCTGAGTCCAGCTTTTTATAGCTTCAAGACAGAAAACAGTTTTTGTTTTGCAAAACGAGAGATGGATAATTGCTAAAAAAATAAATAAAAAAAATTAATGTACTTTGCTTAACTTGAGGAAAATATCTCTTTAAAATTCTGTTTGCAGGGCGGCTTTTCCAGTACATTATTCCCTGGAAGGTTATAGCCATATATTAGTTGTATGTGGTTGCTTCAGAGAAGGATTCCTTTTGATTGTGGTAATTGGAATGCAGCCATCCAAAGCTTAGCCTATGCTGCCCAATTAAGACATGTTTACTAGACTGGATACAAAATATTCTTCTGATGGTAAACATTTGATTTCACAAAGGACTTCTGCAAGGCTCTAGTCTAAACTCACGTATAAAGTACAGTGGTACCTCGGGTTAAGAACTTAATTCGTTCTGGAGGTCTGTTCTTAACCTGAAACTGTTCTTAACCTGAGGTACCACTTTAGCTGATGGGGCCTCCCGCTGCTGCCGCGCTGCCACAGTGCGATTTCTGTTCTCATCCTGAAGCAAAGTTCTTAACCTGAGGTGCTATTTCTGGGTTAGCGGAGTCTGTAACCTGAAGCGTCTGTAACCCGAGGGACCACCGTACCGTGAAAGATGGAGTGTGTGTGCCTCATTTAGCTCTTAGGCATTTATTTAAGAGTATGTTTTCTTCTCTTGCCATTAAGTGGAATGCCATTAAGTATGCATTTGTATATTACAGTACTCAGGTTAGCATACATTGCACTGCTGCAATGCTTTCGGAGTGGGTTTGTGTAAAATGTGGCTGTTGGCATGAGAACACATTGCAGCTCCATATAAAATAATTTTATGGGGCTCAGCTGTTCAAAACCCACAGATTTCCCTCCCCATTTTATCCCCATACCAAGACCGGTGTTCATTTGCCCTTCCTCAGGCTTCCTCAAAGTTGGAAGATTTGATTAGTGCGTTGGATAAGTTGGAACCTCATAACCCCCAGCTCTTTTGCAAGACGGCGTTGGTGTTCAGCAGAACCGTAAGTGGGCATTTATTTTGGAAAGTAACATCGAAGACATTGATTGTGATCCTTTCGCCATGAGCTGGTAATTTTCCCTTCATTAAAATGGGAAGCCCCTGTATATGTTGGGTTAGGATTGGTACCTATCAGGCCTAAATAACCCTGTACACAGATGTGTCTGAATCTTTTTAGTAGGCTCTAGGCTTGTTTAGCTGTGCACCAAAGTGCTCTAAGAGATGCACGGCTGTTTCTGTTTCAGAATGGAAGGTTAAGCGTTCACTTGGAATCTTTCTTTATAGTATATAGTGCATTTTGATTATGATGGGAAATGAGCATTGGTTAATCTGTTGGTTGTTCCTCCCCACTCCAAAGGCCCCTTGTTTGTTGTGGTGGCTCCCCCCCCCCCCCCGCCCGCCGCAAGGACTTTGTCTGTGGCGGCTGTCTTCTTGTGACAAATGGATTGCTTGACTCATTCACCCTGAGCAAAAAAATAAATAAAATTGAGCCGAGTGGTGGCATATAAGTGGAGGTTGTGCTCATGGCAAATTCACGAACTGATGTGTTTTGCCCTGAGCTGGGAGCTGTCAGGGGTTAGAGAGGGAGGAAAGTAGCTGCCATAAGTTGTGTAATCATGTGCACTGGCCGCTTTTCTGAATTCAGTGGTGCACTGCAGCATGAGTAGAGCGGAGGAACTGGGTTTTTACTCTGTGCATTCAATTGCAGTTAGTAATGCAAGGGACGTTCTTCAGGTGATTATGTAAGTTGGGTTCATACCGGTGTTTCATGCCACCCAAACAAACCATCGCCCTTTCATACAAATGTTTGCAAATTTTTATTTTGACATTTAGCGACTGTTTCTAAAGCTTTAAAAAGAAAATAGTGAAGTGGAGGATTTTAAATCTGCTAAAGTGTTCATGTTGGAAACTGTTCTTGATTATAGTGTGGCCGCAACCCACTGATCCTTCATCAGACTCAGACTTTGGTGGAACGAGCTTTCAGCTTAGACCCCCACAATGCAGATATCGCTACAGAACTTGGCTACCAGATGATTTTGCAGGGGAAAACGAAGGAGGCCTTAAAATGGTACAAGACTGCCATGGCTCTTGACGAAACAAGCGTTCCCGCACTAACTGGTATGGCTTAAAAACAGGTTTGAGTTTTCAAGAGCATGCAAAGCTGATTCCTCTCTCCTCCCCGCCCCCCCCCCCGAATAATTTTATCACTGCAAGTAATCTGGGTGATTGACTTTTTTAGTGTGATTTGCATTCTCATCAGCTTATTGCCTCTCCTCGTTTTTGAGCCCCTCTTATGTTCCTATAGACTTTGAAGCCTGGTTTAATGAAAAAGGAATTCTAAACACCGAAGGCTCTTTGTAGGGCAGAGCTGAAATGGGATGACTTTGCATTACAGGAATTATCCGGAGCCAGCTAATGGAAGGGAAGCTAGACGATGTAGAGCAGCAGTTGGAGTTCCTGAACGAAATCCAACAGTCTATCGGGAAATCAGCAGTAAGAGAACGATCCTTTCCAAAAGTGCTTTGATTCTAACCTCACTGAGGAGGCTAGAATATTTATGTGGGCAGAGAATTCTTGACAGAGGGCTCCGGTCTTGCTTTTCTGCTCCTTGCAATGTCCAATTCTTGGGTTTCAAGGCAAGGAATCCAAATGTGTGCAAACGAGGTAATACATTTTTGAAGCATTTTTACTCCCAGAGTGGCTAACAAAGATCCGTAATGAGACAGTCCCTGCCCTCAGATTTGCAATCTAGAAAACGTGAGTGCCACAAAAGGGGTGGGGGAGCAAACTCTGGCACTATTTCTTAGTTACAGAGCTCTTAGATGGAGAGTTAAAAGAGAGGAGGAGCCAACGTTGCTTCAGTTACCCTGCTTCCCATCTCTCTCAGCTGCAGCCTGATTGAATGGCTACTGCTAGGTGACATTCGAGGAAGGAAGGATCCTGATAGAACTGGCCGTCGTAATCAGTCTACAGTTTCCCTCAAACTCTGTACAAAAGTAATGTCTAACCTGTTTCCCCTTCGTGTTGCTTTGACCTCTGTTGCTTACCCAAACAGATGATGATGATAACAATAAAAAAATTTAATACACATTTTTATTGGTTTTTAAGCAAATACAATAACCATTAAACACTTATCCTGCAGTACACTGAATGGTGTTTGTTTTCTCCATTATATCCGCAATGAAAGGCCAAACCCTTCCTCCAAATCCTGCCTTTGCCCTGCTATCTTTGGACATAGACTTAAGCTCCACCCTGCACCACAGAGAACTAGTAGGCTTCTTACTGACTGCAGCACGATGAGCGATAGCTCAGCAATGGAAGAACCAGACTGAAATACCCCTGAGCCTATGGGAAAATCATATCTGGGATATAATACTTTTTTTTTTTAATGTCCTTGATACCAAAGCCTTCGTGCGACTTACATAATGGCTGCATTGAGGGAAGGAAAAGATAAATGGAAAACCACTCCCTTCCAAAAACAAAGGGTGTCTTCCTGACTGTCACGGATTTGGGGAGGCAATCAGTCACATACTGGCAAGTTCAAATTGCTTTTGTGCAACAAACTCCCCTGCCCCAGACCTGGTGACAGTTGACACCTCCTCCTCCTCTTCCTCCTCCTCCTCCTCCTTCTCGTAAATGAATCTTAATGAATGCTCAGTAAATAGCCAATGTCATCTAGCCTCCCTGCAAACTGTACTAAGAAATCAGCTCAAGAAACAGGTCGTTTGGAAGTGACCAGAGACTGTGCTCATCGAGCACAATCTGCTAACCTGCTGTCTTAAGTTAGAGGTCTTAATTTATCGGGGGGGGGGGGGGAGAATGATACAATTAGTTGCTAAGCAACACAGGCAGTTTCTGGAACAAAACTACAAGCCTGTTCATTCACAAGAGTTCACTGAGTGAAGAATGTCCAGTGGGTTTTTATTATTATTAAGAACTAGATACATGCCAGGAAATGTGCTGCAAATCAGGGCATCTGGGTGCCAGAGGGCAATTTCTAGTTACCAGTGGTGACCAGTGCTAGGTGAATCATGACAGATTTAATTATAGATTTTCCCATGTAATTTTCTATTTGTTTTGTAGGAATTATCTTACTTGCGTGCAGTGTTGGCTATGAAGAAAAACAAAAGACAAGAGGAAGTTATTACTTTATTGAACGATGTGCTTGATACTCATTTTTCCTCATTGCAAGGCTTACCTCTTGGTGTAGAATATTTCGAAAAATTAAACCCTGACTTTTTGATAGAGATTATTAAGGAGTATCTTAGCTTTTGCCCAACGCAGGTAAGTAGCTAGGATTTTTGTCCTCCTAAAACAACCACCATTTATTATTATGCTTTGTACTCAAAAGAAGGTTTCAGGTTGAAGCAAAGACAATTAGGATGAATCGCCAAGATTCTGAGCACTGTCCATTATAAGGACTGAGCAATAATTAATAGCGGAGTAACTGCTAAAGTATTTTTGTTTTCCTTGTAAAAAAGTCCAGAACATTGTCATGACACAAATTAGGTGCGCTACGTTGCGTCATTGGTAGATGTGGCGAATATGTGAAAGATTCTGGTTGATCCTGGTCATCTGCTTAAAGAGCTGATTGTTTTGTTTTTAAATCTGGGATGGGGAAACAATAATAATAGAAACAGTAATAATGTTATTATTTATACCCCTCCCATCAGAACAGGTTGCCCCAGCCACTCTGGACGCTTCCAATACATATAAAAACATAATTAAGCATCAAACGTTAAAAACCTTTCAATACAGGGCTGCCATCAGATGTCTTCTAAAAGTCAAATAGTTGTTTATTTCTTTGACATCTGACGGGAGGGCATTCCACAGGGCGGGCATCACTACTGAGAAGGCCCTCTACCTGGGCGCCCGTAACTTCATTCTCGCTTTGAGGGAACTGCCAGAAGGCCCTCGGAGCTGGACCTCAGTCTCTGAGCTGAACGACAGGAGTGGAGACATTCCTTTAGGTAGCCCTACAGATGTTTGTTGGGCCCCACTCCCATCACCCATGACCATTGACTATGCTGGCTGAGGTTGGTGGAAGTCGAAATCCAATAACATCTGGAAGGACACAGGTTTGCCACATGTTTTAAGGACTCTTCTTGAGCTTGAGTGAGGATGACAAAGTAGGTTTGGGGCTTTGCTGTGAGAAGACTTTGAAATATTAGTAGAATCCGACCCCTAACTATATCTGTACTAGTTGGGTTCCTCCCTCCCTCCCTCCCTCCCCCTCCAAGTTTTTTCTTCCTGGAAGAGAAAACTGAAGATTTGTTTCAGTAGGAGTTTACCACCACGTTCAGAACCAACTCTCATTATGCCTTTCTGCCCTCTTGTTGGCCTGCAAGAGCTTGCAGGCCTTTCCCCTGAGTCAGGCCAGCATGCCAGAGGCAGAGTGCTGTGTGGATTCATGGAGCTGCCTCAGCACACATCCTGTGTGGCTGTAAGTCAGCATTGCCTCAGAAAGCACAGGTGCTTCGTTCTGGAAAAGATCTAGAAAACTGCCTGTTGAAAATACACTCAGAATTTTTACCTCAGCTCAGATATACATTTCATTGGGATTTTTTTTTTCTCTTTAAAGAAAAAAACCCTTCCGCTTTCTCGATGTAATATATCAAAGTACCGTTTGTTTATCTCAAGCCTGCAGGTCGAGGACAACCTCCTTCCCCGCTTCTCAAGCCTTGTGCGTCCGTCCTTGAAACTGTGGTTAAAACTGTTCCTGGTCTCCTGCAAGCTGCCTATTTAGTCGCAAAGGTGAAATATTTGGCAGGTAAATCTCTCGAGTTTGAACCAATGCAAATATTACGTCAGTAGCACTTGCAAAAATAAATAAATAATAAAGCTGCAGTGTGGAGTGCTCTCTGTTAAGGATTACACACTCCACCCCACAATATCAGTTAGTATGCTTGGTCTGCACTGGGGTGTTTTGCTGTTCCCACCCCATCCTTAAACAGTTCCCTAGCCTGTTGCTACCTCCCTCATATTGTGCTATTTAGACTATGTAAAGCAGTGGCACCCGCACCTTGAACCTTGCAAATAGAAGAAATTGTTGAAGCATGTTTTGTAATTTGAAACTGTACTATGTGATTCATAAAGCACTGTAATAGCTGAGATGTAACTTGCAGCTGGTGACTGGTGTGCTCTCTTTCTTACAGCAAGTGATTTCATTGCTTCTTTAGTTGTTGGAATATTTTTTAAAAATGTAACCGTTTAATAAATAGTGCTGGGACGGAAGGAGGTATAATCAGTGGAAACGAACCTGTCTTGCAAATGCAATCCTAAGGCAGCTTGTCAGCATATTGAATTTGTTTCTCCCCTTCATTGTTTTGTTTGCTTAATCTGATTAGGTAACACTGAAGCATCCCAGAGCATCTTGCAGCACTGCATAGAACAGAATCCATCACACGCAGATGCCCATCTCCTTATGGCTCAAGTGCATTTGTTGCAAAACAACTTCAAACTCTGTTCTCAGTCTCTGGAACTCTGCCTAAGCTATAACTTTGAGGTACACTTGATTGGAAAATCTAGCCCAGCATACTGAAGCTCTTTATTTTACTTCCATGCTTGATTGGCATTTTAATTTGCTGCCAGTATTATTATTACTTTTTTTGCCCGTGGATAAATTGTCAGGACATCAATAACCGTCACATAACAAGGAAACATATGCATTTCGCTATTTAACAAAGAGCTCTTAGTTGAAATCGGCAATATCAAAAGTCAGTGCAGGGTTTCAGGCTTAGGAGTTGACTCAGCTTCGTGGTTTTTTTTCTGCCTGCTGTACGACAGAAACCCTACTGTGGTTGCAGCCCCAAAACCCTGGCAGTATAAATTTGCTAGGCTTTTTCCTTTTACCTTCATATTCTTGCAAGCCCCATGAATTAACTTTAGACCCCTTTTGGAAACGTTGGGATTAAGTGAAACAGGAAACTACTGCTAACTGGCTTACTAGTTTGTCTGCTCGTTTTGTGCAGAGGGAGTGCATAGGCTCATTCATCTTAAGACGAAATGTTACCATGTGAATGCAGTCAGAGGTCATCAATCCTCTGGCTGGTGATAGGGCAAAAGTTAATAGGAAAAATAAATAAATGATTTATAAAAGGTAAAGGACCCCTGGATAGTTAAGTCCAGTCAAAGGCGACCATGGGGTTGTGGTGCTCATCTCGCTTTCAGGCCGAGGGAGCTGGTGTTTGTCCACAGACAGCTTTCCGGGTCACATGACCAGCATGACTAAACCGCTTCTGGCGCAATGGAACACTGTGATGGAAACCAGAGCGCACGGAAACGCCGTTTACCTTCCTGCCGCAGCAGTAGCTATTTATTCGCATTGGCGTGCTTTCGAACTGCTACGCTGGCAGGAGCTGCGACAGAGCAACGGGAGCTCACCATCCTCTTTAGTGTGATGTAATAAGTAGTTCCCGGTTGTGATCTCAGTGCACACATAAATAGCAACCTTGCTGAAAGCTAAGCAGGTTTTCATTGGATCAGTGTCTCTAGGATCTCCCCGTATCCTCAGCTCCCTGAAGGAAAGGTGGGATATAAGTAAAAGAAGGGAAAAAATAGGATTTTGAGATATTTTGAATGTTATGGGCCACTCTTGAGCAAATGGAGGTAGGATCAACCTGAGTAGGACGTAGTTGCTTTAAAAGCAGGAGAGAGCCACTCCTGTTGTCCTGTACTAAAGCTTAGTCATTCTAGATTACTTTTGTAAATCGCTCAAAACAATGTACCGTATTTTTCGCCCTATAGGACGCACCGTCCCATAAGGCGCACCTAGTTTTTTTGGGGGGAAATAAAGGAAAAAAAATTTATTTCCCCCCCAGGCGCGGGGCTGGGGCGGGGGAAGCCCGAGCTTCCCCCGACCCCAGCCCCCAGAACAGGAAACTCTCCGCAAGCCGCGGGAGCCCAGCGCAGGGCTCCCACGCCTTGCGGAGAGCTGTGCGAAGTCTGGGCGCGCTGAGCTCAGCACACCCAGGCTTCGGCATGCAGGCAACTCTCCGCAAGCCGTGGGAGCCCGGAGATCTGCGCGAAGCCTGGAGAGCGACCTGGTGCGCACCGACCCCTCTCGCTCTCCAGGCTTCAGCGAAAGCCTGCATTCGCCCCATAGGATGCACACACATTTCCCCTTCATTTTTGGAGGGGGAAAAGTGCGTCCTATGGGGCGAAAAATACGGTACATAATTATCCCACTAATATAAGTATGATTTAACATACTAGATGGTTAGGGTTTTTTCTTTTCTTCTTGGAAGACTGTATGGGACATAGATGCTGATTATGTACTCTTCATTAGGTCAGAGAGCATCCTGTGTACCACTTAATAAAAGCTCGAGCCCAAATAAAGATGGGGGAAATAGCAGAAGCTGTTAAAACTCTGCAGATGGCAATGAACTTGCCTGGAATGAGAGCCGCCGCACTTTCCTCAAAGTCAAAAACAAAGAGGATTGAAATTGACGGGAGCGATCGTGTGTCCGTCTATCTGGAACTAGTAGATGCTCATCGGTTGAATGGCGAACAGGTATGACGAGATTCTGTTTCATACGTAAAACTGGTACATATCCTTTGGATGTGGTCTGCAAATTTTGGATACCTGTTAGCAGAAGTACAGTTTTTAGAGAGTGCTTGCGATCATCCTGCTGGCAGTGACAGATGATGGGTTGCATCCATTTGTGGAAGGAGAGGGGGAAATGTTTTTTCAGATTTCCTCCGTACCTCTGTACATGCTGCTTCCCACGCCTATTCTGGAGGGTTCCCCATCTCTTTGGAGCTTGCTCACCTCCACTGCCCTTTCCTGCAAGGGAAGTACTTTTTTAGGGTACCGACTTAATTCACACAAGGCAATGGTGAGGTCCAGTAAGTCTAGTGGTGCTCTGTGTAAACCATTGTGTGCCATTGGGGTGCGAGGGGAGAACACTGCCACAATGGCCGCCTTCCCAGCGCACAGGGGTTCCTGGGCAAATGCCTTGATGTGGAATGGTCTCTGTGAAAGTACAAAGTTTGAAAGCCACAGTTTTTGCAGGGGCAATTTAGGCAGAGATTTAACAAGAACGATGGTCTCTTTTGAAGCACGAAGCCATTAAAGTCCTCCAAGATGCTATCAACGAATTTTCTGGCACCCCGGAAGAGCTGAGAGTTATGATTGCTAATGCAGACCTAGCCCTTGCGCAAGGCGACGTGGAAGCGGCTTTGACGATGCTCAGGAATATAACCCCAGAGCAGACTTACTTTGTTCAAGTCAAAGAGAAAATGGCAGAGATCTATCTGGAGCACAGGAAGGATAGGAAGCTATACGCAAGCTGTTACAGGTAAGAGCTTAGTTTGCCAAAATAATAATAATACTATGTACCAAGTTCATTTGGTGCCTGTTTCTTCCTGAAGAAATAAACCACTTCACTGAAAAGTACTGTGCGTAGATGTACATTGATGTACAAAAAAGCCATTCATTTTGAAATATTCTTTAAAACAAAAATACACGTCGGGAAAACAGCTCTGGGTCACCGCTGCATTGATCAGAAACATACACCTGTATGCCTGCAGTTTTGTTCTCTCTACAGCAGAGGTGAGCAGCCTGTGCCCTTCTCTATGTATGTTTGGACTACAACTCCCATCATCCGTGGCACTGGGGCTGATGGGAGCTGGAGCTCGAAAGCATCCCAAGGGCCACAGGTTCCCCATCCCTACTCTACAGTTGAAGCTATCACAGGGCAACTGTGTTTCAGCCTGTAACCCCCCGCAACAAGGATGTGTCCATTTGCTTTTGGAATGGTACGGTTTTGCTTCTTTGGAAAATGTTGTCAATAAAATATTGTGCCTTTTTAGTACTTACGGTGCCTAGGGAAGGTATTCAGAGCCCACAGATATCTCCTTCTTCCAACCAAAGTGTGTCCCCTTCTACCCCTTGCCTCAATTTTTTTAAAGTCTTACAGTAAGTATGCTAGACTCAATTTTCCAGATGTTATGATTATCCCAGTTGTTCTCTTGGAGTCCTTTGTTTGAATGAAGATGCTCTTCTGAATCATTCTTTAGTTAGCTATGTGTTCTATGGCACAACTGTTACAGCACTGGTATCAACAAGAAAGCACGACAGATAGCAGATTTCGCTGTCTTCCTTAAAACTAAGATTTCCAGGATAACAGTTCGTCTTAATTTGCTTTCTCTGGAACACCTCCTCTGTCCTTGTTAAATCGAAACGTCTGAAGACAAAGGAAGCAAACATTTGCCACCAGTCTATTAAACAAAAAAAGGGAAAAAATACCTGGCCATTGAAAGTTGGCTTACTGCACTAGTAGCAAACAGATTCAACTATTGACATGATTTATTTTCTTTCTTCTTATTTTCAGAGACCTGGTGGAGAAACTTCCAAGTTCTCACACCTTTCTTCTCCTTGGTGATGCATATATGAATATCCAGGAGGTATAAGCATTTGTAGCTTTAGGGGTTATGGTTAGAAGGTTTCAGTTCGGAAGGAGCACCTCTGTTGTGAAAAGTACTGGCTTACACAAGCCCTGACCCCAGCCTTGTAGACATTTTGTTGTTGTCTTTGGCATCCATCTGTCATGAGAGACAATGGAGTGCCCCATCTGGAGGTGAAGTCAAACTGCTGTGTTAGCAGCACTGAAGTGACTTCCCCAGGGCGCAAGCCTGGGTAGTGTGTATGGAGGTCCTGGGCTGCCCAGATGACAAGACCCGCCCCCCTCAGCCTTGCCGATGTGGTCCAAAGAAAATCAAAACAATACTTTGGCACCAGCTTGCCAGAAAGAGGCATACAAGGCACCATCCAACAGTCTTAGGGACTCCATTTTGGATTTGTGTAGGGTTACTCCTTAGCCTTTCTTCTCCTGAAGATGTCCTGCAAGGCAGTGGGTACGGATTTTTCCTCTGGGTTTACTCCCGAAGCCTTTCTTACCTGCAAGGTGTGGAAGTTTAGGATCAAAGTTTTCCTTCTCCTTGATGGGCTACCTTTCCAAGTTGACAAGCCCCATCTGCCCCTCACTTCCCTATAGAGTAGGCATAGGCAAACTTGGCCCTCCAGATGTTTTGGGACTACAGTTCCCATCATCCCTGACCACTGGTCCTGTTAGCTAGGGATGATGGGAGTTGTAGTCCCAAAACATGTGGAGGGCCGAGTTTGCCTATGACTGCTGTAGAGCATGTGTAGAAACTGCCTTCTTGACCATTGGACCCATACTTGTTCTCATCCGCTCAATATGTTGGAGCCTGTCTTTGTATGCAGGGGAAGCCCCTAACTCACTGAGGGTTTGAAACCCATTGACTACTCTCACCTGGTTTAGCTAGCCAGCTGAAGCCGCTTCCTGGGGTGTGGCTGCTGTCGCATACTGACATTGGTAGACATATGTAACCAGGAATTGCATGCAGTTGACAAAACCAAGCAAGTTACTAGAGGGAAGCCCCTCTCCTCTGTGTCCAACACAGAAATGCAGTTTTTTGTCTGTTACTTCCTCCTTGCAGGATAGTAACTTTCACGGGTTTATTTACAAGGCTGCCTGCCCCTCAAGAGGGAAAATGGAAAGAGAATGTACCAAATGGGATCACCATGAGGCTCTTCAGAGTTTTGTTTCCCCACTTGGCTCTGTGCCCTTGCCTTATCCCAAGACTCCCCACTGGAATCTTGTCTTCTGATTAATATTATTTGGTTTGGTTTTGTTGTATCTCTATTGATATACTAGATATAGATATAGATATAGATATAGATATACCGTATTTTTCGCCCCATAGGACGCACCGCCCTATAGGACGCACCTAGTTTTTTTTTTAGGGGGGGAATAAAGAAAAAAAATTATTTCCCCCCCAGGCACGGGGCTGGCGCGGGTGAAGCCCGAGCTTCCCCCGACCCCAGCCCCCAGAACAGCCTGCTATCCGCAAGCCTAGGGAGCCGCGCCGGTCTCCCTAGAGCTGTGCGAAGCCTGGGCGCGCTCTTCAGCGCGCCCGAGGCTTCAGAATGCAGGCAGCTCTGCGCAATCCTCCAGAGCCCGGCGCGGCTTGGCGCCGGGCTCCGGAGGGTCGCGCAGAGCTGTGCAGAGCCCGGGAGCACAGGCAGCTCTGTGCGACCCTCCGGAGGCCAGCGCGGCTTGGCGCCGGGCTCCGGCGGGTTGCGCAGAGCTTCCTGAAGCCTGGAGCGAGCGCCTTTCGCTCTCCAGGCTTCAGTGAAAGCCTGTATTTGCCCCATAGGACACACACACATTTCCCCTTCATTTTTGGAGGGGAAAAAGTGCGTCCTATAGAGCGAAAAATACGGTAGATATAAATAGGCCTTGCAATCATTCATGCTTGGGCTTCTCATGACCTTACTGTTATTTTTCTTTACCCTAGCCTGAAGAAGCCATTGTGATATATGAACAGGCTTTGAAGTTGAATCTAAAGGATGGAGCATTGGCTCGCAAAATTGGGAATGCCTTGGTCAAGACTCATAAGTATACAAAGGTATGTGAAGACTGGCTTGCATGCATCCCGATACAATCATTTCTGTAACATTTCCAGAAATACTTAACCTGCCCTCCAGAAGAGCCCAGGATTGTGGATGTTGATGTGCACACACAAAAATAATTAGCAGCATGAAGAATGTTAAAATATTCTGCTCTGAAGTTTCTAGCTCTCTCTTTCCTCCATCCAGCTCTTCCTTCCCCAAGTTTTTAGTAGCAGCAGCAGTACAAAAGTGAAACGACGCCAGCTAGCCAAGAAGAGGGTGGTTTTTGTGGGTCAAAGCGAAATGCAGGTTTAAAAAATAATAATTTTTAGGTTAATATTGTTTGTATGAAAACAAACAACAGTAACAAACAACTTGAGGGGGTTAAAGGAAGGAGGGAGAGAGGAAGGAGAAGACTCCTCTCTGATGCACTGGAAATCTGTCTGAAAAATAAAACAAAGAATATCCACATATGGATTACACGACGCCCAAATGCCCCCGTAAGTGTCCAAGTGTTACTGCGTGCCTATGGTCTTTGGCTTGTTCATGAATGGAGAGAGCTGTCAATGCATGATGGAGGACAATGCCTTATTTTTCCAGTGTTGCCACTCCCATTCCCAGTTTCATTTTCCATGTAGAATTTAAACTGTTGGCCTGTGAAGGGCACTGTGGGCTTTGGGGATGGTCACAGGATCAGAGAGAAAAGTGCTTCATATAATCAAAATTAGCCATCACCCAAAGGCTATTAAAGTTGCTAAGAAACAGACTCCTTACAGCTTAAAAGATCCTTGCGGTGAGAGAAATTGGGATTGGGGGATGCATTGTCAGGCACACATGCACATGGTCTGAGGTCTGGGGCTGACAGTGCAGCAAACTCTTAACCCTTAGATTAAGAATGTTCATTGACCTAATTCAAAGCACATCGTATCTTGTTGCAGGTTCCTTCTGCGATATTTTATTTTCAGGTTTGTGTATGATTTTTTAAACATATGTATAATCCATATAAAGAATTATTGAGCTGTGACCAGAACAAAATACGGACGTATCAAAAAGAAATTTGCCTTTAGTTTTATATTTAGCTATTAATCTGTGCAAAGTATTGATTTACTAGCTAAGATAGTCTGAAGGCAGCTAAGATATTCAAATGGCAAGCGTAATTTTCCATTTGAGTGTCAGGGAATCTTCTCCTTTCTGACACCTGCAGCTCCTTCAGAAATGTCAAACAGGATCTTTCAGATTATTTGTTTGTTCATTTATTATTTTAGGCAATCAATTATTATGAAGCTGCTCTGAAAACTGGGCAGCAGAATTTCCTTTCTTACGACCTGGCAGAGCTATTGCTGAAATTGAACCAGTATGAAAAAGCAGTAAAAGTCCTTCGGCAAGTTTTGGATCATGAGTCTGGTACGTACATCTTATTTGCTTCATATTTTTTTAAGAAATAAAGAGATCACTATTTGTCAAGACTTTGTATCAAATATATCTCTATGTTTCTGCAGTAAATGATTTGTCCTCTCTGATGGAAGATACGCGTTACCATGTTCTTCTGGCAAAGGTGTACAGCAAAATGGACAGGACGGACGATGCTGTTGTTTCCTTACAACAGGTAAAGAAATATTAAATATTGGCGTGTTAGGCCTTTGGTAGCAGAAGAGAGATACTTGGTTACCTGGTAGCGATAGAGGAGATCAAGCTTAAAATGGTCCAGGTCTGATATTATTATTACAGTGGTACCTCGGGTTACATACGCTTCAGGTTACATACGCTTCAGGTTACAGACTCCGCTTACCCAGAAATAGTGCTTCAGGTTAAGAACTTTGCTTCAGGATGAGAACAGAAATTGTGCTCCAGCGATGCGGCGGTAGCAGGAGGCCCCATTAGCTAAAGTGGTCTTCAGGTTAAGAACAGTTTCAGGTTAAGTACGCACCTCTGGAACGAATTAAGTACTTAACCTGAGGTACCACTGTACTTCTTTATTGCATTTGTATCATACCTTCTCTCCAAGGAATAAGATGATGCACATGGTCTGCTCCTCTTCATTTAAACCTCACAAACAACCCTGTGAGGTAGGTTAGATGTAGATGCAGTGGCTGGCCCAAGGTCACCCAATGAGTAGTACCAGCAGAACAAAAAACATTTTAATGGTGATAATGAATTATTCCCCTATTGCATGTGTTTGGTGACTTCAACTTTCCCCTCTCTATTTTACATTAGTGACGTTAAAACAACTCCTGCCATCCCTTACAAAAGTCACTTCCTTCCACTTACAGACCTTTGACTGTTCAATTTGTTAAGGTATGTCAGGCAACAAAGGACCAGCTGTTTGCTCACACCAGTCAAGCACAAGAGTTAACTTGGCCTCTGAGCTCAGTTGGTGGAGCATGAGACTCCTGATCTCAGGGTTGTGGGTTCGAGCCCCACGTTGGGCAAAAGATTCCTGCATTGCAGGGGGGTTGGACTGGATGACATTTGTGGTCCCTTCCAACTCTACAATTCTGCGACTCTTAAGTTGCACATATCAAGTCAAGGACACATACAATACTGATTTAGAGAATTGGTCCTTTTTAAAATGCACAACTTGCTCCAAATCCACCCTCCCAAAAAACTTCATCCGATATTATTATTTCCTATTGGAAGCCTCTTTTGCTTTTCCACCAGGCTCAGGAATTGCAGGCCAGAGTATTGAAGCGGATTCAGATAGAGCAGCTGGACGCGGTTCCTGTACAGAAGCAACTAGCAGCTGAAATTTGTGCAGAGATAGCAAAGCATTCAGCGGCCCAGCGGAACTATGAGAAAGCAATTAAATTCTACAAAGAAGCTCTTGTTCATTGTGAAACGGACAACAAGGTCAGTGAGCACTAAGAGGAACCGTTTCCCCTCCGGCCTTGCTTAAGAGGTGTGGTGGTTGGGATGCATGTTGTAAATAGAATGAGAAATTAGCAAAGAGCTTCTATTTATATTTTAATCCTCAGGTGATGCTAGAGCTAGCCCGTTTGTACCTTGCACACGATGATGTGGATGCATGCCAGCGCCAGTGTGCTCTGTTGCTGAAGAGTGATCCAGATAATGCGCCAGCTGCCATGGTCAGTTATACACATGCTCTCTGTAGGATGACTATTTAATGACATTATTTTAGGTTTTAAGAAAAACGATAAAGGGACACCTCTCTTGCATGAGCAGCTTTTCTCTATTGAAATATGCACTCAGAGCAATGTACTGATGGTAAGAACTACAGTGGAACCTCGGTTTTCAAACGTAATCTGCTCCGGAAGACTGTTCGACTTCCAAAATATTCGAAAACCAAAGCAGTTACCTCCGGGTTTTCAGCATTCGAAAGCCGAAACATTCAACTTCTGAGATGCTTGAAAACCGAGTTTCCACTGTAATGTCAAAAGAGAATCTAACAAAATTATTTAAAAAAAAACTTTTAACATTTAGTACAAAAAACACCAGCAATTTGCTAAACTCAAATGCTGACAGTTGACAGGCATTAACAAGCAAAAGCTTTTTGATACAAATGGTTTTTCCCAAGCCAACTAAAGTTTTATATAGAAAGATTCCATGGTAAGTCTCCCTTGGCCAGGTGTTTGAGAGCATAGGAGCCACTACAGAAATGGCCCTGCTCCTTGGCCTCATTGCCTGTCCGTAAACGGAGGGGTACAGACTAAAGGTGCACCCATTAACCTCTGAAAATGGAGAGAAACCTATGAGAGAAAGAGGTATGCAGAAGCAAGGGCTGTCAAACAATTGCGGAGCCTTAATGTGGTTCATAGCAACTCTGCCATTCTCTACATAAATGACATTTTTATGGAACTACCTGCCATGATCCTGAGTTCTCTTCTGGTCAGCCACTGCTAGTTCAGATCCTATTAGCATATACCATGAATTTATACAGTCACTTATTACATGGAATCATGTTTGCCATCTTAATGCCCGTTCACCCAACTTGGGGAGTTCCTTTTTGTGCTCTTCATAATCCCTTTTTGTATTTGCTACCCTGAACCATTTGGCATCATCAGCAAACTTGGCCATCCCACAGCTCACCCCGACTCCGGATCACTTACGAACAAAATAAAATTTAAAAAATCACTGCTCCCAATGCAGATCCCACGGAACCACTGAAGCTGGTTGATTTTTGTTCTTTAACAGCTGTGGGTGTGGCCCCTGGGCATTTGGTGTGTGAAGAAGAGTTTAGCCTCTAGCCCATTTGAGTTTCGCACTTCGGTATAGGCTGATTTTGCAGGATAAAATTGCTGCGGAGAAGGTTTTGTGTTGCTTTCTGTTTCCTTAGCATCTCTGCTTTGTGCTTGTAGATGATGGCTGACCTCATGTTCAGGAAACAAGACTATGAACAAGCGGTGTTTCATTTCCAGCAGCTTTTGGAACGCAGCCCAGGTGAGCATTAGATCTTTTCATGGCTCCCTTTTAACAAATCTTTATGCTAAAGCTACACGTTGATGGCAGAGCAATGCAGGCTCCCTTTCCACCCTGCTAGAAGAGTGGGTGGATTCCGTCAGCTGCCTGCAGAGTGTGACACCAGCATCTCTCTGTTGGCACAGAGGGGTCCCCCTTCTGCCTATCAAACATAGTTCTGGTTTTTCTTAACATTCTTAGATTTTTATGCTTCTTTCTTGTGTTTCATTTTCACAATGTGCTTGCTTTCTGTAATGCCCGGAATGCTTACATTAACAGATAATTATGCAACGCTATCACGTTTAATTGACCTGTTAAGAAGAGCTGGAAAGCTAGAAGAAGTTCCAAGATTTATTGCCATGGCTGAGAAACATTCCCCCAGGACAAAACTGGACCCAGGTTTTCACTATTGCAAAGGATTGTATCTTTGGTAGGTGTGGCTAGAAAATCACTAGTATAGTGTCAGTGAGAAAGGGTTGGTTTTCTTTGCTTTCATGACACGCCAGCCAAGCAAATTCAAATAGTGTTAATGTCTGGTTCTTTCAGTTTACTTGTTTTCTTTGTCCTTCCTACCTTTACAACAGTGATGGGAGAATTTCCACTCTGCAGGATTAATGATAGTTTGGCCCAAACAAAGTCCCACCTATCTATCTGCTGACATCTTATGATGTCACACACAGGACAGGTAAACTTGTGGGGTCAAACTTAAATGGAAGATTCAAGAGTGCACTTAGAGGGTGATCCCAGTTCTCCTTTTTTCTGCTGCTGGTCCTATTCAGGGTCTTTTGAATTTGCCGCCTTTTCCCTATGGCCCTGTAAATGTGCCAAAGTCAAAAAACAAATTACAGCTTGAAAATTCTTCCTTTTGAAATTGAGTCACTTGGTGTCATGTGATGACAAGTGGTTGACAGGTGGTGGCTCTTGGGGCACGGGAGTTTTGGATCCTGCCCACCAGCCAGATCCACTTCTCTACTCCTGCTTTGCAACTCCTTGGCTCTCTGCTCCCTCATTTCTTTCTCTTTGGACTCTTCCTTTCCAAATACAGCTGCCTGCCAGCATCATTTTCCCAGTTTCCTTGTGTTTCAATTCATGCAAGTGTGATTTCCTGTTTAGGTACACAGGCGAACCAAATGATGCACTTCGACATTTTAACAAAGCGAGGAAAGACAATGACTGGGGACAAAACGCTGTTTATAATATGATTGAAATCTGCTTGAACCCTGACAATGAAACAGTGGGAGGTGAAGTGTTTGAACACCTGGACGGTGACGCAAAGTGAGTGGCAATGAGATTTTTAGAACTCCTAGTATTTTAGTGCAGTGTTTTGTTTTGGTGTGTCTTGGCTGGCACATGGAAGAGTCTCTACAAATTCTTTTTGGGTGCCAGCAGTGAGTGACGGGTTGAATTCAAGCGGGGAAATGATGGGAACCAGATTTTATTTTATTTTTTACTGATTTCTATAAAAATGCATCATGGATAAAAGTTGATGACAGATATATAATTAAAGGCTCCTAAAGGCTAAACTTGCGTGATATTGTCAGCCGGCTTTCTAGGGCTCATTCTAGCTATTTTCAAAATCCCGATTGAGTAATGGAAAGCAGAGTTTCTGATACACAAGAACTGATGCTGTTTCTTTTATGCATGTATGTATGAAGTAGCTCAACAGAGAAACAAGAGTCTGTGCAGCTGGCTGTGAGAACAGCAGAGAAGCTCTTAAAAGAACTGAAGCCCCAGACAGCTCAAGGCCATGTGCAGCTCCGCATCATGGAAAATTACTGCCTTGTGGCAACCAAACAAAAATCAAATGTTGAGCGAGCGCTAAACGCCTTTACAGAAATTGTGGTTGATGAGGTGGGTTGTTTATAGTGTCTGTTCAGTTGAACACAGGTGTATTATACACATGTAGGAACCTCATACCTACAAATAAATGTATTCCATGCACTGCCCATTGCTTTAATAGTAGATTATATTTGTCATACGTGTGTCATACATGTGTAGGAAAACCTTAAACATGTTGCAGAGTTCAGCAGAGTTCCAAAAAATAGACCAGAGGCAATAGTACTTCATTCCGCAGAGCTTTACTTCTGCTGAAGGCAAATGTAGTGTAATGGTTATCAAATCCAATACAATCAGGACATGCATACAGAGTTGCAGCACTTACAAACCTAACTCATAATAAGACTGAACCTGAACACTATACAGAAACAGAAACACCACACCAGAAGGGAGAGAGATAGAAAGAGAAAAGTAAAACTCAGGGTTCTTCTGGCCTATATTTATAGTCAGCATGACCTTAATTGGAAGAGATAAGAGAACTATTTCAAAGCAGCTTCCCAGAAGTTATAACCCAAACAATCATTAACCCTTCTGCCTTTCCTTCTCTCACACAGAGAGTAGCCTCCTGTATTAATCCAAATGGAAAAGAATCTTTACACACGAGATCAATACTTTCTGCACTAAGAAATGCAAACTGACAATATTAAATATCATTTTTCAGAGTGTAGTTGTACTAGGTAAAAAATGATTCTTTTCAGAGGTGTTTGTAACAGAATAATAAACATTAGTAAGGAATGCTGGGAATCTCCACCCCACCCCCCAAGTTTGCAAGTTTCTTACTGCCACTGTTTTTCTTTCATGCAAGATATCCGCTTGTGTTAAGTTTTATTGAATTAATCACATTGTGGCTTTAGAAAGGCATTTTTGGGGTTGTGATTATTATTTTTTTTCAACCAGCCCAAGTGCTAACCTAGAATAACCAGCCGCTGTCAGTGCAAGCACTGTCCTTTTGAGAATGCTGACATTTATACTGGGTTCTCTGTCTTCTGAGTTGCATCATATTGGTCTTTTTTGCAGAAAGATCACATCCCAGCACTTTTGGGAATGGCCACGGCTTACATGATCTTAAAACAAACCCAGCGAGCCAGAAACCAGTTGAAGCGCATTTCAAAGATGAACTGGAATCCCGTTGACGCAGAAGAGTTTGAAAAAAGTTGGCTTCTCCTCGCCGACATTTTCATTCAGTCTTCAAAATACGATATGGCTAGTGACCTGTTAAAACGGTGCCTTCGTCACAACAGGGTAACGGACAGGCCAGAAGTAATGCTGTATCTGTTCTGTTCATGTTTTCCTACCCCTGGAGTCTTTTAATTAATGAAACTAATTTTATGGAAAGCAGGCAAAATGAGGCCGGCATTCCTTGAACTGGCTGACAGTGGTGAGGGCAGTGATTTATGACCTTCTGTGCGGTGCCATTGAGGGCCAACAGCACTTCAGCTTACAATTCAGTGGGTCAACAGGCTCTGCAATTTTAAGACTTGCTGACAGAGATTTCTCTCTTTTTTTAATTCTTTTTTAGTCTTGTTGCAAAGCTTATGAATATATGGGATACATAATGGAGAAAGAACAAGCATATAAGGATGCAGCTGCAAACTACGAGATGGCCTGGAAATATGGAAACCAAACAAATCCAACAATTGGTAGGTTCACCCTTAGCAACTTCATTTCATTTTCACTTCACTTTTAATTCATATAACGCCTTTCTATACTACTATACACAAGGCGGCTGACAAGCTGGACAAACAACAAAATAGACAGCAAAGATCACACATGTAATCGAAATTGAAAACCGAGGTGATTCTCTGCAGCCAAGACTGGGGAGATCCACTCCAGCTCTCTGGCCAAACTCTCTGTGGTTAGTAGGTTTTTAAATTTATTATTAATTATTATTACATATTTATTAAATGCCTATGCCACTCTTCCTGCTAAAGGAACCTTGTTCAAAAAAAGGGGCTGCAGCAGGTATCCACAAGCTCTCAGCTCCCCTTGTAAAATCCTAGGATTACATGAAAAGAGAATGCTACTTTTGCATTAACCTCTGACTTACCATTTTTTACAGGTTTCAAGTTGGCATTTAATTACCTGAAAGCCAAGAGATACATTGATGCAATCAATGTTTGTCATAAGGTAAACTTTTTTTACAAACATGTTTCTTTGCTTGTGGGTTCTATGAAAAGGGGAAAACACTGTAGTATAGTTCTCGTTAATGACAGTATTGACGTCTGCTGCAGTGAAATAGCTTTAGATATCTAACAGTAGAATAGTCAACTACTTGTTTTAGTTTACAGTGAGACTTTATGTGTCTACATGTTGTAAACCGCCCTGAGACTTGCAGGTATAGGGAGATATACAAATTTAATAAATAACAATAATAAAGTAATAACTTTACTGCTTACTATGAATATATTTTCTTTCAACAGGTTTTAGAACAGCATCCAAACTACCCCAAGATCAGAAAGGAAATACTTGATAAGGCACGCGTAGCATTAAGAACTTGAATAATATTGTATGTATTTATCTTAAATGGGGGGGGGGGCAAACAGAGAAAGGTCTGTAAAACTATCTGTGTAGTTTGTGATGCTACATGCTCAGTTAGTTCCCATTGAAAAAAAGTGGAGAGTACTTTTTTAGCACATAGAGAGTTCAGCAAATTTAAAAGATAATCAGTGTCTGTTACTACCCACCTGTAGGTATTGGCTACAGTCCAAATAAATCACTTTGGTGTAAGGGAACAACAGCCACAGCTGGAACGTCCTTTGAAAGTTGCTCTGTGACAGAGAGAGTTCCCAGCTGCACCCTCCTTCGCTGGCCTTCAAACATCACCCTCGTAAAGGTGATTTATTTGGAGTACGGCCATGCTTTTGAAATGGTGTATAATCGGGGTCCTCAAAGGCAGCGGGGGGAAAGACTGCGAGAATGCTTTATTTGTGTCTCACACGTCTAACTGTTTTATTTTTGCAAAACGTTTTCCCAGATGGAATCCTAGATCAAGTAGACCAAAACTCGAAAAAATCCCTTCCCCTACCCCAGTTTATTTTACCAATGACCAATTTATTTTGCTATTATATACTACAGAAATCATTACATAATTGCGCAAGGTGCCAGTAGTTCCCTAAGGATATATTTACTGATTACATACGCAACTTGCCATTCTTTCGAGATGTTCAGCCTCAACCATTTGGCAAGGTGGGTTAAGCTGAAACGATGTCCCATCCCCATAGGCTATCCTACTGAATGGGAGGAATTTGAATTTCATTCTACCACATTTATTTATTAGCTAACGGTATTTGCATGCTACTCTGCAATTATTATTATTTTATAATTCATTAAAATGATTTTAAAATACAATATAAAAGAATTAAAAATACAAGTTACAACAAAGCACCTCTTGGCAGATAGAGAAAGCAGTAAAATCAGGGACAGACCAATTTAAAAACATTAGCAAACCAGGGTTCTCACAGTTTGAAACACTTTGATTGAAGATCTAGTTGTCCTCCATGCTTAAAGCTCCAAAGTAGTAGTATTACTAGAACTTCTAGTAGAAATGACAACGTATTTTACTTCATTTGTATAATTCATTATTTGGATTATTGTGTAAAACTGTCTTTCATCAAGTGATTATTGTCTATGTAGCCTCAAAGAATTCCCATGGCTTTTTCTGAGAGGCTTGTTTCAGTTCCTGCAATATAGCATGTAGGCCATAATTCAAGTGGACAGAGATATGCCTCACCTTTTGTAAACACTATATTTACATATGCTTTTATCATATGATTTGCATTGTTTTATGAATTTTGGTATTTTTCATGTAAACTGTACTGAATTACTAATTCGAAAAGAATGTATAAATGTCTTACATAAAATAAATATATTTCTTCAAATCTGTCTTTATGTACCATATCCCATGATCTGGGAGCAATAGTTAAATAAAGGTGGGCCAGGGAAGGTGAGGAGAGGGGTTATTGGTTTGTTTTTGTTCTGCATTACACTGGAAATGACAGAATGTGTTACACAACAACCATTAAAACACAGTTTAAACTAACAGGGTTTTTTTCACAAGAGGGTATGGGTCGTATTATGAACTTCTGCCACTACCATCCACCTTAAACTTGATTTCCACTTCAAGACTGATGTTAAGATTTCATTGTTATAGTTCTTGCAGTTGATTGAAGGTTCCTCCTCCCCGCCCCCCTGGTATGCTGTGGTATCCACATCCTCTGATTCAGATATGAAACTACCACCACAGTCTTTACTGAGTTCCGATTGCTGCTACTTTTTCACTTTGTTCTTACCGGAGCTAAACATAGAAATGGCTTTTAAGTGAAAAGCAAATTGACTTGTTGTGTTACATAGAGTTGCCCGTATTTATCTTTGGAGATTATATTTGGATCTGTTTGTTTAAAACTCCATTTTCAGCTACCAAAGCTATTAATTTGAAGGCCGCCTTTTGTTTGAAACATCATAGCTCTGTTCTCTGTTTCTGGACTCGTCACAGAGAGCCTCTGTGTTAGGGTTGTTTTCATTTATACAATTGCCTGTTTTGGAACCTCTTTTCTCCCGCTGTAGCTCACCCGGGCCTTCCATGTCACAGAGGCTATCAGTTCCCAAGCTTTCTAAGTAAAGAAAGGCAGTAAAATAGGCATAGGCAAACTCGGCCCTCCAGATGTTTTAGGACTACAATTCCCATCATCCCTGACCATAGGTCCTATTAGCTAGTGATGATGGGAGTTGTAGTCCCAAAACATCTGAAGGGCCGAGTTTGCCTATGCCTGAAGTAAAACAACCTGTTCTGAGGGTGTTATCAACTGGCCCCCAGACAGAAGCGTGCCTGAGACAAGGCAATGACACACCTTCCCTATTGCCCATACAGAGACCTTAATGGAGTGGCAGTTGAATCTTCAACACTGGTGATGGGATATCTTCCATTTCTACACCTGAGGGCATCAGGCTAGTTTGGGGGGAGAGGTGGGTGCAGGATAAGCTGTGCAGTATACACAGGTATGTCCTTCCAACAGAAGGGAATGGCCCCAGGGCTTGAGGGGAACAGCCAAGGGATTACAACTGATGCCTCCCAGCTTTTGCTGAGGGGGTTGTAATCCACAGGCTAGCAGCTATGTCAGGAGTATCAGGAAGCTGGCACACTTACGCTAAGTGCTGTCAGGGTCACATCTAGATGCATTACAGTCAATTCCAATATAGCTGGGTCAGCAGGCTAATTCTCAGGAGCCGCCATGGCCTATTTTTTAAACAACAAGTTTTCACCTAAGTTGGTCACTGATGTAGAAGACCATCATCAACGCATAAAGGTTGATCGCGTGCCTTGGATTGCCAGTTTGCCTAAAATTTGTTTGTTTGGAAGATTCTGTGTTCTGATACATTCTCATCCAATAACTTTTCCTATTCTTTTCCTCTGCACTCTCCACCCCACCCCACCCCACCATGGGCGTAGCCAGGCATTATTTTAAGGGCGGGGGGAGGCTTTATGGGAGGGCAGAACCGAGTTATCTGCAATGCAGTTGGTCAGTTGAGTATTTTTATTTGTTTACTTGATGGGGGGCAGCTGCCCCCTTGGCTACATCCATGCACCCCACCCCAATTGTTTAGGTTCAAGTGAGCCATCTGCCCTCGTGAATTCAGGATAATAGAGTGACATTTTTCTATGGGTGACCCTACTTTTTTCTCACCGTTAAGTGGGAAGACTCCATTTGAGCTTTTAACAATATTTTAAGCAGCATTTTATAACTTAAGCCTCCTTTCTAATACATGGCCTTTGAATTGAAAGGACGAGAGAGCGAGCGAGAGAGGTCAGTTCAGTTATGTTAATGAAAAAGGAGTCCAGTGTTCAGTATGGTGTTGCCTAGCAACTCATATTCTCTGCCTTTGAAGGAGGAGGAAGGGAGTGTGTCTGCATTTTCTACTGCTCTCTTACACTGGAGATTTAAGCTTCCTATAGCAGCATATACAGTATATATAGCTATGGATACCTATACATACAACTATAGCAAGCTCTTTATATAAGCTCTTTGTTATCATACAGTATGCTTGAAATGTTGTGTGTCCTATAGTTTCAAGGAATAGGTTCTCAGTCAAATTGTGTCTTTATGATCATA